ATTTGATTTCAAAAGCGCGGGAAAGATTCCACACTAATAACTTAGCTCGAATTTGAACACTTGATGCCAAAAGCGCGGGAATGTTTAGTCCCGCCTTCACACTGAAGCTTAGATCTTAGCCTAAAATTCTATTAGATCGTGTTGAAGACCAAAGTATATAAGTTCGGGATAAGAAGTGCAAAAACCATCATTCGATCACACATCATTTTGAAAGTGATTTATCATTAAAGTGCCTGAACATAATTTTTCATTCAAGTTGTTCCATTGAGACATTTATATCCAACTTCAATCACTAATTTATAAATTTTTTTTCAATTATAATTGTTCAAATTCAAGTTTTTTTTTTGTTCAATTCCGTCTAATAATGGATTCAAAAAGGTCAGTTTTTTATTTCAAATTTTAATTTTTTACTTTCTCTTTTTTCAATTTTGAAAGTTAATTAAACAATTGATTATTTTGAAATTTTTAGAAAGCTAAGTTCTTCAAGATCAATCAAAGAGAAGATGAAGACATTGAGTGGCTGGGTTGATGCTAACATTCAAAATCAATTTATTGTTGATTCATATATGAAATTCATCGATCAATTGAACGATCATGTCAACAATTTCGGTCAAATAAATTTGGATCAGAATCAGTTCAATCAAATTCAACAGAAAATTAAATCAATCAATCAATTACCAGAGTACAATGAACCCATATTGATTCAAAAAATTGAATTATCAGAAAAACTTGCCGAAAAAATTAATGAAGTTAAAAAAAGAAGAAAATTAAATCAAAATAATCCAATTACTATGGCTTACAATGATCTGCGATTGCTGAAAAAACCGGCCGTTTGTTGTGGCAAAACATACTCATCAGCCAGATGGATGTATGCCCATATTAATGTATCGCATGAGGAAGTATTTATAATGGATGACCAAGGTACATCCAGCGATTATTCTATGCCGATTGTAGCAGATCAAGAGATGGAACATATTGACCGATATGATGCTGATCATGAAATGGAACATATTGAACAATATGATGATGAACAAGAAATGGAACATATTGAACAATATGATGATGAACAAGAAATGGAACATATTGACCAATATGATGATGAACAAGAAATTTTTGATTCAGAAAATGAATCGTTAATTTCATTGAATTCCGAATCTGAATCCGATTCCGAGCTCGATTTGGTCAAAAGTGAGTGCAAACTAATAAAAGAAACAAAAGACAAACTCAACGAACAAGAATATTCAAAATATTCAAAACTTGTTCGAAAAATACTATCGGCCCGTATAAAAGATAATATCCCTTTGCCATCAATAATCAGATTGTTGCCGGAATTCATCGATGGACAAGAAATGAGAAACATCCGTCCATATCTAGATAAAATCACACGATCATCATATCTACAATATGAATTTATCAAGACAATGCCAAAATTCATAGAGCCATTTCAATGTCATATGTTTAATCGACGGTTTTATTATTATATTCCAATCAAAAATATAATTCAAAATTATATTTTAAATGAAGAATTAATTGAACTAATTGAACAAGAAAATGATGAAAATGTAAGCGAATATATAAAATTGAATGGTTTCCATAAAAAACTTCGTCTAACTATATATGGTGACGAATTTGGAATTACGAATCCATTACGAGAATATGCTAAAAAATATAAAGTTTACTGCTTATATCTCGATATCGGCAATCATCATCAACCAACAACAAAATCAAAAAACATTCATTTATTGATGATTTGGTCAGTACACGACCAAAAATTGGCCAAAAAAAGTTACGAAGAGATAGTAAAGCCTCTGTGTGAGGATATTCTAGATTTAGAAAAAAATGGAATAACGTTTTACTCTGGTGAAATCAAAAAACGAATAAATATATGTCTAGCCCACATTGTTGGCGACAATCTGGCCGTAGCGGAATTGCTTGGCTTAACAAGATCATTTGGTCGAGCTTTCGTATGCCGACACTGCGGAGCTCGTTATTGTGATTTGAATAGACAAAATTATCAAGGGCCAATGGCCATCCAGAAGTCTTTTGAAGAATACAATGACGAATTAATATTACTGACAACCAACAAAAAATATATAAGTCCTTTCGGTATTCGGAAGCCATCTGCCTTCGCCGCACTTAAGATTAATGTATATCAAATCGCACCTGTTGATCCATTCCACGATTTTGCCGAGGGTGTTGCGTCGTTGATTGGTGAAAAAACACTAAAATTATTGAAAAATCATCTTAATTCCAGTCAATTAAAAAATCGATTAAAGTCAATAAAAATGATAAATGGCAACATAGAGATCAATGTGGAGCATTCCGATTTGAAAATAAGAGGAAAAGGCTCCCAAAAACTGGAATTGATCATGAGAATGATTGAAATATTTCCAGAAATGATCGAAAATAAACCAATGTTCGACTTATATATTGCTACAAAAAAATTCATCTTTTTGATGTATTCATTTTCAGCGGTATATAATCAAGAGATGGAGAATATAGTCAAAAATTTCGTTCAAAAATGTCTTGAAAATGAGATCAGCATACCGAAACTTCACTTCATTAGCCATTATCCATTGTTATTCAAATTTTATGGCCCACTGAAGTATTTCAGTACCGAAAGGTATGTGTGGTTAGAAAATACTTTTTTGCTGTTTGATTAACCGATTTCCTTTTTTAAATTGTGTTTATTTATTGTATCGATTGCAGGTATGAACGCAAACATTGTCAATTGAAAAATTTTATGCAAACATCGAAAAATCATAAAAATGTGCCATATTCAATCGCACAAAGACATCAATCGGCTCAACCATTTGAAACGGAAATCGAATATGAAAACGGCGATTTGCCATCAACCAGTCATCCGTTTCCACTCAGAAAGTCTATAGTTAGACCTCTTCTGAATGAAGAAAATCTTTTTATTGAGGCCAAAAAATTCAAAGTCATTGATAATAAAATAATGGTCAATGGTAAATTATTCAATACAACACCACACGATCCAGATTTCATAATTTTTAAATGTGAAATCATCAATGAGAATTTCTCAATTCCATTCGAACAAATAGATCATAATAATTCATTTTTGTTTAAAACTAAAGATTCGTCAAATATTTCATCATCATTTATTAACTATACTATCAAAAAATAAAAATAAAATTTAAATTTATTTAATCAATACATTTTTTAAAAAATTGATTTTAAATTCAAAATCAAACGCGTAACAGGCTATATGGAGGGATTGTTCGAATTCGAACGTTTTTGAGCATCATAAATAATTCGAAATGTGCGTCGTTTATTTTCGTTTTTTTAGTAAATTTACGATTTTGTTGATTTTAATTTGGAAATTGTTTTTTTAAAATCAAATTCATCTTAATATGATTTGTCCGAATTGGAATCTAATAAATTTCGCTTTAAGGAATCAAAATCAATATATTTCAACGGAAGTTTCGCATAGAAGTTGGCTCTTTTTCATTTGTTGAAATTGATGATCTAAAAACTTCACTTGATCACCAAGACATTGAAAAACCTATTGTGGAGGTTTTCAAATAAAGAAACGACTCAAAGTAAAGACAATTTCGTATTAATTTTATTGATTCTATCAATTCTAATTATCCAAATAATCAATATCTTACTAATGTGAACAAAAGGTCGGTTATGTGAACTTGCTATGTGTTACTTGATTCTTTCTGATATTATCTTTTTTTCCTGTTTTTTTAACCAGAACCTGAAGATTTGAAATTATTATCGAAACTTTGAAGGCATTTTTTGAATTTGGTTGTTTATCGGTCACTTGGATTCAATGATCAAACATTTCCAGATGCGATAAATATCATGAACAGTCGAATCTTGTTCGAATTTCAAATCGATTCATNTGTGGAGGTTTTCAAATAAAGAAACGACTCAAAGTAAAGACAATTTCGTATTAATTTTATTGATTCTATCAATTCTAATTATCCAAATAATCAATATCTTACTAATGTGAACAAAAGGTCGGTTATGTGAACTTGCTATGTGTTACTTGATTCTTTCTGATATTATCTTTTTTTCCTGTTTTTTTAACCAGAACCTGAAGATTTGAAATTATTATCGAAACTTTGAAGGCATTTTTTGAATTTGGTTGTTTATCGGTCACTTGGATTCAATGATCAAACATTTCCAGATGCGATAAATATCATGAACAGTCGAATCTTGTTCGAATTTCAAATCGATTCATTGATTGATTGTTGTTTTTGTGTTAGAATTTGACTTGGCCACTTGTTGACAGTTGTGATTTTTGACTTTCGCTTTGACTTGGCCANTTAACCAGAACCTGAAGATTTGAAATTATTATCGAAACTTTGAAGGCATTTTTTGAATTTGGTTGTTTATCGGTCACTTGGATTCAATGATCAAACATTTCCAGATGCGATAAATATCATGAACAGTCGAATCTTGTTCGAATTTCAAATCGATTCATTGATTGATTGTTGTTTTTGTGTTAGAATTTGACTTGGCCACTTGTTGACAGTTGTGATTTTTGACTTTCGCTTTGACTTGGCCACTTTCGACCATTCACTTGATTGTTTCGACTTTTTGATGATATTGGATTCTCTCGACTTGTCAAAATGTTTATCGCTGTCTTAAAATATTTGATCATTGAATGCCAGTTATCGATTGACAACCCAATTCAATAATTGCCANCATGTTTTTAAAATTTTGTTAACAACTCATTCTCACATCTTATATTTTTTTCAGCAAAACTTAATCATCGACTTTGAAGGATTTCCTTTTTTGTTTCAAGATTCATTGACGAATCGATGCAACTGGGGCAAGACAAAAAGAACACATCCAAGAATTTGATTCATTGAAATCTGTTATGCCATTACTTAAAACTTTAAATATTACTATCCATTACACTACGAAGATTTGAAATTATCATGAAGAAATTTAAAAGCAAATTTGAACTTGGTCGTTAATTATTACACATTTTGGCTAAATAAAGAATGTGTCATCAAATGAATCAATCACATCTGATCATCTGATTATCCATTTCCAATGTTGGAAAGACGGCAAGGCATGTTTTTAAAATTTTGTTATCAACTCATTCTCACATCTTATATTTTTTTCAGCAAAACTTAATCATNTGTCTTAAAATATTTGATCATTGAATGCCAGTTATCGATTGACAACCCAATTCAATAATTGCCACGTTAATTATTACACATTTTGGCTAAATAAAGAATGTGTCATCAAATGAATCAATCACATCTGATCATCTGATTATCCATTTCCAATGTTGGAAAGACGGCAAGGCATGTTTTTAAAATTTTGTTATCAACTCATTCTCACATCTTATATTTTTTTCAGCAAAACTTAATCATCGACTTTGAAGGATTTCCTTTTTTGTTTCAAGATTCATTGACGAATCGATGCAACTGGGGCAAGACAAAAAGGACACATCCAAGAATTTGATTCATTGATATCATTTTATCAATTCGATTCATTGAAATCTGTTATGCCATTTCCTAAAACTTTCAATATTACTATCCATCACACTACGAAGATTTGAATTATCATGAAGAATTTGAACTTGGTCGTTAATTGGTCATTAAGAATCAATGATTAAACTTTTCATGATGAAATTAACATTATGAATAGTCGAGTTATAGTCGAATTTCAAATTGACTTATTCGTTGTCTTTCCCTTCGACTTGCGAATTTCGACTTGGCCTTTTTTGAATTATTCATCCGATTTATTTAACTTGACATTTTGCTGATATTGGCCACTCTCGACTCGACTATTCTAAATGTTGATTGATGTCTTGAAATGTTCAATCAATGATTTCAAATTATCGACTGACGACCAAGTTCAAACACTTTTTCGTTCATCGTTGAACACATTTACCACATGAAGAATTATATGATCGAATGGTCAATTGATAAGATTTCTTATTGTCATCATATAATCATCTTCAATTAACGGTAAATCATTTTATTATTTTCATCAACATTCATTTTAATTATTCATATTCTCACTTATCAGATCGTAACTCTATTCAACATTGAAGATATCGGAAAATTCAATATTCTCAATAACCGAAATGCAGATGGGATCATTCATCTTCATACATTGTGGAAGGATCAAACACAATCTGGCCATTAACACAATCATCTTTGAAAATGACTGACCGAATGAAGATAATTGAATCAAATGCAAATCCCTGGATTCCCGTCGACATCCGTTGGACCATTCAACTTTTGATGATTAATTCCATCAATTGTATCAATTTGAAACTTGTGAACTTATATGATATTTTATTTTTAATTGTTATGAATAATAAATGGATTGAAATTCAAATGAATTTCAATTCAAATTTAAAAAACCACGGTTATTATCGAAAAACGGATATCCATAACAATCACGTGATTTTATCGAGGTAAATCGATTGCCATCGATTTGTCATCGATTGTGATGTCCATTCCCGATTCACGTGAGAGACTTCCATAGGTAGTACCTTTGTTCTATGCATTCAAAATGCTTCTTTGACTGTACAAATTTCTCGTAACTATTTTCTATGCTTCTTCTTTCGCTCTTTTTTTTTGAGTGTGATGAAATCGATGATGAAATTAGAATATTTAAAATTTAAATCAAATTCTTTTTTTCTATAAAAACCGCAATACAATCTTTATGAATGTCTCATAATCGAGTTTTCATGTGATCACACAAAAGCGGCATCGATCGAATCGAATTGATTATTTCAATTGTCATTTTTTTGGATCCAATTTTCAATTTAAACTTAATCATCATGTTTGTAGAATTTGTTTAAAAATTATTCAATGTTTTAATTAATTTTTTTTTATTATTGTTTACAGGGGTAGTACGACCGCTGTTAAAGAATCAAAAGATGGAATCAAAGATCGAAAACGAAGTCGAAGTAGTTCACGATCAAGTGGCAGGTAAGTTTGATTTTTTCTTTGTTCTTTGTTTGATTTACTATTATCTAATCAATTAGTTCAAGAAGCCGTTCACGTAGTAGTTCCGCTTCATCGCGATCAAGTTCAAGTGGATCATCAAGTCGTAGTTCAAGTTCACGATCCGCTTCTTCACGTTCATCACATTCATCCAGTTCTAAAAGTTCAGGATATCGTCGTCGTTATCATCGTGATCGTGGTGATTCACCGCGTGATCGACGTGGTGCACCACCACCAGCATCATTGAAAAAACGTGGCCCATCACCAATACCACCATCAGCATCTTTTACTCGACTTTACATAGGACGTCTAACCCGTAATGTCAATCGAGATCATTTGCATGAAATATTCAGCGCTTTTGGTAAAGTTATCAACGTTGATTTACCAATGGATCGTATGCATAGCCATTTAAATCGCGGTTTCGCTTACGTTGAGTTTGAAAACCCTGATGATGCAGTCAAAGCCGTAAAATATATGGATGGTGGCCAGATTGATGGCCAAGAAATTAGTGCGTCAAAAATCGATCTACAAAAAGTACGAGGTCACATTCCACAAGCTAATCGAGGAGGAGGTGGTGGTAGAAATCCTGGATGGCGACCAAATTCACCACCAAATCGTATCCGACGAAGATCACCGCCACCACCACATCCATCACGACGACGAACACGTAGCCGTAGCCGTACACCACCACCACCTGTACGTGATAACCGTCGCCGTCGTTCATCACGATCAAGTTCCGCATCATCTCGCTAATCTACCAAACTAACAAACAAAAATTCATCGAATTTAAAATAAAATAACCGAATATATTTCGACAATAAAAACAAAAACAAAAAATCATTTTCACCATCATAATCATTTTATTTTATTCATTAGTATATAAATGTCTGTATACAAAAGATGAAAAAAAAAGAAGACACCATTTTTCATTAAAAACTGATGATTTTTTATCCCGATTCATTTTGCTTATAGCTCATCTTTGAGATTTTCTTTATCCAATTCTTCTTCTTCGACAACTTCCTATATAATCGAAAAAAATAAAGAAATAAAATAAATTGCATTAATAATTGAATTTTAAAAAAAAATTTTCAAAAAAAACAAATCATGTTAAAGCCCATAGATTGAAGCCGATTTTTTTTGTTTTGTTCACTCGGATAAAAGAAACATCACATAGACAGACAGACAACGACACATTTAGAAAGAATGCATTTTTGTTTTTTTTTTTCATAATCTTTTTAGAAAGATCTAACCTCAAGTGGTGGACTAGCACCTTTACTACCACCAGATTCAATAAATTCCATAAGTCCTTGTAATGTTCTTTCACCATTAAAATCGACAATCTTGATTCATTTATGGTTCATGATCATTAATGATTATATAAAAATCATTCATAATTTAAATTGGGAATTGGATTTTTTTTTTGTTCATAGGGAAAAGGAGGGAAAACGAAAAGAAAAAAGAAAAAAAAATCTTAGTAATGTAAATTGAACGATACTTGTACCGAATCTGGAGCAGCACGGCCATAATCACCGCCTGATTCGATAAATTTTGAAATGCCTTCCAAAGTACGTTCACCGTTATATTCAATTACCTAAAATAAGAGTTTAAAGATTTTTTCATAAGACAAAATAATAATAATAATCAATTAAAGAATTCAAACCTCATTTGTATCACGTTTATAAAGTTTAAATGTTGGATATGATGCAATTTTTGTATGTTCAAGCTCATTAGCTGTAGCATCCATTTTCGTAATCAAAACATTTGAATTATCTTTATATTTTTCACCTAATTGTTCATATACTGGTGCAAGATTTTTACAATGTCCACACCATGGTGCATAAAATTCAACTAAAACATCTTTCGATTTATCAAATGCAACCGAATCAAAATTATCTGATACAAGAATTTTTACTGGATTTTTATCCCAATCTTCGGGTAATTCTTGTGAAAGTAAATGTTGCTATAAAAGAGTAAAAAATAGAAAATCATTAAAAAAATTCGAAATCTTTATGCTTATTTACCTTAATTTTTCCAGATAAAACACCTGAAACAAAATCTTTGATTGATTGTTCAGTAAATTCATTTGATTCTGGTTTAAATTTAGTCATTTCATCTTCCAATCGAATCAAACGCATTGATGGTACTTGTTCTTTTTGAATGCCGAAAAATTCCATTATCTTTTCATGTTCATCATCATCCGAATTCAATATGACGAATAAAACTTTTCCCTTATATTCTTTGGCAGCTGAACGATATGTTTCAATTTTTTTCTCATAATCACTATCTTTTTGACTGATGAATAAAAGTAAATGTGATTTGATTTCACCACCAAAAATTTTCTTTGCAGTCTACATTACATATGTATGAAAAGGTTATTTTCAATTTTAAAAAAGAAAAATTTTCAATTAAACTTACATCATGATTAAATTCAACGGCCAATGGTAATGAATTAGCAGCGATAAATAATTTGAGATTTTCAACACTATATTCACCATCAAAATCATTACGATTTTCATCGAATTTTTTAAATAATACAACACGTTCATTATCACCAGTGATGGCTAATGATTCGGCAATCGATTTATCCGTTATCAATGCAAATGGAATGGCATCATTTTCAGCTGCTACATCTAAATAAATTTTTGCATTTGCACTATCTTTATCGGAAAAATAACCAATGACAACAACTTCTTGGCTATCACGAAATTTTTCGGCATCTTCAACTGTTTGGAGATCTTGAGCTGGTGGACCGGTCTTTTTCTTCAACCATTTAATAATACCTTCGGCTGTACGTTCACCATTATATTCGGTTGGTTTTCCATTACGGAAAAATTTCAATGTAGGATAACCACGTACATCATAATTTTCAGCGAGATCAGTTTCTTTTGTAGCATCAACTTTGGCTAAAAGAATTTCAGATTTTTCAGCAGCCAATTCGGTTGCTGCTTTGGCATATTCCGGTGCCAATGATTTACAATGAACACACCATGGAGCATCTAAAATTTTTTTAAAAAAAGTTAAATTTAATGAAAAAAAATACAATTTTTATTAAAAATAATACATACAGAATTCAACAAGAACAGCTGGCGTAGCAATAGCATCATCAAAATTTTCTTTAGTCAAAACCAAAACATTATCTTCACGTTCAATATCATCAACTGAACCATGGACAGTTGTTGTTTGTACTATAGCCAAAACAATGGCTAAAATAAAATATTTCATTTTCAGGTCTATTCGGAACGTGATCCAAACGATATTCAATTAATTAATTAATTAATTAATGTGAAAAAAACAAAATGACAACAACGACAAGATAAATGAAAACAAAATGATGATGATGACGATGACGTTGTTTAGTCTTCCCGAATAATTCAACAAATGATGACGACAGATTTTTTTTGGGTTGAATAAAATTGTTTTGTCACGCTAATTTTTAACGGAAAGCCAACAAAAAAAACTATCAAATTATGTTTGTTTTAAAAAAAAGCCTAACCCCAAACACAATATAATTAAATGAATCAATGATTTTTTCTTTTTTTTTTGATTTCAAAAATCAACCAACAAGAAAAAGACAGAAGTATCTTATGAAACGTGGCATTAAAAAGCCAATCAAAAGCCTATTGTGGTAGCTGGTTTTTTTTTTCTTTGGTTCTACAACATATACACATACATACACATCATATACATGCATAGTGGTTGACAAAATATCGATATTAAGAATTATGATTGCGCCCCCTAACGACCATAATTGGAAAATTGAAAGAAATCTTCGGTTGATTAATGATGATGATGATGATAATTATTCAAAATTTTCAAAAAGACAAACAGTAAATTGATGAAAAAATAAATTCATGGTTATTTTGATGGTTACTTATCATTCAAAAATTATTCTAAGAAAAAAAAAATATCCAATAAGAATTGGCCACGTCGTTGTCATGCACATCACAAACATGTACATCCCCATATTAACAAAATACACGTCATTTAATTAAATTTCGACAACAGCAGCCAAAAAATCAATCGATTGATTGAATCACCTTGATGATCAATCATCGTGGGATTTTTAAGCATCAATTTTTTCTTTGTAAAAAAAAATTATTTATCACATTAATCAATGAATTTTATTTTTTCTTTTGTTCCTCGTTTTGTTTTTTGCCATTTGGGATAATTGGAAATTATTGGAATGGATTTTTTTTTGTTGAAACAAAACGAGAACAAAAAAATTTGACATTTGTCATTTTGAAAATGGAATGTAATGTTTTCGATGTTTGTGTATAAATAGAATTTAGGTAAAAATAGTCATCATAACGGTTTTTCATTTCTATTTTTTTTTTTCAGTCAAATTGACAATCAAAATCAAGTCGATTTTTTTTCATTAACAAATTAATTAATGATGACGATTATTATCACCATCATTATTATCAGCATTATTTTTATTATCCCCATCCTCTTGAGCTTGATTGATTATTGTAGATCGTTGTTGGTTATCATTCGGTTCAGAATCTTTATCTATTATTCTTCGTTTCTGGAAATGATAAAAAAAATATCGATCAAATTTCATTTGGAATCAAATGAAAGGAATCAAAATTAAATTATACAAACCTTATGCTTTGAGCAACTAAGAATGAATTTTTCTTCATCCAGATCACAGTCTATTCGAAATGAATATTTTTCGTTAAAAGCTTGACTAAAAATTGACTAATCAAATTACCTTTTTCCTTGGCGCATAGATAATGTAATGGTGACATCTGACAATTTTTAAATATACAGCCTAATGTTGCTCCAGGTAGTTTACATTTGGTACAAATCTAAATCGTAACAAAAAAAAATTCATTCAAAGACATTTGATTCAGCAATGCTTAATAACTTACATTATCAAATGATTCAATAATGGCCGGTTCAAGATTTCGAATTTTCATTCCTTCAACGTATACACTACTTGACCATACAATACAATCTTCATGTATCCATACTTCCATTGGTTGATCAATTTTATTATTAATGATTGATTGTCCAGTCATTTCATTAATATTGCCTTTTATATTACCCATTTCATCATTATTGTTAAGCTGTTCGACTGTTCGTTTACGTAATGATCGTCTTTCATGATGTTTATCATTATTATTATTATCATTCTTATCAGAATGGCCATTTAAATCTGAAAATAATCTTCGTGATTTTTGATCCATTTGAATATAATAAGGACCATATAGTTCACCTAATCCTTTATAATTTGGTGGTTTTTGACATAGAATACAGTACCATTTCTGGTCATTATGATTCTGATTGTTTATTTGTAAATTTTTTCTACGATTTAATGATGATAGCCATATTGATGATGATTTTTTTGATTTTTGTTCCGAATCATTATTGATCGATTTGAGCGAATTATTCACAATCGAATATCGCGAACTATCAATTTCGTGTGAATTGTTCGTTTTATTATCTGATTTATCGATACGAATAACAGGGCCCACTATCTTTTTCCTTTTACTTGCCAATGGTAATGGATGTTGTACATTCGATTCAAAATCAAATTGATCATTCTTTTTATCATTATTATTATGATGATCCCAATCATCATGAACATCAAACGATAAATTTGTATTGATGCCGATATCGATGAGCATCGATGATTTTCGTTTTTTTGTTCGATTTGAATCGATTAATTGATTGGAAGCATTTGTGGTGACAGCTGTATCTACAGTTACTATTTTAGGATTTAATGTTGAAACAGTCGCGACAGCAGCAGCATGTTCTAAACTTCGACGATTTTTACTGCCAAATGGTCGGCCACGTTTCTTTTTGATTATACCATCCGGTATACAACCGGACATCTGAAATGGCAACATTTGATGATGATGATGATGATGGCCGGATATTGTTTGCTGCTGTTTAGACCAAGATTGTGATGAAGATGTTGATCGTGTCATTTGATAATTATTGTTATTATTATAGGAGGATTGATTACCATCAGCAAGCATGGGTGTGAATGATCGATTCGAACTAGTTGACGATGGATTTTCAGACCACCATGATGATTTTGGCGTCTGTATAGAATTCGAATTCGAAAAATTTCGAAATTCTATTTGTTGTTTCTGTTGATTATTGCTGCTGCAAGTGTTATTGTTTAATTTCCAATTATTTGGTGTCGAACATTGACTACTACTCATACTCATACCACCATAAACGGATGATGATTGTCCATCCGTAGTTGTATTGATGGAATCATTTGATTTAATTGAATCACGTGATGATGTTGTTTCGATTGAGCCACATCGATATGAATGATTAGAATGATCATGTGTTTGATCGGTTTGTAAGATCACTTCTGATGGTCCACCGATGTTTGTCGTCGTTTTATCTGCTAATTTTTGATTACAAATCGGTGATCCACAATCTTCCAATATATTAGAAGCTAAGGAAACATTTTTGTTTTTTCTACTAATTTGATTACCATTTCTTTTATTCGAATGTTTATTATTATTCACTTCGACAATTAGTGGTGGTGGTGAATTCGATGTTGATGATGATGATGATAAATTTTTGGCAGATGGCGAAAATTCTTTTCCCATCATCATCATTGATGATGAAGCTGATATGGATGAATTATTGCTGTTGGTTCTTTTATAAGAAGATTGTGGATGTACTTGAGTTTCGGACATACTATTCTGGTCTAGATTGTAATAGGTTGGATAATTGTTGATTGTATTACTTGTATCAATAATCGTACCATCTAATGATGAGGATGATGGACAAACGCCCAATTGTTGTTGTTGTTGTGTAGTCGTCATAGGAACTGATGCCGTTTCATATTGTTGTTGATGATGTATTGTACGTAGATGATCATTTCCATTAGATGGTTGTGATAATGCCGATGGTGATGAGGTGGAGGAATCAATTTGAACCATTTTTTGCAATGATTGTAATGGATTTGTTATCCCACTATTATTATTATTTATCATCATCATTGATCCTTGTTGTGACTGCTGCTGCTGCTGATGTTGTTGAAGAAGATGACCAGAAGAAGAAGGATTTGAAAACTGTTTAACACTAGTTGATGATGAAGAAGAGGAAGAAGAATCCGATGATGGAATAATATTATGTTGATGTGGTGATGAATGAAACGCATGTGATGGCATTGATGATGATTGTGGCGGCAATGGTGGTGGACATATTGATGATGATGTTGATGTTATCGGTTGTATTGGTGATGGTGTACTATTATTGGATGGTGATGATCTTGACCAATGATTCGAATTATTAGTTGTTATTTTATTATTAATTACATTTGTAGGATAACAATGATGAGGTGATTGTGGTGGTGGAAGAGTAGGAAGTGATGAGGATGATGATGATGGTGGCGGTGGTAGAGGCTGTGAATCACATTGCCAATAATCTATACCTGAAGATGTTGGATGCTTTGTTGTCGCAATGGTAGTTGTTGTTTGATGACGATTATCATTATTCGTCATTGTTGTTAGGCTATTTGAAACTAATGGATATGGTTGAATGTTTCGTATACATGAATTTGCATAGATATCTTGATGTGATGATGATGATGATTGATGTGAATGTCCTAAACTATCTAATCGATGATCATGTGGATATGTTTGATGTTGATGATGATGAAGTGAATGATGCATAGAAACATTATTATGAGATGAATTATTATGTTGAGCCATTGATGATGATAAATTTAGATTATCTGTATAATGATGTATTGATGAGATACCATTTCCATTTCCTATCCCAATGGGAACTAAACCACTAGTACTACCAGTAGTAACAACATCATTTCCATTAGTTGCATAATGAATGTTTGTAGTTGAGCTTGAATATGGATCATCATTTAAATCCATACGAAATGGTGATGGTAATGGATATGTTGGTCCATATGAATTTGAACCCTGAAAGAAAAAAATTTTTCAATTGATTATATTCAATCCATTGAAATCATCAAAAGAATAAAAACAATAAACAAAAAATACATCATACCATCATATGATTCGAATAGATTGAACGATTTATTGATGATCCCGTATAGATATCGTTCGATATCGAACCTATTTGAAATGAATTTTTTTTCAATTAATTAAAAAGCAAAGCAAAAAAAAAAATTTGAAAAATTTAAAAAATAGAGATAGAACTTTACCCGTAAAGTTAGAATAATCCGATTGTGTTGATGGACTATGCATCGAATATAATGATGATGATGATAATGATGACATTTGAACATTTATTCACTATAAAAAATTATTTGAAAAAAAATTCAAAACAAAAATGAAAAACATGATGAATAAACAATTGAAAAAAAATATTCTTTCGATTCTTTTGTTTGTTTTGCCAAATTAAACATCATCATTGATGAATCAAATTTTTTTTTTGTTGTTGTGTCGACATCAAACAAATCAATCATTGAATGAATCTTCAAACTAATTCAAAAACATCACCAAGATTTTGTTTTTCGAAAATTGAAATTGCAAAAAAGTTGTACTCTTTGTTGTTGTTATTATTATTGACTTGGAATGTAAATTTGGAAAATTCTTTTGCTTTTTTTTTGTTTGTTTGGTTCGAAAGAGTCACATAGGAATGCTTCTCACATGATCAATGTATACGATACAAACATATACGTTATGCGTTTTGGATTGTTGAAAGAATCGGGTACCCTGTCGATGATGCTTTCGAAACATCCAATTCAATATAATTTTCTCTTTTTTCTGGTGTTTATCTTTTTTCACAAATAATAGTAGTAGTTGTTTAGATGAAAGATGTGGAACGAAAAAAAAAATCGATATTTCACAAACATACATAACATACACACAACTATAGTGTGAAAAATAAAAAACAGGAACAAGCTTGAACCGGTGACCAAACTTGTACAGAATATTCTTGCTATAGGAAGTAAATGTGTGTGTGTGTGTATGTGGTTGGTCAAAGCGCCGCATCAATTTTCTGTTGTTGCTGATTCTTTTCAAACAAAAAAAAGAATTCTGCGCATCCACTATTTTCATTTCGCTCGACCCTATTTTCATAACGTTTTTTTGTTTGTTTGTTTTCAAAATGAATGAATATAGCAGGAAAAAAAATGATGTTACTATTATTATAATTGCATTCCCTATACTCATAGATTTATCATGAAAATGTTCTAATGATGATGATGAAGGAAGTGAAGTATAGAGGGGGTAGTCAAAAGAGAAAATCTTTTACTACTAATTCCAAAAATTCTTGGCCTAATGTGCAAGTATACCATACAAGTGCCAGTGCAAGTTCGTTTGTATTGAATAAGTTTGGTTGAACAACAGAAGCGAAAAAAAAAATGAAAAAGAAAAACTACTGGCCAGACCAATTATTCTCTCATCTAATATGATCAACTATGATCATCTATAGATGAATGATGATGCTATTTTTGACGAATAATACTGCTTCAATGAGTTTTTGTCGTCAGTAGTTGTTTTTCGGGCTATAATAATTTGTCAAATTGAGCTGGAACAAAATGTTACAGAACTATAGCAGCTTTATAGTTGAGATCAATGAACAAGAGAATAAAAACAGGAAATGATAGGCGAATAAAAGACAAATTATATTGATAAGTTTTGAAGAATTTTTTTGGAACTAGAACTTACTTGATACAATATCATGAAAAAACAAAATTTCCAGTGATTTCTGGTAAGATAATGGTCAAAAAAAACAACAAAATATTCGTTAAAATTTGATTTGAATTAGATGAATACAAACACAAAAGAAGAAAAAAGTAGAAAAAATCAAAAAGAAAAATCTAAGATGATGAAATTCTTTTTTTGCTCATAAATCGAACAGGAAAAATATCATTCGATTCTATTTTAACCTAAATTTCTTCACATATCATATATTGACCAATTTGTGTTAAAATCGGCAATTTTTTTTCGAATGTTTTTTTGAGAGATTCGAATGAAAATCCAACCAAAAAAAAACTTATGGCAATTTTTTTGGTTTAAAAAGTTTTCGTTTCTGTTTTTTTTTGTTTTTTCATTATTTCTATAAAACCATTTTCTAAAATCCAGTCATGTTGATCCAGATTCTATTTCCTGTTTTTTTTTCTCTCTTTCTTAACAATTTCGAAACCATAGTGAGATTCTATAATTTTGTTTGATGTGTGTGTGTTTTTTCTCCAAATACAACAAGCTTTTTACCCAAAAATTCTTTCATTTTGGCTTCATTACTTTCATCATCATCAACATCAACATCACCATTATTCGACTCATTCATTTCTTCATCTTAATCCTGGCTTATTAAACTTGATGTGTGTGTGTATTTTGTTGTTGGATGTATGTTTTTGTGTGTGATATATGTTTGTAATAATGATGGAAATCCAAATGAAATTATATTTTCAATGGCCTTGTGTATATGTCGTTGTTGTTGTTGGATATTTGGGTTCTGGGTTTAAGTTTGGTTAGATGAATGGATGGATGAATGAATGTTGTGTTGTGTTGTGTTCACCGATTCTTTAATATATCCACTATTTATATAGAGAGAAAGATATATACACAAGAAACTATGCAGCATGCATGTTGTTGTTGTATATTTAGTGTATTTAGAAGAAAAAAAATAGGAATATTCCATACATACGAGAATATTTCAAATATTTTTCTTCATTTTGTCCCATGGTATCAAATTTACGCGCGCTATGATCATCATTCTTGATTGAAAATCCTGTCAAATACAGGCTAAAATTGTATGATTTAACCATTGAAAGAAATGGCTTCTGGACATGGCTATTTTTTCCGAAACAAACAACAACTTGTCTCATATCTACCCTATAAGTATTCTTTTTCTGGTTTGTAAATACAAAATATTTTTTTTTTAAACGAATAGTTTGATTTCATTGGATCATCATTATGTTTTTAATTAGAAATTTTTGTAAGGTACTTAGAAAACAGCCAAGAATTTCTCTGTATAAAAGACAAAAGAATACTAAATTCAAGTGTGTATATTTTGTTGAACAAAAAACGAAAATCAAAATCATGATGACGACATCAGCTGCGATTTCGACCAGAAACAGCAAAAAAAATGAAATCATTCAAATTCTGTTTCTATCCATTCATGCATTCTTGTGTGTTTCTATGTGTATGATGTATTTCAACAACAAAGTAAACCCGAAAAAAAATTTTATCCAAAAGTAACAACAACAACAACAAGCTAAAAGAGAAATGTATGGAAAGAAATCTGATTAGCCAAACAACAGCAGCAGCTATTGACAATGTGAATCAACAACAACAAAGATGCATAGCCATACAGAATTTCAGTTCTCTTCCTTTACCAGACACTATTTTTTTTGCATCGTCCGATATAAAATGATGCTTGAAGTATAGATTGAGTTGGGAAAACAAGGGGATGAATGTGTGATGGTAATGGTTGATATTAAGAGATGATGATGACTGTGATGATGATGATGATGATGGCAATTGATGAGGTCGGGGACAAATTTGATTGCTTCAAAAAAAAATTCTATGAAGCACTTTTGACTCTACCATCTGATTCAACCGTTTTTCATTACAAGCCACTCACCCACACCCCCATACTTTGTGTTCCATGATCAAGGATTCGTAATGTTAACCCCCCATTTGGCTTAATTCTCTTTTCTCTGTATTTTATATGAATTTCGTTCATCCATCCAACCAACCAACCATCCATTCGATTTAACACTATTCGAAATTTTTCATCTTGATTCAGTTCAATTCAGCTCAAATTCAATTCGGGTCTCTGTTGGATTCATTCATTCATTCATTCAATAAAACTAAACCAACACATTGACACGACAGGCCTTTTAATATGTTTCATTTCGTTGCTTTCCAAATTCGCCAACCAACTGGCTAATTTGACTGAAAGCAAAAGTGAGAGAGAAATTCAAAGCTTCCGATTCGCATGGCATCTCTATCTTTTTGCATCATGATCTTTTTCATATTGAAGCCACTGTGTGTGTCTGTGTGTGTATCCATCATTGGACTCAATTTGAAACCAATTGTCAGCCTAAGTGTGTGTGTGTGTGTTTGTGATGTGAACAATGTTCCAAGAGAAGAAAATAAAACACCCAAGAGATAGAAATAAAAGGCTATAATTTTATCTTTTCATCCCAAATAACAAGCATACAATTCGATTTTTTTGAAGGCGCCAAAATTGTCGATTGTAGAAATAGACCAATTGAAAGAATCATAGTGATCAATAAAGAATCAATGGGATATGAAAAGAATGCAGACAAAAAAAACAGTAAGGGCAAGTCTGTTTATATGAATGAGAGAATGTGTCAGGCGTCAAATAATAAAGATGAATAAAAAGAGAAGAGATTCTCCTATCCAATCAAATAAGGGTATCGATAAGGATAGGTTTTTTTTGTTGTTGTTGTTGATTGTCTATAGAATTTTTGTTTTCCTCATAACCGACTAAATGATGATGTTGACCACTTGAAAATAAGTGTAATTGACCAATTTTTTTTGGGTGATAATAAAGTTGTTCAAGATTCATTATTATTAAAAAGGAGAAAAAAAGAAAAGAAAAGTTCCACTATCGAACGTGTTTCATTATATAATGATGGCACCGATTTTGACATAGGGCATCCAACTATCTATCTTTTTTTTCGGTATAAATAGCCCAGGAATGGATAAAGTTTTTTATATAGTGAATTAGATGAAGTGGATATTGGTGGTGGTAGAGATAACACTAATGTTCATTCTGGAATTTTCAATCCGTTTGTTTGATTTGAACAAAAAAAAATTTAGATAACTATTCTGGTGATGATCAATTGGACATTAGAATTTTTTTTACGGATTTAGTTTGGTTTGGTTGTCATATGCCCAAGGGCAATATGAGAATCCAAATTTGATTATTATTCTGTTCAATTCTGATTGTTGTTGTTTGATTCCACTGTCGAATAACAACAACAACAACAACAATCAGAATATTCGACTTATAATGGGGGGCTAAAAACAGTGTTTTTCGTTTTTGTTGTTGTCAATGTTATATAATACTAAACATGATCGAGTAGATGGAAGAAAACGACAGCAAAGTTGCTGTTTTTTTTTTTTTTTTTTTTTTTTGGATAATGATGATCCATTATTATTCCAAAAAAACAACTATAATGCGTTATTGATCACTATAGACATATATCTATTATGATCACACTTGATGCATTGGTTCGACAATAACAATAACAACAACAACAAAAATCTTATATACTGAATATTTTTGACCATTCATATAACGGCCAATTCTTCATCTCTCTCACATTCAATGATTCAACCATTAGTCATTATATAATAATGGAAAAATCTTTTTATCATACAAAATTAGCTTTTTTTTTACTTTAACGATAATGGCTTATTACTTATTTGATCATCATTGGCTGTCAATTTTTATAGAATTTATATAGAGAGAGTGCAAAAGAAATTATTGTCATTTCAAGAGAATATCACACAGAAAGAAGTATATTTCAAGAACAAGAATTTCTCTCTCGAGATTGTTTATTAGTCGTATAGATAGATAGATTTGGAATGAGAGAGAGAGCGAACATTATATATGTTCGAATGAAAATTCCAATAAAATCGAGTATTGGATGATGATAGAATGAAATGAAATGACTGAAAAACATAAGGATTTTTCCAGTTTTTTTTTCTGGTGAAATGATTTTAATCCGGAAAACATTATTATTTAGGTATTTTTTTTTTGAGCAATATTCATTAACAAATTATTGATGTTGTTGTTTTTGAATTTTTTTGTTTTTTTCTGTTTTTGTTTTTTCTCTTCTCCATAAATTATTTAATGATTTGAACCAACTTTACTATAAAGAATATCTATTGGTTGTCTAAAACTATACAATGTTGGTGCACGTAATATAATCAATGCAGCACCACTAATACAGCTTATTGTAAATATCCAAAGAAATAGTCGATCCAATACCATGGCAACAAATTTCCAATCATCTTCGATCTAAGAAAAAGACAAAGATTTTTAAAAATGTTTTTCAACAAACAAAAATTTCAAATTTTACCTGTAAATATTTATCTAGATTACGTTTATGTTGTGATAAAAATTGAATTCTTGTTGTTAATCGTTTCAGATTTGGACTAATAGTTGGATATTGTTCATTGGAATTTATTGAATCATCTGATTTACTTTGATCAGCTATTATTTGTACATCATCTTGTAATTCATCATTTATTATATTTGGTTGATATAGTTGTGATGGTTGTTGTTGTTGTTGTTGTGAAAATCTTATTCGTTGATGATTATCATTACATTTTTCCGGTATAATTGTAAATTCATTTGAATCGATTGATTCGGTTATGCTATTACTTCGTCGCTGTTGTTGTTGTTTTGATGAATATGGATAATTATTATCGAATGAATAAAAATCATCCATCATAGGTCCATATTGTTGTTGATCATATTGATCATAACGTTGTCTTCGTTGTTGTTGTTGTTCCATATCTGTATTCATTTGTTGTTGTTGTTGTTCTTCAGTCAATTCTTCATCATCATCATCTTCACCATTAGAATCTTGTGGTGGTCTTTGCATACAAAGATATTTAGGTAATATTTGTATAAATACTTTTTTAACCCATGGTGCCATACGATGTGTTGATGGTGAACGAAAATTTACATTCAATACAGCTATTGTTGCTACACTTGATAATGTAACCAAAATCATTGTAAATAATAAATAACGACCAAGTAATGGTACTGTTAAACTTGTTGGTGGTATAATTTCGGCCAATAATAGAAAAAACACTACCAATGATAACATAATCGATATTGAAAGGCTTACTTTCTCACCACTATCTGATGGTAAATAAAATACTAAAATTGATAAACATGATATTGCAACACATGGTATAATCAAATTGAATGTATAGAATAATGTTTTTCGTCGTAATGTTATATTGAATGTAATATCAATGTATGGTGTATCGCAACAGCTATAATAAAAAAATTGAAAATTTTCTTTTAAAAATTGAATTTTTGGAAATCAAATGAATAGAAAACCAATACCTATAGAAAATAACTTTACGACGTGCCGGTACAGCCATTATATCCCATTCAACACTTAGATAAAATCCACTTAGATCCATACCCATTTCAACAACTGGTTCATCATTTTTTTCATGTATATGTCTTAGGTCAATCTGTTTTTTTGGTGAATTTCAATTTTTAAAAATTTAAAATTTTTTGTAATTTTTTTTTGTTACAATTTACCGTATAACCATCATATGTCCAGCTACCAAATTTCATAAAACAAGTTTGTTCATCAAATGGAAAATATTCAACATCAATTTCACATGAACTTTTATAGATTGCCGGTGGTTTCTTCAATGAAACAAACAAAAAATTTAGTTCAATAGAAAATAATAATCGAAAAGTTTTGACTTACCCAAATAACAAGACCATCCGAATGAAGTATTGCTTTGGTCAAAATTTGTATTTCATATGCACCATCAGCATTATTATAAAGGGCAATATCTATTTTTGAAAAAAAAGTTATCAAAATTTTTTGTTAAAACAAATTCTTTGATGAGATTTACCTGGTAACCAAATTTGTTCAGATGGTACATGTAATTTAGTTACACCACCATAATCTTCTGGTTCCCATTTTAATTTATAATCAATCCATTCTTGTACAACAAATACATTTGTTGTCATAATTTGATTTTTTAGATTCTAATTTTGTTTGTTTCGAAGATAATTTGTTATTGTTAATGGGAAAACAAATGAATGAATTGAAGACTTACCACATCTATTAATTGTGATAATCGAAGACCCATTTTTACCACTAAACGATCCGAATTATTGCCCTTTGGTTGAACAACGAAAAAAAAATGTCGTAAGATTTTTATGGAAAAAAATCAAACTTACCAATGGTCGAATAATACTATTGTATCCATTGATCAAATCATCGTATAACCGTTTTGCCTATTTTTTTCAAAAACGTAAAAAATTTCAAAAATTTTTCCAAAGTTTTTCAATAACATACATCTGGATTTGCCAATAATTGATCTAATGGCCAAATGAATATCATCATCATCAACAATTTGAATTGGTTGAATGAAATTAACATCATTTTTTTTTTTGATGATTAGAAATAACCGAAGATAATTCAAATGATAATTTCAAGTAAGTCGATTAAAATCAACTTTTTTTTGTTGTTGTTGTTGTTGAATAACCATAATAACATCGTTTTAAAGATATAGGATGCTATCGGAATATATTTCTAAACCCGAGCCAAAAATGTCTGGGCGCATGTTTCTGTTTTTAACATCCAATATCCGCATCCATTGATAGTTGGTCGATTTGATATAGCAGCAGAGTAGTGTTTTTTGTTTAATATATATCATATCAATCGATCCATAACAACCAAAAGAAAAAATTCTTCATTAGTTTTTCTTTCTCTCTCTCTCTCTCTCTCATTTGGTCATTTCAACGAAATGTAAATATTCGATTCAAGTGTGTGAAACAAAATGGATAAATTTTTTAATTGTTGGTCAAGAAAAAATTTGACCACCACCATCATTATAAACCTAAATATCATAATCATTTTATTGCTCAACATTTTTATCCGACCCATTGATGCCAATTCAGGTGATTTGATTTTCTCTGTAAATTTCTTTGTTAATAAACATCATTTTTTTAAATAAAGATGCAAAAAGATTATATGATGATCTATTATCTAGCTATAATCGTTTAGTTCGTCCTGTTAGTAATAATTCGTAAGTTATTTTTTTTCCGTAAAAATCCTTTTTCATTCATTTTATTTTTCTTTACCCAAAAAGACAAAGTTTGAAGGTTAAACTTGGATTAAAATTAACTCAATTAATCGATGTGGTATGTAGAATTTGGTAGATGACCATGTTGTTGCTAAATCTAACATTCATATTCCAATTACAGAATCTAAAAAATCAAATGATGACTACAAATGTATGGGTAACACAAGAATGGTATGATCATAAACTTAAATGGGATCCGGAAGAATATGGTGGTGTAAGACAATTATATGTACCATCGGAACAATTATGGTTACCAGGTAGAATTTTTTTGAATTTTGAAAATTTGATTTGCTTTCATCAATGATTATCATTCATTATATAAAGATATTGTATTGTACAATAATGGTGATGGTAATTATGAAATAACCATCATGACCAAAGCAATTCTTGTAAGTGAATTGTATCGATTGTTGTTGATTGGAAAAAAAGAAAATTACTGAAATTAAAATATTTTCATTCAATTATAGCATTATGATGGTTTGGTTACATGGAATCCACCGGCAATCTATAAAAGTTCATGTAATATTGATATAAATTATTTTCCATTCGATTATCAAGAATGTACAATGAAATTCGGTAGCTGGACATATAGTGGTAATGAAGTTGACCTTATTCATTTGAATGAAGGTAATGGTACTGATCTTTTGGAATATGGTATCGATTTATCTGAATTTTATCTAAATGTTGAATGGGATATAATGCATGTACCGGCATTACGTAAAGTTATTAAATATAGTTGTTGTCCACAATTTTATCCCGATATTACATTCAATATAACATTACGACGAAAAACATTATTCTATACAATCAATTTAATTATTCCATGCGTATCGATATCATGCCTTTCGATTCTTGTATTCTATATGCCATCGGATAGTGGTGAAAAAGTTACACTTTCAGTATCAATACTATTATCACTTAGTTTTTTTCTTCTTGTTCTAATTGAAATTATTCCATCAACATCATTGGTTATACCATTGATTGGTAAATATCTTATATTTACAATGGTATTGGTAACACTATCTGTTATTGTTACCATATTGGTTATGAATATACATTTTCGTTCACCATCTACACATAGAATGGTAAGCAGGAAATTTCAATTTTTTTTTTTAAATTCACGATTTAAAATCCATTATCTATTCATTTTATAGTCACCATGGATTCGAAAAACATTTATGCATTCATTACCAAGATGGTTATTAATGAAATCACCACAATTCAAGCTAGAATTACCGGATACAGAAAAGAAAAATGCACAACAACAATTACAATTAAATCTTGAACAACAAAATAAAAAAAATATGACATTACAATCACCAACACCACCACCAATCGATTGGAATCAATCAATCGATTCAACATTTGATAATTTAATGGTTACAAATCATCCGGCTTCATCGATGATGATGATGATGAAACAACGTGAACCACATTATTGTTATCCAAGAAAAATTGATCAAATCATATTGAATGCTATATTCATTGCTCATCATATTGATAATGCTGATGAATATAAAAGTGTATGTATTTTGATATTTGATTTAAATGATTTTGAAAAAAAAATCAATTAAAATTTTTTTCCAGAATCAAGAAGATTGGAAATATGTATCAATGGTATTGGATCGATTATTTCTTTGGATATTTACATTAGCCTGTATAGTCGGTACAGGTGGAATATTTATGGTTGCACCATCCATCTATGATTTAGGTAAGCAACAAAAAAAAAATAAGCAATTTCTTTTTATTTGGTTATGTTTTCAAAAAAAAATTTTTTTTTTATCGCCAGATGTACCATTGGATATTCAAATGTCAACTATTGTCAAAAGTCAATTCTAGTATTATAATATAGAGAAAAATAAAGATGATGACAAAAAAAAAATCAATACATTTGAAGAATAAAATATTTGAATGAAAATTTTAAGATTTTATAAGTTTGGATGATGTGTGTTTGGTTTATATTTTGTAAGTAATGAATGAATGAATGAATGGGAAGAAGGAAAAAAATATAAATTCATTAACTAAATCAAATTAATTGATCATAATGATGTGATGATTCAAAATTTCAAACATGAGTAAATAGATTATTGATGATTTTTAAAAAAAAAGAGATTACGTTGATTTATATGGGTAATTAATGCAAATTTCAAAGAAAAAATGAATCAATTTTATATTCAATCGGTTTCATCATCATCATCATCATTATTATTGTTAGATTCTGATCGTTTTTCATCATCATCATAATCATCTTTATTTCGAGCTTCATTTGAATCTTCATTCGAATCTCGACTACGATCATTATCATCCGAATCATGATGTTGTTTACGATTTTTATCATTCGATGTTTCTTTATCCGAACCATTATGATGATCATCATTACCGTCATCATTTCGATGATTTCGTTCATCACCACTTGATGCATGTGAACTATTGTGATCATCATTTTTATTTCTTTTCTCACCATCACTCGTTGAATTTGAACGTGCACGTGGTGGCGATATTTTTTCACTACGATCTGATTCGGCTGAACTAGCCGAACGTGATCGATGTCTTGATGGTGTTGAACTTTTCGAACGGCTATATCGTCGACTACCACGGCCATGACTACGACTGCGGCTACGACTTTTTCTTCTAATAATTAAAACAATTAAAGATGGGCTAAAATTAGTGATCATTACTTACCGATAGGGCGATCTGGATCGACGTTTTGAACGATTCTCAGCACGTTTACGTTGTCGGCTATTTGGACGGGCATATTTAGCCATTTGTATACTAAGAACACGGCCATCAAGACGTTCACCATCAAGTTTACGCATCGCTTCTTCAGCATCTCGTTTACGAAAATAACGTACAAATGCAAATCCACGTGTCATATAAGAATCAGGATATCTGGGTACATAAATATCTCCCAATTCACCATATCTAGAAAAAAGTCTTTTCAACTGACTAACAGTGGTTCTATGAGTTATATTGTCAACTTTGAGCGAAATCATACCCTCAATGCGAGGAGGGCCTTGTCCTTTTGTACTGAACTCATTCTCCGGTTCCGTAGAACGAGATGATCGTTTTGCACCTCGTTGACTGTTGCTATGATATGATCGATCTCGATCGCGACTACGGCTACGGCTATGACTACGGCTTCGGCTACGCTTACGACTATCATCACGGTTACGATGATGTCGATTTGATGATGATCGATGTCTGCTTTCACGGCTTCGTTCTCTACGGTTCCGGTTACGGTCCCGGCTACCAGTTTCGATTACCGGACTAGACATTCTTTCTTTTTTGTATCAGCCTCTGCTTCTATTAATTTGTTTATATTGTGAGCTCAGTTTTTGTTCTGCAACAGCAAAAAAAAATATTGTCCTCTTTTCTGTTGTGTATGAATTTATAGAAAAGCGATAGCGAAATCAATGAAAGAAACAAACAAACAAAATTTGTACTCTACTATCAAATCAATCAATAAGAATTTTGTTCAAAAAAAAAATATTCCTAAACAATATATATCTTTCCTTCAAATAATGTGACGAGTGCTTCCGATGATGATCGTAAACAAAACGATGACAATGATGATGATGATGGTCTCAGCATTTGATTAACAGACAAAATTATCATGTTCGTATTTAATCAAAAAAACTGTTTTTGCCATGTGTTTTGAAAAACGAAAAAAAATATGATAAAAATATGAAAAAAATTATTAGTGAAACATTCTGAACTTACCTAAATTTCGAATGATATTTTCTATTTATTATATCGGTGAAATTCTTAAACAAAAATTAAAATTGAAACAAACAAACAAACAAAAAATATCGAGCATAAACATAACACATCAGCGTGATGATTTGGTGTGCGCTACAACAGTGTGCTGGTTATAAATCCTGTGTGCTGAATTTTTTTTTCGCAGTTCGGTCTTGTTGGCAATAAACGAGAGAAAAAAAAAGTGTTATTTAGGTTGATGATGAGGATTTTTGTCAGAAGCATCAATTTTCCAACTGTATTCATAAACAACGTTTCCAAAAAGAATTCTGAAAATATTTCTTTCGCAAAAAATTTTCTATATATAAAATTCTTTGGAAAAAAATTCCCGCCAATCTTAAATCAAATGAATAATTTAAATGAATCTCAACAAATTAATGATAAATTATCATTAATCAATATGATTCAACTTGTTTCAATGAATCATTCAGAAATTCAACGTTGGATTGTTGATAATTATCCAAATAAATCAAATAGTTCAAGATATAAACTTTATCAGGTAAAGTTTGTAATCAATGTTCAATGATTTTTATTGATTAATTTCAATCAATAGAATATGGTACAAACACGTCAATCCTATATTGATCGTTTGATGAAATCACAATCAATTCAAAGTTCAAATTTAACACCAATTAAATGTCGTATTCATCCGTAAGTTTTCTTTTGCCTCTGATAAAAAAATTCATTTTCAATTTGTTTAGATTGAACAAGGTTTTCCAATCAATTCGACCATCATCCATCATATGTATAACTGGTGATTCAAATACTGGAAAATCGATGCTCGCAACATCTATTGCAATCGATTGTGCAATATTATCCAAACGGAAAGTTTTGTTTATCGATTCTGATCTATCATTGACCGATGATCGTTTACGTTTATTTCATTCGAATGATTTGAATGAACTCGATTCATTCATTCAAATTTATCAGATATTCGAGATAAATCGTTTATACGATCTATTCGAAATGATCGATCAAGATGAACAATTACATCGATCAGTATTGATAATTGATTCACTTAATTGTTTCTTATGGACAGCCGTTCATTCAAAATGTTCAAGAGAAATATTTATAGCACGATTATTATATGCAATTGAATCGATTACACGTAAATGTCATCTAACAACTATTATTACTCGATTGGAAAATCGATATGATCAACCACTTCATTTGGATGTTGATATTATATTAAAAAATGATGATGATCATATTGTGGCTAAAATTACAACAGCAAATACATGGCCTCGTTCCGAAATTGATTTCAATTTTAATATTACAAAAGATTTATTATCTTGTCAACAATAATACTTTTATGTTAATTTATTTTTAAAATATTGTAACAATTCATATGTTGCCGATTTGTTTTGTGACATTTGTTTTGTTTCCATTTTGATCAAAATATCCTGTTTATCACGTTTGATTATCAAGGAACAATGTAATAGATATGTTAGATTTGTTTTACATAATTCATTTGATTGTGAAAATTTTTTGTTTGAATTATGATTATTATCATCATCATCATCTAATGACCGTTTACCGGCAATGAAATCATCTTCGGCAATTTTTTCCATTAATTCTTTTGATAATTTTTCTCTTCGTTTACGACGTTGATTTTTCCAATTTGCTTCATTCGATTTAATATCGAATTCAATACGTTTATTCAATTTGATTATCTGAAATTGTTCGATATGTAAATCGTTTAATAATAAATTTTCGATATAATTTCCAATAGATTCAATTTTATAATCACATGCTTTTATATCCTGATCCAGATAATGTATCAATGGTTTTGGTTTGGATTGTAATATTTTTGGTGAATTGGCCAGATTGAATCGTTCATCAAATGTCCAAGCTAATGCCCATCGTTTTGTATTACCTTGACATAATTCGGTATGAGCAAAACTAGCCAATGTCTTGTTTTTTATCATATCTTTAAGTAAATATTTTAATTCAAGAAATGTTTTCTTACGACCAACCATTACCGTATAAAGATCAACCAATTTCTTTGTCTGTAAACTTTCATCGAGAATTCGTTTGATAAATACAAGCTCACCACCATCACAAATAGCTTCATCGGATGATGCAGAATTTGTTTTTCGTTGATGAAACGTTATTCTACGATCATTTGGTTTTTTATCATTTATATTTTCAAATGAATCATTGAATGTATCTTCGAAAAATGGTGGATTAGTCATAACAAAAGTAAAATGAGAATTCTGTACAAGATGTTTGAAGATGGTATCAATATTACGATTATCATAAACTATGAAATGTGAAACCAAAATTTGAAAAAAACGATAAGAACAGGACAAAAAAACAATGTTTAAATACTTACTTATAATTTTATCATTTAAATTATTATTAGTAACATTTTTATTAGCATAATCAAGATTGATTGGATCAATTTCGGTGGCAATAAATCTCCAATCAGGATTTAAAATTGTTGCTAATAATGGAAAAATTGAACATGAACCAGTACCAATATCGATACCTTGTATTTGATAAAATAAACGACAATGTTGAAGAAGATCTTCAATCCAAAGAATATAATTCAAACGCATCGGTATTGTTGGTACAAGTCGTTGTTCGGGTATTTGAACATCCAAATGAAAATCATTTTTCAATAATGTTTTTGTTAACGATCGTAATACGACAATATCACTATAATCGATATAAGATTTTCCTTTTTCATCATGACAAACATGTTGACCAAATTCAGGATATTCACGACCCAAATGATCGTAATCAAGTTTTTTGCGATAAATATTACGAGGATGCATAAATTGATTGAAAGCCATTTTTATTTACTTTTTTTTCGCATTTAATTTTTTTTTATTTTGTCAAAAAACATGTCCTTTTTGCCGGGGTGCCAATCAAACCGTTCATATAACTTGTGCCCGGCTAAATCATCATCGAAACACATGAAAAAAGCATAAACACTAATTTTTTTGTTTGCAAACAAGCTTTGTTGTTTGACATTCTTTTTCATCAATTCAATTTTTGGAAATTATAATCTTAAAAAGATGCCAAAGTAAGTTTTCGAGTTAGAGTATATTTTTATAATTGATTTATGATAATTTTTTTTCGTTTTGTTTATAGATATTATTGCGATTATTGTGATACTTTTCTTACACATGATTCGGTAAATCATTTAATCAATTATTTTTCTTGAAATATCTAATTTTAATTATTTTTTAGCCATCCGTACGTAAAACTCATTGTAATGGACGTAAACATAAGGAAAATGTTCGATTCTATTATCAAAAATGGATGGAAGAACAAGCACAGAATTTAATCGATGTTACAAGTAAGTTTTTGTTTTGTTTTTCAATTCAATTAACATTGATTTTTTTTGATAATCCGAAAAAAAACAATAGCGGCTGCATTTAAAGCTAACAAAGCTTTAGTACCACCAGCTGCATTAGCAGCAATGCGACCACCAAATGCACCACCAATTCTTCCACCACAAGGATTACCTCCTGGTGCAAGATTTCCACCTGGTGCTCCACCACCGATGCCAATTCCACCTGGCCGTTTACCATTATTACCAAATGTTCCACCGGGAGCTCCACCACCACCACCCGGTGTACCGCCAATGATGTTACCACCAATGCGACCACCATTACCAGGTCAAATGATACCTGTATCTTCTGCTAATTCTGTTATTAACTCATCTGGAATACCACAGCCACCACCACCAAATCTAATTCCAGGACAACCACCATTACCACCAAATTCATTGCAACAAGGACCACCAGGTGTATTTCCGCCGATTCCGGGTCAATTACCTCCACAACTTAATATTTCACATCAATCAAGGCATTGAAAAAAAATTTTGAAAAAATCTCATCACACACAAACACACGTCATAGGTCATTAAAAAAATGTATGATGATGTTCAATTTAATTGTCACTTAGTCATTGACAATGTTGAAATGATTATAAAAATAAAATCATCATCCAAAATAATGATTCAAATTCGAAAAAAAAAATTTTTCCAAAATACACTGACATGGCCATCAATGCACACACACACTTATCGCACACAAACACAAAATTCGAATATAAATAGCGATTTCGATTTCAATCCAAAAATTTTCATTTGACAAATTTTTTTTTCTTACATCTTCATTCTTTTTTCATTATTATATTTTTGATTAAAAAAAGCAGAAAATTTTATTATTATTTTCTCAATTTTTTTTTGTCTGTTTGTTTGAAATGTATTTGTTCGTAGCATTATTTTGATCGACGTGCGGTTCTCGTGTGTTTTTGATATTTGTATTGACCAAAAAATTCTCATCGATCGAATCAATCTTCTTTTTTTCAAAAATGATGGAATTAAGATCCAACTTATTGCAACAACAATTACCATTGGTATCATCAATATCAATATCACCATCATCATCAATATCAACATCGAATGTTGTTGGTAGTAAATCCAATTCAACGACAATTATGGCTGATTCTACATCAGCTATAAATATTAGTAGTAATAGTAGTAATAATGGTCATTTAGAATCGGATTCATTATTTTACGAAAAAGATCTTAAAGTGGACAAAAAAATATTGGCTATTATGAATCAAGGTAAAGTTATTCATGTGTAATTTTGAATATAATAATCATAATAATTTAATTTTGATCTAAAATATATAGGTGGCAATGATACTCATCCATCGTTGAACAAATTCTTATCTCGTATATCGATTGAAACAAATTGCCATGTAGATGTATCGAATTCGTTAAGAGATCGACAAGGTAATGAAATACCGGTGCTTAAAGTGAGAGCAAATAATCCAAAAAGTTTAGAGGTTGCATCCGCTCTTATTATGGAACGATTGGATCCTCATCGTGACAAAATGACATTCAATATCGACGTGCCCTATAATGACCATTCATATATAATTGGCAAAGATGGTACCCGTATAAAACAATTATCTCGTATGACCGGTTGCCATATACATTTGCCTGATTGCAATAAAACAAGTAATAAAAAATCCAATAAATTATCTATTGCTGGTACAGAGTTTACTGCTATTGATAAAGCTCGTGATCAGATTCGAAAATCATTACCATTGAATATTGGATTCAAAGCTCAGATTAAATCGGGAAAATTTGTTCGAATTGATACGGCAAGCGCTGAAGTACAGGCTGTAAAACGTAAATATCGTGTTGATGTAACATTTACCAATGTTGTTTCGGATACTCGTTGTCCGGAAGTGACAATCAACGTTAAAGGTGGTCGCGCACAACTTGAAGAAATTGAAGCAGCCACTCGTGAATTGTATCAATTTGTAACCGAAGAAGAATTTGAACCTAATCATTCACCTGTAATGTTTGCAATAACAATCGATATAAGCCATTCACATCATCAATATGTGAAAGGAAAGAATAATTGCAATCTTAAAGTCATTAATTCACGATCTCATGCTACGATTTTATTTCCACCGCATGAATCGAATAGCAATCAGGTGATCATACAAAGTAGACATCTGCTATCAACAGTAATGGGTTGGCAAGAATTGATGGGCTATTTACCATTGTTATTATCATTCGATGTTAATTTCGATATTAATGCTCATCAATCTCGTTTACAAAGATTGGAAAAAGAATTCGGTGTTGGTATTCGTACACGGGAAAAATTATCAGGTCATGTTTATACGGTTCTGATTAAAACTCAGGAACGTCATTCGACTTATCTACAGGAGATCAGACAAAGAATCTTGAATTTCAAGTCGGATAATGAAAATCAAATCAACGAAAACAAAGCTGTCTTGGCATTAGCTACTATTGATCATCATCAACAACAGCAGCGGCAAGAATTAGCGGCCAGTATTGCCAATCCGATGATATCCAATCGTGGTTTGATGAATTTGTCAACAACACCTTATGCATTTTCATCAAATGTTTTACAGCCAATGATTGACAATAATATGAAAACGATCAAATCTAATCGTTCGAATTCGAATTTCCAATCAATCAACAACAATGGTTTTCATGATCATTCATCGAATTGTCCAACATGTCATACAGTAATTGATTCGAATTTCTTTCTTTTTAAATTTATGTTTCGATTAATATTAGATTAATTTTTTTTTAGAATTGTATAGCCGGATTTTCGGGCAACGATACAAGTTTGAAATCTTTGGATGAATCATTACCATTCTGTCAACCATCATCATCAACAACATCTTTTAATCCATTTAATTTTCGTGAAAGTATTGAACTTTCTCCCGGTAAACCAATAACTTTTGGCGATAAATTGAATTCATTTAATCCGATAGGTAATATTTCTAATGGTGGTAATAATAGCAGTATATATTCGACAACTAATGTTAATGGCCATCAATCAACATCAGCATTCGGTTTCAATCGATCATCAATAGGAACATCATCGACAAATCATAAATCATCATGGCCATCATTGGTAACAACAAATGGTATTGGCAATAACACTAATAACAATTATATTCACCAACATAACGATCATTTTTATAATCATCATCATCAAAATAATAATGATTATTTATATAATCAAATTCAATCAAGTTATTTAAAATGTTCAGCATACGATGATACGATGAGCAATATGAAAAGTTATTCAACTGTTTTTAAATAATGTACCTTGCGGAAAAAATCATTTTTTTGGTGGAGCTACGAAAATTTAGATTTGGCCAATATTGATCATCTTTTTTTTGAAACCATTTATGACCCGTGAATCATGACCAACATGTTAAAATTTCTATTTGTTTTTCGTTTTTTTTTGGAACAAACTGCATCATTCATCAATGAATTGTTATTTTATCTCAATGTTAAAACTTTCAATTAGGCAAAAACAACAACAACAACAAAAAACGCAGACAAGGATGATGATGAATGTTAACATTCCAAAATCAAAATCAAGTCTTTGATATTGAATTTTATTATTATTATTATTATATTCTATTGTGTTGTTCAATTATTATATAAATATTTTGAATTCAACTTTATATAAAAAAAACAATGTCTTCATTTTGGATATTTGTTTGTGTGTGTGTTTCAGTGTTTTTTTAAATCAATTTGATTGAAATAAACAAATAAAAACAACAAAAAACATTTCAAAAACTTTTTCTTGCTAAAAATTTCCAGATTAAAAAATCAATATCGAGTCAAAAGTATACTTAGATATTCAGTTCAGGTAAAGACAGGTAAATATTCAGTTCAAACCGATTAGGATTTTTTTGTAAAGGTTGTTCAGGTAAAATTATTAATTAATAATAAATAACTTTCAAATCAAATCGCATTTTGGTATTTGAGTAAAAAAAGGCAACATCATTTTTTAAAACAAAAAAAAATCTGTTTGTAAAATTTGTTATGTGTGTGTGTGTATTTTCAGTTTTTACTTTTTTTTCCTTCTTGTTTAAAACAGAATTATTAATGATCAAAAATTTCACAAAAAATATATACTTTTTCAGGGTATATAATTAAAACGAGAGAATTAAATAATTAATTAAATAAACAACAACATAAACAGACAGAAAAACAAACAGAAAATCAACAAACAGCCATTTGTATATTTGTTGAAATTATCCAGTTGGATCATTACGATGAATCATTGATGATGAATGAGGCTGTTGTTGTTGTTGTGTATGTCTGTTATTGCTATTGGAATAATTTCGTACATGTCCCATCACATCATGACGACTCATTTCTTCCAAAACGCTAGGTGCAACATATGTAAAACCAATAAACATTTCATTGATACTACGACTTAGATGTGAACTTTCTTCCGGTGAATCAATTGGCATTTGTTCAGTAAATCTTGTATCAAATTGACTAACATCATCTTCCGAATGTAACGCAGGCCTGAATGGTGGACTAAGTCGTTTGAAAAAAACATCATCCCAATTAACTTTATTAAAAAATGCATGATGTTTAACTGGTGTAGCATCATCTGTACCCCCTCCAAGACGTAATTCCGGTGATCGTCTTAACAATTTACGGATCAAATCTTTTGCTTCATGTGTAAGATGTTTGGGAAATTTAAGTTCAGCATGTAATATTTTGGCAATTGTTTTGTTACGATTCGAACTAATAAATGGCGGTTTACCGGTCAACATGTCAAACATTAATGCACCCAATGACCACCAATCAACTATTTATGAAATTAATTAAAAAAAATTTAAATTTAATATTAACAACTGGAAAACTTACCGGCATGATTATGACCGATTCGTTTGAGAATTTCAGGTGCCATATATTCAACTGTACCACAGAATGTATAAGTCATTTTACCACTTTGTATAGATTCTTTACAAAGACCAAAATCAGTCAATTTAACATGGCCATGTTGATCGAGCATAATATTTTCCGGTTTTAAATCACGATAAATGATACCCAATTTATGTAAATGTTCAATAGCCAAAATGATTTCGGCTGTATAGAAAATGACGGCATTTTCAAGCAATAAACCTTCACGTTGTAAATACATGAATAGTTCACCACCACTTAAATATTCGAGTATTAAATATAATTTTCCACGTGTTTGAAACGCATACATTAAATCAACAATAAATGGATGTTTAACACTTTCCAATATATTACGTTCAGCTTTTGTATGATCAGTATCTTTAATGCTACGAACAATTTTTGCTTTTTTCAACACTTTCATTGCAAATATTGTTCCAAGATTTTTATCCGTAACTTTTCTTACTTGAAACACTTTTCCATATGCACCCATACCGAGTACTTTTAATAATTCAAAATCATTTGTAGAAACACGTTCATGATGTTGACAATTTACCATTTCTTCCGTTAATTCAATGCTATTATTTTCCGGTCCTAAATTAATTACTTCTTCAGCGGTCGCTTCAAACGTATCGATCTTTATTATTTCAAACAAAAATTATCAATAAAAAAAGCTTTATTAATCATAATTTTACCTCAATTTCATTATTAACAATCATTTGATCATCATTTTCGATTTCATAATCAAGTAAACGATTTGTATGATGATTATTTTGTTGTAAATGATTATTATTATTATGATTATGACCAGTAATTCTTGATTGATTATTATTATTAATTAATTGTTGTGATGATGATTGAGAATTCGAAAAATCTTCAATCTCCGAATCATTTAATTCCATTTCGAATATAGTGGCCATTGTTTAGCGTTTTTTAGGCAACAAATTGGTGACGCAACAACAAAACAAACAAAAATCTTCACTTTGGTTCAGAGTCAAAACAAAACAAACAGAAATATAGAAAAATTTAGATGATTTTAACAACAAAAAAAAGATGATCAAGAATAATTTTTTCGTTGATGATCATCGATGATAAATGTTATTATCATTATCATCATCATCAGTTAGATTTTCTTTTTCAAAAATAAACAAATTCCAATCACAAAATCATCAAAAAAAATCAAAATGCCGAAAACTCTTATTTACATCGCACATTCGTTTCATTCGATTTTTCTATTCCGAAATCGCCAAGTCAAACAAAAACATCACACACACAAACACACAGCACAACACATATTATCGGCAAAAAAATTGGATCGTTAATAAACATCGTTATGTATTCAATGCTCACAATTTATTGATGGCCACAACAACAACAACAACAAAAATAGAAAAAATTTCAAATGAAATCAGGTCAATTTGATTGATAATATCTCTCCATAGAAAGATTTTTTAAAAAAGAGCAAAAACTTGAAAATAACATTGGTCTATTTTTTGTTTACAAATTTAAAATCAATTTTATTATTCAATCGATCGATCAATTGATCCAAAAGGAAAAAAAATTGCGTTTTTTTGCGAAATAATTTTTTTAATTTGTTTTTGTTCCAAAAATTGATTACGATGTTTGATCGATTGTAAATTCAATATTACTTAAATTATTACCATAATAATCATCATCATTATCACTAACAATACCTAAACGTCTACCTAATTGTTTAACTTTATGTATAACTTCTTCTTGCATTAAATTAAAACACATTGCTAATAATGCCATACCGGCTAATAAATAAAGACTACAAATAACTAATTTTTCTTGTGAACCAGAACTATCGACAACAGATGCACCGGGTACAAGATCGCCAAAACCAATCGTACTTAATGTTACAAAACAAAAATAAGATCCATCCAAATAATTCCAATTTTCCCAAATTGAAAATAGAAGACCACCACCACAAACATAACCAGTCAATATAAATAGACAAAGTGTAATTGGTACATGGACACGATTATTTTCTTTAAATTTAATTGTTGTCATTGTTGTTGTTGTTGATGGTATCGATGTTGTCATTGTCATCATTGTTGGATCATTATAATTATAACCACCAACACCGACACCTGTATCATCCATTCTTGATGTATGATTATTCAGACTAGATAATTTTGTGAAAATTAATGAAAAAAAAGAATTTAGAAACCTTAATAATAATATTTACCCAAATGTACCGGTCGGTGCCGAAACGGCACGTTGTAATAATAAACGATTTCTTTGTTTTAATTGATTTGATGATTGTTTACAAGAACACAAACCACCATAAACATAACGAAATGATTTAGCCAATATATCACCAATATTTGTTAAATATAATAACATTAATGGTATACCAATAATAGCATATAATATTGTCATTAATTTTCCACGATCAGTACGTGGACTAATATTTCCATAACCAATTGTTGATATTACTGTTAGACTGAATAAAAATGCACCCGAAAATGACCATTGTTCACGACCTTTACTTTGTTGTCCTTCATAACCATCTTTTATTGATTTAAGTAATTCACGTTGAAATAATTTTATCGTATCAGTTACCTGTGCATTCCATTTATTATGATATAATATATTTGTATTATATGCTAATTACAAGTTGTAAAATAAGAATGAACATCATTAGTAAACATCATTATTATTAAAACAAAAAAAATATCAAAATATCATACTTATATTCCATAAATTCAATATAGTTTTATTACGTAATTCATTCACCTGTTTAACTGTTTCAACTTCGAATGGTGATTCAATTGCACGAAACATAAATGCACCACCAACCGAATATGCAACAACTAATACACAAAGACCAACATTTGATAATAAAAATGCAAAAAATTTTCTACAACAAATTCTACATTTTGATGGTGGTGGTGGTTTACGTTTTGATTGTTTTGTTGTTTTGTTGATTGTTGTTATCGTTGATTTTTTTGATGATTTCATATGACCAACATTATTTGAATAAGTAGTTTCTTTTGATTGATGATTTTGTTTTTTCATTATCGATCAGTGTGATTTGGTGATTTTGGGTTAGGTTAATTGAAAGAAATAACAAAAAATAAAATTTAAAGAAAGAAGATTTGAAAAAAAGAACATTGTAAATTTACAAAACAAAACAAAACATCATCGTCATCATCACCATAAACATCGAATTGGATCGAATCCAAAGAAAACAAACGTTTTTCTCTCTCTCCCTCTCTCTTCCCCATTCATTGATTTTCATTGAAAAAAATAAAAATAAAAATTTTTGAATTTCATTTTAAGTAAACGATTTGTTTTATTAGAGTAAAAATCTGGCAATAAATTACAAAAAAAATTTAACCTGATCTTTGAATATTTTGATCTTGTTTTTTTTTGTTCTGATTGAATTTGATTTAGTTGAAAAAAGTGGAAAAAAAATTTTAGTTTTTTTTAAAAATATTTTTCATAAAAATCTGGAAGGAAGTGAAAGTGGAAAAAAGATCAGTTCGGTGATGTTGTCCGTATAGGACGTTCATTGTTTATTTTTGTTTTGTTCGAATCTATCACATTTGAATTAAAAAGGAAAGAGAATTGTGGATGCTCCAACAAATCATTAAACATCGATATCTTCATTGGTTTGAAATTTGGATTGATGTTGTTGATGATGATGATGTGATGATTGTAATGGTAGCTGTTGTTGTAATGATCCATGATGATTCATCATTTTTATTGAATTTTCTTTCATTATTATTTCGTCTATTTGTTGTTGATGACGTTGCTGTTGTAATTGTATTTTATAACCAATCTTTTTGAATTTGAATGCCAATTGTTCATAAACTATTAGTGATATGTCGAATATTAAAAAAAATAAACGGAAATTCATTAGTAATATGTAATTAAATGCATATCAACGTCAACCAAATAATAATGATGATTATAATGATTGAAAATAGAAACTTACTTAAATTGAAACTCATTGCTACTAATGTCATACCGCCTAGTATATAGATGACTATAATAATGATTCGTTTTTTTGATTCCGTTTGATTTTGATTTGCTGTCGATGATGATGATGATAATGTTTTTTCGGGTAAAATGTCGCCGAAACCAATTGTGCTATTGTGATTTAAATTGAATATAATTATGTAAATCACTATTGTGAAAAACAAAATTAGGAAATATGAAAAAGACATACCTAAGTGTAACAAAACAAAAATAGGCACCATCAAGAATGGGTAACCCTTCCCAAATATGAAACATAATACTACCGGCCATTATATACAATGTAATCAATAGAAAACAGAAATAGAATGGTACATTATCAGTTGCCATACGACTATTATTTGCGCCAAAATCATCAAAACCTAAATTTGATGAATCTGATTGATGTAATTTATGATACAAATGATGATGATGATGATGATGTAAATGTTGATGATTAAGATCAAGATCTAATTTATTAATAGATTGATGATGAAAAGCTGTATTGAATGGTGAACCATCACATACACTGGCACCAACATTACTACAATGATGTTGTGGATCTAAAGTTGTTGTACCTGGATAAGTTTGAAATTTTGTATCACAAATATGATGATGATGATCCATTATTGTTGGATCGGATAGTTTTGCCGTTGGATCGGTAATAACCGTAGTGGTAGCATTTGTTGGATCTAAAAGATCACAAGAACATGCTCGATTATCATAATGTCCACCAATAGTATTACAGGTTGATACTGGTGGATATAACGAATTTAATTGAGCATAATTTTTCGTTTTATTTCCAATATTATTCATATCTAATGTTGATATAAGACCACCACCGCCACTATTATTATCATTATTGCCAACAATATTATTCATGGCAATATGATGTATTTGATAATTATCATGATGATGATGATGTTGTAAATGATCTTGGCTATTTAAATTATTCGGTGTGTTTGCTGTTGGTGTCGGTGTTGTTGTTGCTACAGCTGCTGCTGCTGTTGTTGTCGTTGGTGTTGATGTTGGTAAATTTTGAAATGAATATGGTGATGATGATGAATCAATACCATTTGGATTACAATGACAACAAAATTGATATAAATATTTAAGACCACGACCAAGTAGGCTACCAATTGTAGATAAAAATAATAACATTATCGGTATACCGAATAATGCATAAATTATTGTTGTTAATTTTCCTTCCACTGTTAATGGACGATTAGCGTATCCTTTTAATTTTTGAGAAAAAAAAAATCAGTGAATTTAAGATTAATTTTGTTTTTTCAAATTATCAGTCATCTTACCGATTGTCGTTATAATCGATATACTATACATCCATGAATCAATAAATGACCAACGTGTATAAAGATGTTGTTGATTTGGATTAAATTCTTGTTGCTGTTGTTGTTGATGATCATCATAATTATGATGATGTTCATTTGGTTGTAAATCATCACTATCAATATTATTATTGTTATCAATATTTATCGATGAACTAGATGATAGATCATAAATCAAAGGCCAATAACCATCTTTGAATGAATCGATTAATGTACGTTGAAATTGTTCAATTTCTTTTGTTGCCATTGTTGTCCAATTTTCTTTATATAAAACATTTAATTTATATGTTTCAATCCATAAACGATCAACAGTTTCATTGCGTATACGTTCAATAAGACGATTTCGTTCAATAATGCTTGGTTCTATTCATTTTTTTTAAAAAATGCAGAAAAATTATCAGAGAAAGCAATAAATCATTATTTTTCCCCAAACAATTGATAAATCAAAAAACAATATTCCAACAATGTACAAATCCAAAATCAAATTCCATGATCATCAAACGAATATTTAAAAAAAAAAGAGAAAGACGGAAAAAAAAGAAAAAATAAAAATTCAAACATTAGCCATGAATAATAAAAAAGAATAAAACAAAATTTCACTATTATGATCATCATCATCATCTTTGGTAAAATTAACATCATCATCTCTATTGTGTTTTATAGTGAATATATTCCTATCTGTTTCGTTTTGTTTATTCTTATCTTTTTGTTGTTGTTGTTGTTGTTGTTATTCATATTCAATTGTAGTTTATTTTTTATTTATTTATTTATTTTAAACAACACGGCTGGTGTTCTTCTATGTAGGTTCATTAACTATAACATCATCATCATCATTATCAACGACCTAAACATCTTTCTTCTTATCATTCTACAAGATTGTAATGTTAATGTTCATGATGATGATGATGATGATGAGAATTTGGAACATTTTCAAACCATATTTTCCCTAAGTAAATCTCAAAATATAAAAAAAATAATGAAAATGGGCATTATTTTTTTTGGCTTTCGGATAGAACAACAACAACAAAAAAAACGTAACATCAAGAAAAAAAGGTGAATCAAGGGACCCATTCATATAAATTTTTATGATCATCATCATCATCATTGTTTGGTTGGTTGTTGTTATTTATTTGTTGTTGTTGTTGTTGTTGTTCTCATCATTTCCTGATTCATTTTTTTAACAACAACAACATTAACGCGTTCGCTACCGGAGATTTCGAAAAACACATAGAACTACAGCAAATAAACGACGCATATATGCGTCGCTGGTAGCGAACGCGTTAAAGAACAAACAATTTACTTTATTTATTTAAAGAAAAATTTACAAGTATCGAAAGACTATAAACATAAATATAATAATAATTGAATACAAACCAACCAATAACAACTACTTGAACAACAAAAAAAATGAACATTGATTTTAATAAATTGATTTTTTGTTGGAATCGATTCCAAGAAAAATCAATTGAAAAAAATAACAAAAAGAAAATTTCGTTTTTTACCTTCAAAATGACGAAATAAAAATGCACCAATTATTGTATAGGCAAATACTAATAGACCAAGGCCAATATGTGAAAATAAAAAGGCAAAAAATTTAAAACAAAAATTCCATTGCCTTCGTATAATAATATTATTATTATTGCCATTTTGATTTTTTTGTCGATTTGATGTTTTATTATTAATATCAGCCGTTGATTTATTAATTGAATTATATGATGGTTGTTTTGGTTGTTTATTAACTACCGCATCTGTTTGATAAGCGGCCGAATCTGTACGATATGATGACATGATTTTTTTCTTTTTTTTTGTTTGGTATTCAGAAATTCTTTAGATTCTTTTCAATCTGTATGTGTGGAATTTGATGCTTGTAATAGAATGTAATGATTCTTTTCTCTTTTTTCGCTTGATGATGCTAATAATGATGATAAGATGAATACATTGAAATAATCAGGAACGCCTCAACCATCACCACCATCAACGCCCACACAATTATTATTCTAATGATGATAATAATAATAATGTGAATCTTGTTCCCGGGGTTAATCAATCGTCAACAAGGCGACAACATTCTTTTCTCTCATTTTTTGTTCGTTCTTTCTATGTGTTTGTGTGTATCAAACAATATGGACACATATCATTTTCGGCAATGAAAAAGTTGTTTGTTTTTCGGTTCGTTTTTTTTTTGTTTTCTTTGTAATATGAAACATGTACCGAATTGACCGAAAGATAGAAAGAGGATGAAAAAACTTTTTTGTTTCCTCGAGAAACAATGAAGAGAAATAAAAAGTTTACTGACTACTACGGTCTAATGATTAGGTTGTTGAAACTTTTGACGATTGAAGAGGATGATAATGATGATGATGATGATGATGATGATGGAAAATGAAACAAAATAGGCGTAAAGAAAATTCAATAATCTAAATAAAATAACAACAACACGTTTTGAACACTTTTAGAATCAAATCAATTCTTTTTTGTTTTTCTCTCTTGCAATGATTGATTTACTGATTTAATCAAACAAACAGAAAAACAAAAACCACAAACACAAACAAACAAACAATCAGAATATTCTGTTGAATCGTTTGAAGAATTTTTGATTATCGATGATAATTATGGTGAAAAAAATTCTTTGAAAAAATCATTTTTTTTTGTTCGTCGTTTTCAATCGATCTTAAAATTTATGACGACTATATCGACATCACAGTAATGATAAATTATTTCGAATGTTTTGAAATCGAATGTTTTGTGTGGGCTACATTTTGAATTTTTCGTAAAAATTTTCAACAAAATTTTAACGAAAAAAAATGTTATTGTAACATTGTAAATATTCATATCACTTATTCTTTAAATTTGGACTTGAATGAATGAATCAACCCACAACGAAAGAATGAAAAATGAATTTGATTTATTGAAATGGATCACTGATGATGATGATGATTCGGAAGCTTTCTTCATCGTCGTTGTTGAACAATTCACAAACATTCATTATTTGAAAAAAAAAGAGATGAAGAATTTCACAACAATGATATATTCAAATGATTTTTTTGTTTTGTTTTGTTTCATTTTCTTTTCAAAACAATTCTCCACATATTATGGATCAAGAATCAAAAAAAAATAAGCATCACAAAATAGTCATCAAAAAAAAAACCAAGACCAAAAAATGAACTCGACAAAAAAAAAGAATATTGAAACAAACTCACCAGTGATGGAGAATTATTTTATTTATTTTTTTGGTTCATATATTTTACTTATCATCATCATCATCATCATTTCCAGAATTTAACAATGAAGAAGAAGACGAAGAACAAGAAGTAGCAGTGTATATATCACAAACCAAAAATATATTTTTTTTTCGCTGTCCACACAGTTCAGTCATTCATTCATTCAGTCAGTTAGTTATATTTTTCAGAAGAAGAAGAAAAAAAATCGAACCAGAAACAAAACAAAACAAAATGATAATAAAAATAAAACAAGCAATAACTAACATACACATACACAGAGACACAATCCATAATAATAAAATATGGATCAAAGTTGCTCCCAAAAAAACGAAAAACGAAACGAAACGAAAAGAAACTGGAAAAATTTTCGTTCGATTTAGATTCTGTTCAGTTTGTTGTTTGAATTCTTTTTTTGGATTCCGTTCGAGAAAAAAAAAGAAGAAGAAAATTCTGATATCGCATAAATGAAGTATTTTTCCCCTCTCACTATTCGAATGATGTCTATTCTTTTTTTTTTTTGGTTCGAATATTGTTTTTTTTGGAGCGATGGGTGGGTGGGGGAAAAAGAATCCAAAATTTTTTCTTTGATCCAATGATAGGTTCCCATTTATATAGTGGGCGTCTATATAATTTTCTCTAGTGGTAGTGGTATTTTTGGTTGTCCCAACAAAAAAAAAACTGGGAACTAAACTTTTATCCAATTGCGCCCATCCATATTAAAGTAGTAGTTTTTCGTTTGTTTGCTATTCCAATTTTTACAATGGCCCACACCAATTTTTCTGTCGGGATTTTTTTTCTTCCCCCTCCTCCCAACATTTAATACCGACACAGAGACACCCTCCAAACCACAATCAGAATAAAAAGAATAGGCCACGCCCGCTCATACACCCATCTACCCCTCCAACACACACCCACCAATATACACACAGAAATTCTGTTTAATGTTTTTGTCAACCTAGAAGTGAAGAATGGAATGGAAGGAAAGGAAAAATTCAAGTTCCAGTTTTTCGTTTCATTCATTCATTCCATTTACTTAAGTTCGTTTTTCATTATTAATAAAATATTTTCTTAATAGCCAAAAGAGAGAATGAAAACGATACGTTTTAATCATTGAAGAAGAAAAAAAAACCTAAAGAAAGATATTGATAGATTGAGAAACTGATATTGAATGGGGAAGAATAGAGAAAAGAAAAAAGAATCTTGAAAAATGAAATACAGAATCCAAGAATTTCTTCTTCTTTTTTTCTCTTGGTTCGATCGAATGACAAAATGAATATATGGAAAAAAAAGAAAAACTTAAGAGGAGCGGATGTATATGAGTGAATGAATAAAGTGAATGAAGAGAGATCCATTCATTACAATTTGATCGGATTTGAACTCAAATGGATGAAAAGAATATAGTGTTTCCAAGAAATAAACCAGTTCATCAAACTTGAACTCTATTGAATGAATCCGGTTTGAAATGAAAAAAGAATCAATCAGTTTACACTGATCATTGATCATACTGAAATGATGATCATCATCCGAATCTTTTTCTCTTTCTCCAAATCCGTTAATCAAAATGATCCAAAACTGTAAAACGAAAAAGAAAAGAAAAAACATCAAATTAATAAATAGCAGTGAAAAAAACTTTTAGCTAAATTCAAAAAAAAAAAAAATATTTCAACAGAAAAACATTGGTCACATTGGTCAGCCAAACCAAACCAGAAAAATACAAAATTTCCATTTTTGTTGTTGTCATCATCGTTGGGTGTTGAGATAAATTGTATTCAAAGATTTAAGAAAAAAAAAGAATAAAAAATTTGTCTATTTTTAGTTATTTTTTTACACTTGAATATTCTTCTTCGCCAATTTTATTTATAGTTGTTGTTATAGTTGCTGCTGTTGCTGTAGAAAAGAAAAGAAAAATCGAATGTTTGAATAATGATGATGACAATTCCATCCGGAATCGAATTCGAATCGAATCGAAACCAGAATTCGAATTGAATTGATGATGCTACTTTCTCTCTCTCCCATTATATTCACCAATGAATAGTACACTGGGAGTAATAATCGTTGAATTTTTTTTATTTTTTTATTTCTCAACACTACAATTTCATTCATTGTTTTATTTTTTTTTGTTTTGTTTGGTCGATATTTTAATTTGATTCGATTTTTGTTTTGTTTCTGTAGTTTGTTTCGATGGAAGAAAAAAAACATATAATAATAATAACTAAACGATGTCAGGGCCAGATCTATTTGAATAATTTTTTTGTTTCTTCATTTCACTTTGTTGAAATTCTGAAAAGAATTTTCGTTTTTCCATTTCTTTCTTTTTTTGGTTAGCAAGGAAAAAAACCCTATTGGGCATCATCATCATATAGCATCAGCATGATGTAAAATTTTTTTTTCATTTTATTCACCCCATTCGAAACTAAAAAAAACAAACGAAAATAGATCATTATTTTAAGTTGCTGTTTGAAACAAGCAAAAAAGAAAAATACTTGGAAATTTTTCATTTTTTTTATTATTATTTAAATTGACAGGTTAATGATGATAATAGGTGATGATTGTAAGTGTTTTTTATAAGTTATTTAAAAAAAAAATATTCTTGAACAACAACGAAAAAAACACTTGAAAATTTTCAAGTATTTTTTCTTTTGAATTTGGAACATTCAAAATAAAAAAAAACAAAAGAAACACAAAAAAATTGTCAAATCAAAAAAAAAAAAAAAAAAAATAAAAAAGACCAAAATAAAACAAGGGGAAAAAAAATTTTCAAGTATTTTTTCTTTTGAATTTGGAACATTCAAAAAAAAAAAAAACAAAAGAAACACAAAAAAATTGTCAAATCAAAAAAAAAAAAAAAATCAGAATGACCAGAATCAAACAAGGTGAAAAAAAATTCAACCAACAAAAACATTCGAAACAGGAAACACCTTTTTCCACTTTTGTGTGTATATGTGTGTCGAAATAGAAACGAAAATCTATTCATTCATTCATTTATCCATTTATTGTTTCGAATGATGATGTCCAAGATGTCGGCGACGAATTTTAATTGTTTTTGCAATTCCTGTTGACGATGATTGTCGATTATCATTAGTTGTTGCTGTTGCCGATAATGATGATGTTGATTTTATTTGATGATGGTGATTATGATTATTATTATGATGATGATGATGATGTTGTTGATGTTTTTCCATCATTCGATTGGCAATATCTAACATTGCTGAAGTGGCCGGAAATTGAAATTGATGAAAATGTTCACGTAATGATTTTGATTGTTGTTGTATATCCATCATTTTGTTGATCGATGATGATGATGATGATCGTTCATCTTTTTTTGAATGATCCAAATGTTTTGATGATCGTACAATATTCAATATGGTTGATTCTCGTTCTTTTGAACCATTTTTCAATGAAGATGATTTACTTTTTCTCTTTATTGATTTTTCTTTTTCTTTTTCAGTTTTTCGTTGTTCTGTTTCTGGTTCTGGTCGTCGTATCAATTTTTCCGATTGCTTTTCATCACATTCACTTGTTTCGATAACATTAATAGTAGCAGTAGTATCATTATTATTATCATCACCATTTTTGAAAAATGGAATGGCTAAATTAAAGCAATCGGGATATGGAACCATTTCCGTTGTAAATATTATCTCTTTCTTTTCATCATCATCATCATCATGAACATTTTCAGATTTTTCATTTTCAATAACATCATCATCATCACTAATATTGGTAACAATAATTTTTTCACCAATTTTTTCAATCTGTTCAATTTTCGGTACAGCTTTTATACGCATCTGTATTGTTTGTCCAAAATAATGATTATCATGCCAAAAACGCCATACACTATAGAAAATTTTTTCATCATTCACATCGTTTGGTATCATAAAATCCATTTGTACATCAAATTTTTCACCAGCTTTCAATGATAATGGAATGGATTTTTGTCCATTAATTGGATCAATATTTGAACCAAGACATCGAAGTACAGTACCATTAGGCCAATCAAAATTACCATTATTACCAATATGCCAAATTTTTGTAAATCTTGTACCAGGTGTATATTGTTCATAACAATCTTCAGCAATCGTTAGATCACGAAGTAATTCACCAAGTAAAAGTAAAAAATTTTTACGAAACATTTCGATAGCTGGTTTTGCAGCTTTAACAATTGGATTTACCGTTGTTGATGATGTTGAATTTGAATCCAAAGATTTTGGTTTGATTTTAATAAAATCAAATGGATGTAATTCTTCACTACGTTGTTCACATTGTTCACATAATATTATTTCATAACAATGTGAACAAACATAATGTATATTTTCAGCTAAACAAGGCTGTACACAACGATAACAAATAGGAATTTCTTTCATTAATTCTTTTTCATTTTCAATACGTTCAGGTAATCGTTGTAAATCTTGTTCATAATGACGAATTGCTTCAATCATTTGTGTTATTGTCCATGAACCGGATAATGAATTTATCAATATAGACATAAGATCCATTTTTTTCATTTCATTCAATAATGAACGTGATGATTTCTTTTTTGAATTTCGATTCATCGATGTTTTACGTTGGCCATTCAGATTATTACCATTACCATTATCATTACCACCATCAACACTAATATTATCATCAATCAATGATAATAAATCGGAAAAAACGGAAAATAACATACTTTTTCTTTTTGTTGTTAGATTTTCTAGAATTCAATTAAAACAAAACATAAATCATGTATGTATATACCGAACAAAACAATAACAACGCAATTCATTGAAATTTCTCATAGCTCAACGAAGAAAAACAAAAACAAAAAACAAAGAATTGGATTCGAATTCAACACCATCTATCGAATAGATTCAGGAACTATGAAAATCCTGTCATTCTTTTAACAAAAAAAAAGTTATTCAACATTTAAATGTCCATCGATGATCATCTGCTTTCCATTTTTTTTTCGATGATGATGAACCTGTCGGACAAGATGATTTTCTTCTTCTTTTTTTTCTGGACATTCAAATTATCATTTTTAAAAAGATTATTATTCTGGAATGATAATTATATAGCCCCAAACGAGATATGATGATCGGTGAAAAAAGGTCGAAGGTCATCAGGCAAAGTAGAATATTTTTTTTCATTAACAAAAAACACAAACACACATTAACCAATTGAAAGTTTTCATGATGATCATTCACCATTGCTTCAATGATACTCTATCTTTATTTTTTGTCGTGAAAAATTTGTTGATGACAAGAATCATTTCATTTGGTCACACACACACACACAAGAAATTTGTTTCGCAAACATTTTTCTTTTTTTCCCCTGAAATTAAATAAATGGTGAAAATAAAGTTGTCACATTCGATACTTACATACATTTTTTTTACGAAAAAAAATTACATTTTTTGCAGAAAGTTTTCCTTCAACATTACCAATGTGTGATCGGCTTGAATAATTTAAATTTTTTTTCTTCTCAAATTATATGACACCACCATTCATGTTTTAAAAGAAAAGTTAATCCATTCACCACCAACCAACCGACCATCATCAAAAAGTATCAAATGACAATCTTAAATTGTTGTTCTCGCCGCTTGTTGTTTTATGTTCTTTTATAAAGTTAATAATTTCACAAAATGAACTTTTTTTTTCTTTTTCTTCTTCAGTTTGAAAGTTTGAATCAAATTTCATTCGATTTAATAATGTCAACGAAACAAAAACAGAGAACAAAACTTGAAAAAAATAAGTAAGAAAAATGCAGTATCAATTAACTGGAGTTGAACATTTTGAATGATTCTTGTATCGTCGGAAAATTGAATTTTTGGTTGGATTTTGTCATTTAATGTATCAATGATAAAGTTCTTTCGGTTCATCGTGTTTATCTTCTTAAAAAAAAGATTTAAAAATCTTTATTTTTTAAAAAATCAAACCACGCCAAAAATCTCAAGGTAACGACGACGATGATGATGATGATCATGATGATGACAGGAAATTCGAATGGTAAAATTATTAAGATTCGAATAATGCAAAATAGCCTAAAGGCAATTCCATTTCGACAGCAGTAGCACAAAGAATGTTGTTGCTGTTGTTGATTATTTCCGTTGACGTTCGATTTTTTTTTGATTATGAAAATTTTCAAAAAATCAACCTGAATTCAACGACAACATTCAATTTTAAGCATCTGAATTTATTTTAATCAAAACTAGAAATTAGATAGATTCACCAACTATCTATCCATCTTACCACCATCATCATTATCATCATAATCAAGTGTCTAAGGTCGAGGTTAAAGTGAGTGAGTGAATGAGCGAAGAAAGCAGGAGAAAGAAATTTCAACTTCCACACAGGTCAAATACATTTCACTTTCATTATTGTATGTGCTTTTTTTATAATAAACTTTTACCTCCCGAATCCATCATCATAATCATCATCATGGTGTTATCTTTTTTTTTCAAATTTCCTTCCCTACAACATTTTTCGATCAAAAAAACATACATACATTCCAGAGTGTGGATGCTTCGACAAAATAGCTTCACGCAAGTAAAATCTATCCAAATCTTTTCAACAAAAAAAAAATCCGAATTAAAAGTGTGAGAATCACATTGCGCGCATACCAAACAACCAAATCAAATCAAACCATAATAGAAAGATAGAAAAAAAAATCAACAAACAGAACAACAGAAAAAAAAGCTTGTTGCACAATCTTTCGATTGTGATGATCAAAAACAACAACAGCAACCAACATTACTACAGGTAGGTTTGGCTTGATTTTTTTGTTTTGTTTTTTGTTTTCTTAACATCATTATTTTCCTTCCTCGCTCATTCATTCATTCATTCATAGGATAGGATGGGTACTGTAGACCTTTCTCTATCTTTTTTATTCATTCAAACATCTCTCTCTCTCTCTCTCTCTCTTTTTCAATATTCATTTGGACTTGAAATGATAAACATCCAGCCATCAAATGTTATGTTCAGTTTTGTTGCTCTTTCTTCCATTTTTTTTCTCATTTGGTAATAATCACATTGATCAATAATCCGTTTTGATTTTTTTTTCCATCTTCTTGTCGTTATTTCGTAATAATGAGGATTTATATAATTTTCTTTTAAACATTTTATTTCATTAACAGACATTTGTTCAACAAACATACACAGTCAGTCAGTCAGTCAGTGTAAGCATCACATATCACCAACGGTCGTTTGATATCTTAAAGATTTTTCATCCTTGTGATTTTCACACGGAACCCAACCAGTCAACTAACTAACCAACCAGCCAGCCAACCAACCAAACCATATGGAAAGATAGAAATTAACGATTGATTTTTATAAAGCAACAGATGTTTTGGTTAACTTTTTATTTTTGGCCAAAATTATGTTCGTTTTGTTTTTTTTTTCACATAGTGAACATGTCACCAAAGTATCCGATTTTCAATTTTCTTTTAGTTTTTGTTCAATATGTATGTTTGTTGTTGTTGACAATTTCATCATAAGCATTACTTTCGGATCAATTCATTTTTACAAACAAATCTCATTATCTCATTATCATATCCGTTTTTTGTCACCTCCACCCACCTCTCGATTAACTTCAAATCCTATTGGTCTATTGGTGTATGTGTTTTTTTTTTTTGTAAGTGACCTTTTCTCATATCGAAAAAATAAAGACACCATATGTTTTTTTATATGATCATGAAATTATCATTAACGTAAACTGTGTATGATTGGCCATCATATATAATCAGTGTCTTCTGTGTATCGTGTGTTTGTATGAATGTAAAATGTTGGTCAATATGGACTACAACGATCCTTAATGATGATTATGATCATCTTCATAATTGTGAATGAAAATTGAATTTCAACAAAATTTTGTTCGTAAAAAACTACAGAGCAACAGTGTTTTGTATAGTTGTGCAAAAGATTATAGTTTAAAAAAAACTCCCATGGCCTCTATTCGGTCTCATCATTATCATCATAATCATCATCATCTCCATTCATAGAAAGATGATAAATCAAAGATGATCATCAATGAAAAATAAAAGACATCTGTGTTGGTTATGTTTTATTGTTTGTGTAATGTGTGTGTGTGTGAATTTAGATTTTAGATTTGTCATTTTTAATTTTCTTTTTTCTTCATAGAAATCTTTTTCAAATGTTTTTTGTTGTTGGAACGACTTTCTTTTCATTTTATTAAAAGATTTCTAACTGAATTTTGCTTCTTCTTTTCAAAAAAAAAAATTTCTTTAAATATTTACGATTAAATCATCATCATCATCATCATCATTCTATGTAAAATATTTGTCAATAGTGCCGTTATTTTATTCAATTTTTCAAAACATTTCAATCAAATTTTTTTTTTATTCAATGCTTTTTTTATTGCAAATATTCAAACATAGAGATTTGGTTTACAAAAAAACTTTACATCTGTAAAATCAGAATGAATAAGATGACTTCTGGAATTTCTTCATTGTCTGAAATATTTATCGATATGATTGGAAAATCCTTATTGCATACAGTTTTTCCACACATTTGTTAATATTATTTCATAAAAAATGATCCAATTTTTGGCTCTAATATGTGTTTGATTGCCGGTTCTTTTTTCTTCTCATTGCTCCGTGTGTGTGTGTGTTTGTGTAAATCTTATTTTTTAAATATCCAAACAATCTGAATATTTTTTTTTTACTTCTTTTGTCGTCCGAAAATTGTGTAAACATAACGCGAATAACGAATATAGAAGAAGTGAAGAAGACCTCCTGCCTTGTTATATTTGATTTTTTTTTTGTTGTTGTTCAATTCATTGATCTTCGATCGATGATCAATTTGAACGGCACAGCTGCAGCAGCACGACAAACGAACAACAAAAAAAAAAACCTTCCGAATGATTGAAGAATTGATCAGCAAATTTTTCATTCGTCTGTTTGAACGGCACCAGCAACAAAAAAAAAACTGAATATTTATCGTCATTCTTGATTTGATTTGTTAAATGCAAGGAATGATTTCTACGAAAACTTTGATAAAGTTTCGATTTACGATGATCACGATCATTATTGAATAATTTCTTGGCTGTCTCTTCAAAAACAATTTGAATGTTTAATTTTTATTCTTTTTTTTCTTTTTTTTGTTTTGACATTTATAACAAACATATATTATTTGATTGAATTGATGATGATGATGATGAAAAATTTATTTCATTTATGATCAACCAAATCAATCACTGAAAAAATAATTATATATACAATTGAATTTTGGTTTTGGAAATTCCATTGATCACATCATTTTCTTTTTGAACAGTAATGGTTTATGGTGTATTGTGAAGGGAGAAAACCAAAAAAAAGAAGAAATTCAACATCGAAACAAAAAACATCTTCAACTGGTGAATTTTTCGTTTCTTTCGTTTGAATTCAAATTAAAAACAAACGACGACAAGGAAAAAATTGATAATAATCATAATCGATCAACTTTGATTTGTGTTTCTCAATACAATAACCCGATGATTGAAAAAAAATATTCAATGAAAAAAAACAACAAAACCTGTTGGTCTTTTGTTCAAATGTAATTTTCAATCATACAACAGCAACCTTTAACAACGAAAAAAAAAATATCACACCGAATAAGGTATTTCCCATATCTTCTGCCTACTCTTGTTGAGAAAAAAAAGGTAAGTTGTTTTTCTTTATGATTTTCAATTAATGTTAATGAAAAAAAAAATCAATCAATATGAAACATCATTGACTGAAACAAAAAAAAAATCTAAATCTTAATAATTATTTCCTTTTTCTCAATGAAACATACTTATAATATTCAAACTAAATAAGGTAATTTTAATGGGAAATGTAATAAATAAACGGAAGCCGCGTTTTTTTAAAGAAAAAATTTATCTGAATTTCAAAAAAAAACAATTTAAATTAATAATCATCAAGATTAGTTTATTTATAAATAATGCACGCCCTTAATTGATTCTATTCAATTGTTTTGTTTAAGAATCGATTTGTAGTTGATGATTATGATAATGATAGTGATGCCTTAAAGCTATCGATTACCTTAATCATCATCATCATCATCATCTTTTGAAAATATAATTACATAAACATGACGTCTACATTTTTGGTAATGTAATTTTGTTTTCAGTTGTAATGATTTTATTTTATTCTTTTTCAATGAATGAATGAATGTTTTGCTGATAACTGATGATGATAGTCTGTCTTGAAAGCAAGCAAACAAACCACCAAATAATGATAATGTTTCACCTGTCATCACTTCGAGGATACAAAGCCAATTTGTTCGATAAGGAAAAAAATTAAGGGAGTTTTGTTCGTTGATGAACATAGCAAATTGATCGAATCAATCGACGCCTACACAATTCATTTCATTTAATCAAAAAAAAACATTTCTTCATTCGTTCTCATTAGTATTTGAACTAATTTCATTCTGAGAATTTTGTTTTCCATAACATATGTTTAGGTTATTAGTTCGACTGAGTTCTGGTTTGCTGATATTTTTATTCATAATGATGTGCAAGAAATAAAAGAGAGAGAGAGAGACAAGATGCTATCAGAAACTTTAGAATCTTTATGGAAATATTATTAATAACGATTCTCACGATTAAAAACGTTTTTTTCTTTATCATTTTCAAATGAAATTGCATATTTATCAACAAACATAAATTACATGTATGCAAATGTTTGCCTAAATTGATTGATGTTTGTTTTCGTTCTTTGAAATTTTTTTTTGTTTTGCTAATGTCAGTTGTAAAAAAAACTTGGTCATTGTTTAAATGAGATTTAATTACACCTGTTGATGTTTTTTTTTCTCTTAGTTTTTTTCCCAGTTTTGTCAATTCGTCTTGTGTACATTTATTTGATTGTTTTGTTCGGATAATGTTGGCCATTGGTATATTTTGACACCAAAAAGACATTTTAGAGACATTTTCGGTTTGTTTTGGCCAATCACATCACATCATATTTTTCTCTATTATTTAATGATGAAAATTTTGTTTTTCTTCATTTGTTAATGATGGTGACATTTTTTTCATGCAAAAGAATCAAGATTGTCTCTAATATATTTTTTTCCATCATCATCCTAATAATTTAATGATCATCATTATCAAACAAAGAAAAAATCTTTGTTCATTTTCGAAGAAATTTTCATTTTAATCAACAGTTTGTCATTGTTTTCTGTTTATGTTTCAACGAAAACTTACACACAACAACATTATAATTATGTTCAATGGATGGATAATTTTGTCTTGGTTTCAACGACAAAAACATCCAAATCATCTGAATTTATTTAGATTTTTATAGCAGAACAACTGGAACATTTTTTTTCTGTTAATTTGATATTGTTTTGTTAAAAAAAATATTATTATCTTGATTGAATATGGTAGTAATAAGGGTATTTCTTTTCATTTTTAGATTAAAGTGAAAAGTTTTAAAAAAAAAATTTCATATTTTGCTTACTAAACTAAATATATGAATCACACTGAATGAATCACATAAGCTTTGACAAAAAAAAATTTCCAAGAAATAGAAAAAAACGGAAATGAAATATTTCGTTTCGGTTAGCCTAATTCACATTTGATCTTTTTTTTTTGGCCACAATTTTTTTTTAAAATCAAATTCTGTCGGTTTAGTTATATAGAAACACATATGGTGGTTTGGCTTGTTTTGTTTTGTTTGTTTGTCATTAAATCTAAACAAAAGCAACGAAAAATATTAATATTTTTTGTTGTTGATAATATGATTCCATCAACAGTGAGAAATAACAGTATGATGCTCTCATTTAATTTGTTTTTTGTTTTTTTTTTCTAAATTTCATTCTGGTTTCTTGTTATTCAATCTTTGAATTCTAAATACTAAATAGAAAAAGAAATAGAAAATGATCCAATAAATGTACATTTTATTTGTTGAAAATTTTGAAATTTTATCCACCAACATTGGTTTCCTGTTACCTCTCACTCACTCACTCAATCATTGCTATGGTTCTTTTTCTATCAGCAAACCATATATGTTTATCGTCGATATTGAATATGTATTGTGGCAAACGAAACAAACAACAAAAAAAATCATATCAAAATAAAATAATCAAACAAATTGAAAATTATACAGTTTTTTTGCATGTCCAAATGTTGATCTCGTTCATATGTTTTTTTTCCTCCAATGGTCTGGTCTGGTCTTTTTTTTCTGATGATAATCTTGTTGGTTATCATTGGTGTATAATATTATTGACATTGTCATTTTCGTTGTTTTTTTATCCACTTCTTTTCTGTTGCTTCCTCCTGATAAACAAAATGATGATACTATTGGGTGTGTGTGTGTTTATGTTTTGGTGTGTGATATATAACGAGAAAATGAGAGAGATAACACTTCCGACATTCAATTTTTTTTGGACAATTCTCATAGTCCTTTGCACTCATTTTTTTGTTTGTTTGTTGTGATCATCATCATCATTTAGAATTTTGACACTTTACATTCTTTGTTCATCATTATTTGTTGTGAAATATTTATCTAAATCAATAATCTTTGTATCATGTCATTATTTGAATTGCTAATAATTTGATAACTCTATTATTCCATTATTTGATCTGTCTGGTATTGGTTTTTTCCTTTCCAATTGATAATAAGGGTAATTACTATGGTAATTAGATATTTGAATATTTGATAATAATTTAGTTTCTTATGGTTTATTGATTATCATTTGTAAGCATAAATCATTTGAACTTTGACACTTTTTTTCTTTGACAATGTCTTATATACATTTCATTTGACATTATAATCATTATAATGTTAATTGAATTTGTTTGTGCTTTCTTTAGCTCGATAACCAAAGTGTTTCACCTTTGTTTATTTTACATTTTTTTTCCCATTTGTAAAAAAGTTAATGAATGTTTAGTTTGTTTATATTTATAACCCGATCGTCACCACTTTTTATCGTCATCATCATCCGGGGTTTGACTATTTGACTATCATATATATTGACCATAGTAAATAGTCTTTTTCTTCACTTCTTTTTTTTCCATTAACACCACCAACACATCAATATTAGTGAAATATTTATCATCATAATAAACAAGGATAAACATTGAAGAATTGTGAAAAAAATGTGAAAATAGTATTTACATTCAATCCATTTAAACATAATAAAACACACCAACACAATTGAGCTATATATAATTCATGGACAGAAATATTCAACATTGATCAAAATTGTTTACAAGTTTTTTTTGTTATTGTTGTTGTTGCTGATTAACATCAATATCCAGGTATTTCAATTCAAATCCTAATATATCTCCGGATTGATTATATACATAGATTTACCCATTTTATTTAGCAAAAAAAAAATTGTTTATGATTTATCTACATAAAGTATATTGTATTTGATTGATGCTTGTTGTTTCCTCTTTTGTGTTTATCTGTATTTGTTTGTATGTATGTTGTTTGTGTGTATGATTCTTTCTCTTTCTCTTTGAGATACCATAATCAAATGAACATCAAATATCATTATTTTTTTTTTTATTGAAATTGATGTCACAATCCATTACATTCTTTTTTTAATCTCCATGAGTGTATATGGATATCTAATCTGATGATTTATATCATACACTTGATGACGATTTCCGATCCAATTTTTTTCTACTTTCTCTCTCTCTCGCTTTCTGATTGTAATCGTTGGTTTCCGATTAATGATAATAATCATATTGCAAAATCAATTATAATTGACATAGTTATTGTTTTGATGATGATGATGTTGATTTCCACATTAAAATACGTTTAATTTTCATTTCATTGCAGCATAAAAACTTATCGTTTCTTTTTTTATTGTTTTTTCTTTCTTTAGTTTTTGAATTTTATTCCATAATCATCGTTAATATTCGAAGAAAATCAATTTCAATCATGCTCAAATACGTTTCAACACCGATGCCAACATCAACATTGTCGGTTTCAAATGATCAACAAACAATGTTTAATGTTGATCTAAAACGACAATCATCATCATCAACATCATCATCGGATTCAATTTCATTGAATAGTTCTGATTGTAGTTCAAATGGATCATCATCTATAATGAACGATTCTATTGAATCGCCCATCACTCATCATCATTCGAATAATTTATTAGTTCCTGTCATAGACAATCATCATCATCATCTTCGTTCATGGAGTTCATCTTCATCTTCAATATCATCATTACCTAGTCTAATTACGGATAATGTTCCATTATCACCATCATCATCATCATCGATAAATCATTCGACAAAAACTGTTTCATCAACAAATACGATCGATCGTAAAGTTGTAATTAAAATATTTACACGTGTTCTTTGTACAGATGTTGAATATAAAACACTTTCCATATCAAATCATACAACCAGTCGAGAAATTGTACAAATGATATTGAAAAAATTTCGTCTCAATCATCGAGATCCTAATCTTTTTTATTTAACCCTTGAAGCATGGATTAAACAAACCGGTATACCAATACGTAGTGTTATGACATTGGATGATGATGCATGTCCAGCATTACTTCAATCTTGTTATCGACAAAAAGATTTAAAGTTTACATTAGTTATGCGTCGAGGTGAAAATGTTCGCATTCATAATCGATGTCAACATGGAGTAAGTATTTTTCTGAAAGATTTTTCACTAACATTCCTTACTTAATTGTGTTTGTTTTTTTATTATGAAAATAGCCATCAACTTTAAATATTCTCTTATCGGATAGGACAAATGTTGAAGAGTTAACTCGATTAGTTACCGGTATACTTGATCTACCAACGGATAATAAACAATCATATGAGCTTTATGTTTATTCACCTTCTTGTAAAAGTATGTTTCTCGATTATTTATTTGTTTCAATAATTTTATTACTGTAATTATTGTTTTAATAGTTGAACAAAAATTGTCACCAACCGATCGACCATTAGCTATACGTATGGAATGGCCAAATCAGGATTTTAATCGTTTTGAAATCCGTCCATATCAAATCCAACACAACTATCATCATCAATATATAGACAACAACAACAGTAATGATTCTCGTTTGATAATGGCTGATTTTCGAAAAAATTTTAAATCTGAATTTGCAATGAATTTGTTGGGTGCAGCAAATCATAATAAAAACATTACTATTACAGCGGAAAATCGAAATCAACATTGCCAACAATATCATCATCATCAACATCATCATCATCCTCATTCTCATTATCAATCACATCCACATTTACAGCTAGAGCAGCAACATTCAACATCAAAATCAACGACCGGAAAAGTTTTGTACATCTAACCGAAAACTTCTCCTCACACACACCCCCTAAACTATATCAGTGTTGTATCATTTTACTTCGGTCATCAACATTTTTTTCCCTCTCTCTCCATTTCTAGTCTAACATATTATATCAATGATTTTTTTCCTTCAACATTATTTTTTTTTGCTGTATATTGAAAAAAAACTTATTGTATAACTGACTAACTGAATGACTAAATAAATAGATTCATAATCAAATAATAATAAATAATAAAAACAGAAAATTAATAACAAAGAATAGATTATTCATCAGATTCTTTGAAATTGGTCGATAGGAAAAAAAATGATTTCATTCTTGTAATGAAATCGGATTTTTTTTCCAAACTATCATCATCAACATTGCTACGGATTTTAACAACACAATGACACACACACACAACAAATTGAATGGAGTTTGGAACATTTCAATTCAATGGGGATAACATCCAAAATCTCATATTTCTGGTCTGGTCTTTTTTTTGCTGATTAAAACACACAAACAGAAACACACTGGCTTCATATACTCATTCATATGAAGCCAGTTTGTGTTGTGAAAAACCAGATGAGGACCAGTATGGTCCATATTGGGTGAATGTGTGAGTCGGTACAACAAAACAAAAAAAAAAATGTTTTGGCTCAAAACCCTAGAATAATAATAATAAAAAAAAGCTATACTTCACACATATGCATAGATACAACATAGATTTTTTCTTCTGTTTTTTATATCAATTTGGTTGTTTGTTTGTATATATCATATATCATCAAATCATTAAGAAATCAAAAATATTGTCACATCAATTTATTCGTCGTTGTTGTTGTTGTTGTTGCCGTCATGAATGTATGTGTATTTCGATTGCAGACCATTTTTTTCTAAAATAAAATAAAAATCGATGATTTGATTTGATTTGATGATGATGATGATGGTTTAATTTTGATTATGATCATTATTATTCAAACAAAACAAAACGAATGAATGGATAAATTGAAATAGCATCGCTATCATGAATGTTATCTTCGATTGATGTATGTATGTGTTGTTGTCGTTTGTTTGTATAGAAGAATTTCCAAAAAAAAAGTGTTTGGCTTAAATTCAAGTTCTGTTCTGTTTGACAACAACGAACAAAAAAAATACATTCGATGGTCGTCGTAATGATGATGATGATGATTGACATTAAGATTTAAGATTCTTTACGTCGTTTTGAGAAATTTGCCTTTTCTTCTTCTTCTCGATTGATTTTCATTCGTCGTTTTTTTGATGATGATATGGTTGATTGATGCAAACTAAATCATAAAAAATCGCTAACTATATCCACAGTATAGTTAATCATTTTCTTTTATTTGATTCTTGTTCAACGAATTTGAAGAAAAAGAAAAATCCATCAAGCATCATCATCATCGTTTTTGTCAATCAAAGAATCGTCTGTTTTTGTTTTGTTTCTTCTATAGTTGTTGTTTTGCAGAATTTTTCACTGGAATCATCATTATTGGTATGAATATTGTTCAATTTTATATTCTCAATGTTTGACATTTGAATCTGATCTCAAAACTTTGTCAATGATGATGTTTTTATTCTTTTGGCCATGACGACTGTACGACGACAATGATGATGATTATAATCAAACAATAGGCCGACGGCATTTTATTATTATTATTATTTTCGATTTGTTTGACTAAATAAAAAACAAAAACAAAAATCAATTTTCCTTATTGACAATATTGTTGTTTTTCTTTGGTAAACATTATCAAGATCATTGTCTCAATTACGATTTGTTTGTCGATGATGATGATGATGATGATGATTGATAGAACCGACAGCAATTGATTCAACATTCGATCATTTCGTATTCATCATCGAACAAAACGATCATTGATTGATTTTTGGGTACCATTTTGTAGATTAGTCTGATTGTTTTGTCTTTTAAAGTCCAATGAACTCAATATTCATCATCATCATCATATGTTTTTGATTTGTCAACATATTATTATGTCATCTTTATCGAAATTTTGTTTATAACATTGGATTGATCATTGAAAACAAGAAAAAGAAAACAACAACAACAACAAAATTGATTAAATGATCAAAAATGATCAATCGAAACAAAATAATTTTATCGTTATCAATGAAAATTTTAATAATAATCATAAGTTTATCAACGAATATTCTATGTTCAAGAATAATAGCAAAACATTCGATAACGATAATCGATACTATCGATAATCCATTCGAACAACAACAACAATATATCGAACAGGAAGATAATGGTGATTATAAATATCAATTACGTAATGTACCATTACAATCTTCATCTTTATCTTTATGGCAAACAAACGAATATAATTTTATTCAACGAAATAAACGTGCAGCAACGGCACGTTTAGAACGTCTTTGGGATTATGGTGTTATACCATATGAAATTGAATCAAATTTTAGTGGTGATCATCGTGCACTATTTAAACAAGCAATGAAACATTGGGAAAATTATACGTGCGTTAAATTTGTTGAACGTACAGCTGAACATCCTAATTATATTATCTTTACTGAACGTCCTTGTGGGTATGTCATCATCGTATTTTTTATTGTTTTATTTTTCAATTTTAAAATTAATTTTTTTCCATCTTCAAAACAAACAAACAAAAAAAATGATTCATTTGAAACATTTTTCTTTTATGCTGAAAACTAGCTGTTGTTCATATGTTGGAAAACGTGGTAATGGACCACAGGCCATATCAATTGGAAAAAATTGTGATAAATTTGGTATCGTTGTACATGAACTTGGTCATGTGGTTGGATTCTGGCATGAACATACACGTCCGGATCGTGATGAAAATGTTCAGATTGTAAATGAAAATATAATGCCTGGTATGTTCATTTGAAATAATATTTTCTATTTTTATTTTTGGCCCTTCCAAAAATAAAAAACAATATAAATCGAAATGAAAAATCATAGACCATTTCGGACATTAATCTAAAATTCTGTTTACGTTTTCAAATTCGTTTTTCTTTTTCTATTTGTTTTCTTTCAAAAAAATAAATAAAACTTAAATCCATCGATATGGTGGTCATCGTACAATACACAACGCATGATGGTAAGGTCAGGAGTATAATTTCAACAAACTAACTGAAGATGAAGTCAATTCATTGGGTATCAAATATGATTTCGATAGTATTATGCATTATTCAAGAAATACATTTTCAAAAAGCATTAATCTGGATACAATATTACCAAAATTATCTGCAGTACCAGATATGGATCCAGCAAATAGACCTGAAATTGGTCAACGTTTACGACTAAGTCAGGGAGATATTGCTCAAACAAAATTATTATATCGTTGTCCAAGTAAGGGGATTTTTCTGAATTGAAAATTTAATTGGAATTTTTTATTTTATTTCTTACCAAAAAAAAAAAGAATGTGGTCATACAATACAGGATGAATCCGGTCAGATTTTATCACCAAATTATCCACAATCATCACCACCACCTGAAGGTGAATATTGTGAATGGCGTATAACAGCAACACATGGTGAAAAAATTATATTAAATATACATGATATCGATATATATGAAACAAATAAATGTGAAAATGGTTATATTGAAATACGTGATGGTTATTGGTTTAAATCACCATTAATTGGTAAATATTGTGGCCAAGGTAATCTATTAACATCAATAATGTCCGAAGGACATCGTATGTTAATTTCATATATGGTAACACCTAATCAACATAATCATCGTGGTTTCAATGCTACATATGAAGGTTTGTTTGTTTTTGTTTGAAAATTAATTAATTTTCTCATTTTCTTTATTGATTTATTAGTTGTTTGTGGTGGTGAAATTATTGCCGAAAAAGGTTATTTACAAAGTCCAAATTATCCGGATGAATATCGTCCAAATAAAGAATGTATATGGCGTATTACTGTACCGGATGGCTATCAAGTTGCATTAAAATTTCAATCATTTGAAATTGAAAATCATGATAATTGTGTTTATGATTATCTTGAAATTAAAGATGGTTATACTGATACTAGTCCATTATTGGGTAGATTTTGTGGCCATAAAATACCTGCAGATATTCGTTCATCAAAAAATAAATTATATGTAAAATTTGTTTCGGATTCATCCGTAAGCAAAGCTGGATTTTCTGCTACATTTATTAAAGAAATGAATGAATGTCTTGATTCTGATCATGGTTGTGAACATGAATGTATTAATACATTTGGTGGTTATCGTTGTGAATGTCGTATTGGTTATGAATTACATTCGGATGGGAAAAAATGTGAAGATGCATGTGGTGGTATTATTGAATCATTAAATGGTACAATTTCATCACCATCATTTCCAGATCTATATCCACCTAATAAAAATTGTATATGGGAAATAGTTGCACCGGAAGGATTTCGTATATTATTAAATTTTACATTTTTCGATTTGGAAGGCAACAATGTTGGTGATTATTATTAGTTTATTATCGTTTTTATTGAAAATAATTTTTTCAAAATTCTTTCTTTTTTTTGATTAGCAAGATTGTGAATATGATAAATTGGATATCAAAAGCAAAATAAATGATCATTATAGTCCACATGGTCTATTCTGTGGATCACGTCTGCCACCGATCATTACATCACAAGGACATAATCTTCGTGTAGAATTTACATCGGATAATTCTGTACAGCGTGGTGGTTTTCATCTACATTTTTTCACTGGTAACTATAGTTTGATTTTTTGAATTTAATTAATAAAAAAAATTATTTTCAAAAATAGATCTGGATGAATGTGTGATCAACAATGGTGGTTGTCAACATATTTGCCGAAATAAAATCGGATCCTATGTTTGTGAATGTAATAGTGGCTATGTATTACATGAAAATAAACATGATTGTAAAGAAGGTAGCTGTTCATATCAGATAACTAGTTCGAATGCTGAAATTGTTAGTCCACAATATCCGGAAGAATATCCAAGTAAAAAAGATTGTACATGGCTTTTTGTTGCTACACTTGGACATCGAATAAAAATTGTATTCGAAGATTTTGATCTTGAACCACAACAAGAATGTGCATATGATTTTGTTACTATTTATGATGGTGATTCATCTTCTGGACAAACATTAGGTCGATTCTGTGGTAGTAAAGAACCACATCCATTAGTATCATCAACAAATAAAGCATTGATGATATTTAAAACGGATGCATCCGTACAACGAAAAGGTTTTAAAGCACGATACTATACAGGTATGTAAATTGATAGTTAAAATAAATCTATTCGTTTGATTAACCGAATTATTTATTTATTTAGTATGTGGTGGTCGATTAATGGCAACATCATCAATTGAATATCTTTATTCACATTTTAAATTTGGTGATGCAAATTATGATAAAAAAGAAGATTGTGATTGGCATCTAGTTACATCTGGTAATGATAAAAAAATCTATCTAAAATTTGTTACATTCGAATTGGAACATGAAAATAATTGTTCATATGATTTTGTTGAAATATTTGATGGTGCAGATGATACATCATCATCATTAGGTCGTTTTTGTGGTAATCAGGTTTGTAAAAAAAAAATTTGTTAAAAGAAGAAATATTCAAAATAAAAATTTATATTATCATTAGATGCCAGACGATATGATCTCATCAGGTAATTCATTATTAATAAGATTTCGTACCGATGATTCAATACATAATAAAGGATTTACATTAACATATTCATCGGTTGATGCTAATGAACAAGAACAATTTATTATACAACAAGGATTTAAACGATTAGAAAATCAATTGATAGAAAAATATTTTCATCAACCATCACCACCACCACCACCACCATCACCACAACAACAACTATCACCATCATCAACAATATCATCTTTACATCATCATTCTATAAATCCTCATTTAAATCATCGTCATCGTTCACATAATAATAATCAAAATCGAAATACATTTCAACGAAGAAAAAAAATCCATGTATAATCAGTGTTAACTGAATAATCATTATACATTATTATTGTGATGATCGATCATGGAAATGATGATGATTGACGACAATCTACTTACAAATTTTTTTTTTGAAATTAATATTTATATATCACACATATATGATGCTCAGTAACCAAAATGAGAATGAAAAAAAAACGAAACAGATTTTTTTTTTGTTTGAAAAAATTATTATAATCCCGGTTTCGAGCTTACACAAAGCCAAATATCTCATTAAAAAAAAAAACATCTCCCCTTTTACTCCAAAAGTTTTTTTTTTGAAACACATTTATACCTAAAATTGCTCAAAAAAAAAAATTTTCCTGTCAAATTTTTGTAGGTGATTTTTTTTTCTTTTCCTATCACTCATTTTTTTTCTGTCCGAAGAATGAATATTTGGTTTACATTATTTTTTCCCCTCGTTATCTCATCCGATCATTTAATAATCGAACGTGATCAACATAAAGATGATCAATAATATCCGATATTCAATTTCCGTCCAATCGAATAATCAAAATCGGAAAAAGTTTCATTTTTTGTTTTTTCTCCACTTATTCTCTTTGGTTCAATGATTTTTATGATTCAAATTTTTTTGTTTCTTGCTGTAACATATAAATAAATAAAAAATAAAAAGATGATTGACCCGACCGAATGGGTTTTTTTGGTTTTGTTTTGGTTTCGGAATTAAAACTTATGAAAAAAAAATCGTTTACCCAATTCATTTGGAAATAATAATAATAACACGTACCACACACACACAAGTGGAATGACCTAGATTTCTTTTTTTGATTGGATTCTTTCAAATTAAACACTATGGACCATCCGAAAAAATGAAACCAAATGAATGAATGAAAAAAAAATCTAGATCATAAAAGAAAATTATTAATTCGGGTAGAATAGAAAATTCGGGTCAAAACACTGATGACCAAAAAACAAATGGTCAGGTTAATAATTAGTCAGGTTTTTTGTTTTCTGGTTGGCACAAATTTCCATAATGAATGGCAATCATAATAATAATAATTTTGACGTTTTTTTTCTTTTTTGGTATTCTGTTTCGAACATATATGAATCATTAAATAATTTCACTTTCACAAAAAAAAACTTTAACATACAGCCGTATGTAATACATATTTTTTTTGAAGACAAAATACCTTTTTCTTGATCGGTTGCCACAGTAGCCACCAGCCATTTATTCTTTTAAACAGCTTTCAACCATTGGATATTGCACAGAATATGACAAAAAAAATATTCTAGGACGAGAACAGAAATTGAAAAAAAAATTGTTATGTATGATAGATCTAGTTCGCAGTTTGATCATCATTCATTCATTCATTCATTTCTTTGAATTGTTAAATAGTCGGATCCAGAAAAAATAATAACAATATTCCATGGAATCCAAAAAACCAGAATTCATTCCAATTCAGACTTTATTGACGGCCACACACCATCACAGAATTTGTTTGTTTGTTTGAAATTGGTGTCAAATTGCTGATGATTATTATATGTGCGGTATTAAGGCCAAGTTTGAATGTTGAATAAATTATTGATGATAATGATTGAACAAAAAAATAAAAAATATAACGAAAATAGAGAACAAAATCGATCAAAGATCGATATAAGATGAATAAAATATCCATCCGGCTATTTTTCAACAATTTCGAACAATTATGGATTCACATTATTCATCAACTATTTTGATCTATTTGGCCATATTATTTATTATGATGATTTTAATCATACCATCAATCATTTCATATCCACCTATTATACATTATTCGCATATAATGCGTATATTAAAAATTCCATATACAACCGAACCGGGTACAATTGTTTACAGGTAAATTAATTTTGTTTTGTTTTGAAAGAAAATATTCTTTTAAACATAATCCTTTAAATGCTTAAGAATCAAAGCTAGCGATGCTGATAATGATGATATTATTTTCGGTAAGTTTTTTTTGTTGTTGTTAAAGTTGTTTTTCGTTCGATTTATTCGTCTTTTTTTGTTTTGTTTTGCAACTTTGCAAGACGTACTTGAAGATTATGGAAAAACTCTTATACGTTTCGATAAAATCAATCAAAATGAAGCAAATGTAATTCTTTTGTGTCCATTAAATGTATGTTACTGTTATGTGTGTGTGTTTTTTGTTCAAAAGCTTAAAAAATAATTGAAATTTTATCGATTTTGATTCATTGATCAATATATGATCGATATTTTTTTCCCTGTTTGTTTGTCATACAACAAAACAAAAACAGAAAGATTCTGAATATAATCTAACAATCTATGCGAATGGTGGTGATGAAACAACATATATTGAATCACGTATAATTGTAACTGATATTGATGGAATCAGTACAAAAGAATATTTTCCATTTGTCATCGATAATGATCCAGTCTATGTGTTTGAGGTGAGTTTTTTTTCATTCTTGTTGTCAGCGTATATCATCATCATTAATTTTATTTCCTACTTGAATTCCAGAATGTATCATTAAACAATTCGATTGCCATAATTAAAGCCTATGAACAAGAATCAAGTGAACTTCCTGTATCATTTGAATTATTAGTAAGTTTGTTTTAAAGTGTTTGAAAGTAAACTTGTTAAAGAATAATTTGATTTGGTCACCGAAAAGGAGGATGGTAATATTTTTCATTTTCGTTATATATTTGGTCCTCGTGGTATAACAATAGCTGAAATTATTCTATTAAAATCATTGGATTATGAACAACAAAATCTTTATATTTTAACCATATTGGCTATAGTAAGAATAATTAAAGTGATCATAGATGGCATTATTAACCCTTTTTTTATCGGATTTTTTTCAAAGAATGGTAAAACCCGCCAAGATATTGACACTCGAAATGTACATCAAACATATCTAACTATTGTGGTTAAAGATGTACAGGATACGCCACCAAAATTTGAAAATTTGCCACAAACAACACATATTAATGTTTCATATCGTCCGGTAAAATTGACTAAATGTTTTTTCAATATAATGAAAAAAAAACCATTTTTTCCATTCCAGAATCAAACTTTATACACTGTTCAAGCACAAGATGGTGATATCACCAATAAAAGAGATTTAATCTATCAGATTAAAAGTAAATGTTGATATGTTTTCTGTTTCATGAATAATTTTTTTATGTTGTCTTTGATAAAGAGCCAAATGACCGATTTTTTCGAATCAATTCCAATGGATCTATATCGACGCCATTTTCTTTTGATGAATTAAATGAATTATACGATGTTCGAACACCGATAACGTTAAGGATTGAAGCGCATGAAATTGTAAAACGAGATTTATTGCCAAAAAATTTAGCTGACAATAACAATAATTCATCATCCACCACAACTCAATCACATTTGATAATCATATTCAATCTGAATAATCGAAAACCATACTTTTCACAGCCAGAATTTACAGCCAACATTGATGAACATAGCCCTTATTTAACTTCGGTTCGATGGTCGAATGGCCAGAATCCAAGGGTATCGGATCCAGATTATGGTTTAAATGGAACATTTAAGCTAAAAGCATATGATCCAACCAATACATTTATCATATCGCCAATGATTGGTTATAGAAATCTTACGTTTACATTGTTGGTTAATGATTCAAATTCATTGGATTATGAAAAATATCATAATCTAAGTATTCATCTTAGCGTACAAGATACATCCGAAGAACAGCCACTTTCATCGAATGTAACATGCACAATTTTTATACACGATATTAATGGTATTCGTTTTTTGGTGCTATCCAAGTGATGATTTTGTTTTTTCACTTTAATCCATAGATAATTATCCTGAATTCACTCAAAGTCGATATTATAGTTCAATGTTAGAAAATGCTGCCAAAGGAACCACTGTTACTACTTTATCGGCCACTGATAAAGATACTGGTGATTTTGGTCGCATTCGTTTTACCGAAATACGTGGTCCTTTCGCTCAAAAGTAAATGAAATTTTATCAATTGATTTCTTTTAATTCTAATTCCACTAATAATTGTTTTAAATATGGAAGTTTTAACATTGACCCAGTGATTGGAACAATCATCTTGATTGACAACAATAATATTGATCGTGAAAGTATGGAAGAAATTTTTCTAACAATTGAAGCACGTGATAATAATGGCCAAGGAAATCGTAATATGACCGAATTATATATACAAATATTAGATGTCAATGGTAAACAGAAAAAAAAATTGATTTTGATCTAAATAATATTCATCGGTTTCTTCAATCTAGATAATCCACCATTATTTTTACAACCATATTATTTGGGTATTATCAAGAATGACCTAAATGAATTTATTCATCCATTAAAATTAGATGGTAAGAATTTCTGGATGTTTTCTGTGAATGATTTTGATTTTTTTTTGTTGTTGTTATGGTTGGATGACAATAGCAATCGACATTGATCAAATCAATACGACCAACAGTATGGTTAACTATGAAATTTTACAAGGAAATTTTGAAAATATGTTCGAAATTGATCGACAAAATGGCCGTATAAAACTTACCAGATCGGATATTAATCAACGATCATCATCCACATTGAATGCCATTCCAAACTTGATAAATTTGACTGTTCGTGCATATGATCTGGGCATTCCACAATTGTCATCATTAGTCAAAGTTTTCATTTATGTTCTAGTATGATTTAATATCTATTTGTGATTATCATTCTGTTAAAATTTTGTTTCCTTTTTATACCTTGTATGCAGAATACGCCAACATATCTTTCGACATTGTTTTCAACGAATAAAATACTTGATATTCGTAATGGAAACAGTTCGTTAGAAAAGTATGTCTATTTTCAATTGAATTTTTAATCATCTGAAATTAATCTCTTTCTATAAAGATCTTTGAGCTTAATAACAGGTGGAAACGTAACCGTTAAAGAATTACGTTCACCTGAAACACCGAATGAACCAATAAAAATTGTAACAATGGTCCGTTATCAAAATGAAAATATTAGTAAGTTCCACATATATGTAGTGTTTTTGATTTAATAATCCTTATTTCTTTTCAATATAGTTGATCTTGATAATCTAGCCGCAGCGTATCAAAACTTATTCTACATTCCACCTCAAACACAGCCTTCGACAATTTCACGATCAACATTACCATCAACTATTCATGCCACAAATATTCCAGATACTGTTCCAGTAGTGACAAGTAAAAACATTAATCAACAGCAAACATTTATCGGTAGATCTCATCATCATCATCAAGAAGTGGATGTTTCTTCTTCATCAGCATCGAAAATTTCAAGAAATCAAAATATCCATCAAGATGTGAATGATTACAACGATGGAATCAATGAACAAGAACATGAAAACGATCCATTAGTTGTACGAACTTCATCCACTGCAGGATTTTTCAACTTCCTAATGTATTTTCTATTGGTCTTGATCATTTTGTTTCTCATTTTTCTTTGTATCCTTTGTTGTTGTTGTTGTTGGAAAAGAAGGTAAACAATTTTTAAATTGTGTTGTTAGCCATAGTCAATAATTTTATTTTGAAGGGATTCTCAAACATTATTCGGTTGGAAAAATGTCTGGTTTCTACAAGATCATAAGAGTAGCGATAAATTTCATAAACGAAAACGACGATCGACTGAAAGCCATCCAAGTCAACGTCATTATATTAGTCAGCATCGAAAACAACATAGCGAAAGTAAAGCGATGACCATTTCTAATCATGAACAACAACAATCAAAACAAATGGCAAAACAAGAATCAATTGTCAGTTATGGACATCATGATAATGATTGGTTTCGAGCATTGGAACGAAAACTTGAAAACGAAGATGGTGATGTTGAATATGAGATTAAAGAGGAGAAAAAATATTCCAGTACACCACGTACAATGTCATATTGTATCAGTAAGAAAATCATAAGACCTAAACATAATCAACAGCAACAGCCACAACAAGAACATTCACGACAAGTGGACATTTTAAATCTGGAAAATGGTACAACTCAAGTCGAACATCATCGTATATTTCCAAGGAAAAAAAATTCCATTATGCCATTGGGAATGATTAAAGAACAGCAACAAAAAAATGATAAAAATCAAACAAAAATCAATTTTGCTATCAATCAAAACGAAGCAGCAAATTCAAAATTCAAGCAATTCAATCAACAAACATCTAATCAAGCGATTGGCACAGATATATTACCGATTTGTCCACAAACAATGCAGCGACGTAGTATTTTTTCCATTGCCTATGATGGTATTGAACATCGAGAAAATATTTCCTCATCCGAATCAAATCAAACAATTACACATATTTAAATTTAAAAAAATATATTTAATCATCATATGAAAATAATGTACAAAATTTTGAAAAAAAAAACAATTGTAAAATAAAATCATGATGTTAATCGTTTAAGATGATAACTTTCAATTAGTTGTACGGTTGATTTATAAACACAGCCATCACGTTTAATACGATAATATCCTTCAGTGGAAAAATCGACTATAGTCGAACCTAATCCTTTTGGATCTTGTTGTCCAAGTTGTCCACCATCGAATATTCCATCAATCATTGGCCATAAGTGTTCGAATGCTTGAATATTTAAACAACTTGGTTCCGAACTTATATTAGCACTTGTCAATGCAATTGGAACAGATTGTCGACATAATTCACGTACAAATTCATTATTAGGTATTCGAATGGCAACTAGTTTGGTTCCTGGATTTAATGAATGATTCAATTTGGATGTTCTTTCAAAAATCACAGTAATAGCACCGGGTAATAATTGATATAGTAAACTTTTTGGAATAGTTATCTTTGCATATTCGGCAATATCATCAACATCGGCCAAACAAATGGCTAATGGATTATTGTGATCGCGTGATTTAATTTCATACAAACGATTAATTCCTTTTGTACTATCAATACTTGCTGCCAATCCATAAACAGTATCTGTTGGTAAAGCAATCACTTTATCATTTAACAATAATGATTTGGCCATATTTATCAGTGATGAATTGGCCATGAGTGTTGATTTTAATTTGAATATTGCTGCCGAACACATATTTTTATCATGAAAAATCAAATATCATCAACCACATGGTCAAAAGATATAATGGAAATGTTTTGACTGTTATGAATGAAATACTTTTATCAAATGTTTATAGATGGCGGCATAGAACGCTTTTTAAAATAATTTACAAAATAAATTTTCAATTTCATAGTTATCGTTTTTTAATTATGATTACGAATTCAACAATTATGAGTATAAAAATGTTTATCAAATTAAAATTTATAAAAGTATTTTTAAAAAAATATTATAGAGAACAGATATAACCGGCATGTGTATATAGCGGAAAAAAAGTAAAGACCAATGATGACCATTATTGATTCGGATAAAAATCTTTTTTTTTCAATTGGAACCAAAATCACAAAATTAAATCAATTATTAAAATCTTATTCGGCTAATCTTATTCTTCAATCGGTGGTGGTACCAATGGTAAAGTTTTTGTCGAACTTTGTTTCAGATAACCGGCAATATTGACAGTGGAATCTGTTAACGAAATAATGTTTGTAAAAAAATTTAAAAAAAATAATAATTAATACTTACTTGTTAAAAGATGAGTAGCATTATTACTGGCAATAAAAAGATCATGTTTTTGATCTTTAAATTCTTTCCAAATATTCGAATTATTCAAAACTTCACTTATCTGTGAATTATATTCCGAATCAAGTGCTGTTTGAAACATTTGTACAACTTTTGCTTTTGTTGATTGACTAGCATTCGAATCGAGTACTTTTAATAGATTATTAATCAAACCAGTATTGATTGATTGATGTATAAATTCTTCATTTTTAGCTTCGAATATTTTCACCATTGAATCACATAATAATTCGATCAAAGTTGGATGTGTTTCGATGATTGAATTAAAATTTTTAGCTAATTTACCGGTTACAATCATATCGTTTAGACAGGCCGAATTCAATGAAAATTTATGTATTAACGATAGGCACGTTTTTGATATATTCAAATTATTATTGTCCAATTTATTGATAAATATTTGAATATAACCAGTAGGAGGTATAAGAATGAGAAGATCCGATTGTGTTGTCAACAGAATGTGCAATGCATTATTGACCATTTCAAGTTTTCCTTCCTGAAATAAAATTTTTTTGTTATCAAAAAAATCATCATGAAAAAATAAGCGAAACAAAATAATCAAACAACTTACATCAATATCGGAGGATTTATCACAAACATTTTTGGCATATTCCAACAAATCCAATAGAAATTCTTTTGGTCGACTAAGAATCCAACCGGGACTTTTATTATATAGTCGAAGATAAACACCAGATATTTTAAATTCATCATCATCCAATGAATATTTGAATTCACAATTGGCATTAAATTTCCATAAATGTGATGGATTAGATATCTGTAATGTATAAAGGTCTTCAATAAGATCTCTAACATGTTTATTTAGCCGTAATCTTGCATCTTCTGTCCAAATTAATTCTGGATTTTCTTTATTTTCATCATAAAGATTGATAGCATTCTGTGGTGCATCTTTCATAGCATTGAAAAATAATGTTGGTAAAAAATGTGACAATACCCATGATGAATATTGGCCATTAACAACATCGCCAGTTATTTTAATCAACAATTGTGCAGCTTTTTCACGTACAGCATTGAAATTAGGCATGATGAATAGTTGAAGAACATAAAGAAGAATACCTTTTCCAATACCTTCTTTAACCAAATCACTGTTTGTAGTGAATGATAATAATATTTCCAAAATATCCAAATATGATTTTGATTGTTGTTCAGTAATTCTTGTTGTAATATGTAACATTAGTAATAAATTAATCAAAACATTTGAATTAGATATATCCTGAATACAATCTTTATTTGTAGATAATTTCATCAATAATCGTAACACTAATGATTGAATTTCTGGTTCCGATTCTAAACGTAATAAACTGAAAATATTACGAAAATGTCCAACAAAACAATGTTCAATACCGGCATTATAATTTAATAAATTAATCAATGCTGTTAAACATTGTTCAATAGTATTACGACGTTGTTCATCCAATTTAAAATCATCTTTAGTTGGAAATGATATAGCATTTACTGCATGTAAATATTGTGCATTCGTTCCAATATTATCCAATAAAGCCAATACAAATTGTTTAACATTATTCAATGGATAATTTGGTTGTTTATTATATATTCGTACAAATATATCGCTAATAATAAGCTCTTCTTTATGGCAACTATAAACAAATTTTGTACCAAATGATTCATCCATACAAACACCGCTACGTAATAATTCTTTTTCCTGTGTTTGTAAATAATTCAATAGTTCAGCACGTGATGCATTATTCCAGATAAAATATGGATTTTCAATATTTGAATTGATTAATTTTAATAATTCCGGTACAGCTTCCATATTTAATTGATTAGCAATATAAGGTGTAAGAAGTGAATAGATTGCTTGACGTATAAGTGAATAATCATCTAATAATGATTTATCTTCTAAACCTTGTGCACGATCAAAACGATTTTCAAACAATGCAACACAAGCTGAAAGACTTTTTTTAGCCAATGAATTGGCAACAAATTGTTTGCTAACTTTTTCATTTGCCCCAATAGATTCAGCATTTTCTTCCAATGTATAATCATATTTGAATATGAATTGTATCAAACTGAATAGACAACCCGATTTAAATAATAACATTTGTAAATATGGATCATTTGAAAAATAAATAACACAATCGATTGCAGCCATTGATAATTTTGTTAAATGTTTATAATTAAGAATATAGAATATATTCTTAGCCAATGAAGTCATTTCATAGAAAAATGAACGACATGCTGGAAATTCGGCCGATACACCAAATGTTGATATAATATATTTACAAACTTTAGTACATAAATCTTTTGATTTTGATGATGATGATAATACCGATACACAACGATTCAATATATCATAAAGCATTTGTAAACCATTTTCTCTTCGCAATTCTTCGGCATTCAATGCCGAACATTTTACTGTATAATAAACAGTTTTACATGCATGTGCTAAAAGTGAATCAGTTTTTGAAAATAGATATTGATCATTCAATTCTAATTCTAATGTTTTCAATAACATTGGATAACCAGCATATTTATATTGATATAATTCAACATTATAACGTGAAAACAATATACTTTGTGTTTTCAATATCAATATAATATTCTGTATATCAGGACCATTAGATTTATGTTTAGCATTGAATAAAAAATAATATGCTTCATTAACTTTTTCAAACATTTCACGACCATCAGCATTTTTATCCGGATGATAACGTTGTGCTTGTGTATAATAACGTTTACGTATCATACTTTCAAATTCATGACCATTCAATGGTCCATTATAATCTTTTATGCCCAATATTTCAAATGCATCTTCTATTTGCATTGAATTTGGTTTTTTCGATATCTCTAATTTCCACATTTCCAATATATCACGTAAAAATGTAACAGGATCTTTGATTTTCCAATCATTAAATCGTTTTGTATCGCATAAATTTTTCAAATAATAAATATTACAAAATAATTCATTTTCCAATTGTTGATAACGAATAGGTGGAATTGGACAATATTGATAAATGGCACGTACATTTGAATATAATCTTGGACTAAAATCAACAATATGTGCAGATATTTTTTCAATCATAAAACGACGCATTTCATAATTCCAAATCACTTCAGGTGTATCGAATTCACCGAGGAATACTTTGGAAAATTCTTCAGGTCCATAATTTTCTAGATAACAAACCATTGCTTCAGGTATCATTTGACTTAATATACTACGTTGTAGTACGGTTTGATTTTGATCATCACTTTTAAACGATTGTTTCATATGTGTTAGATGAAGAACACGACTAATTGGTAATATATTCGATCCAGTATACATTAAAATAAAATAAAACAGACCGGTTTGATAAAGAAGTGAAATTCGTGGATTATCTTCGATGATCAGATAAATTAAAGTTGCAATTCGTTCAACAATTACCGGATCGAATGTAAGTAAAAGATGAACAATATGTGGTAGACAACTTTCATCGGATAGAATTTGTTTAACTTTTGGAATAGGTCGTATGATTGCATTATCCGGTACAGTACGGCTAGGATAACGTTCACAAATTCGTATCAATGTATCCAGAATATAGATGGTCATATTATTTTCCTGAAATATTGATAATCCTTCGGCCATTAAAGTCCATTTAAGTTGAGCAATTTCTGAAATTTTACGCCATGAATTATAACCTTGTGCCCAGCATTTTGTATCACCCGATATTTTATCATCTTTCCAGAGATCTTTTAAATCGGCAAAACTTATTGCCTCATCTTTTGATACATGCCATTCTTTTTCCATTGAATCACGTGACATTTCTGGTGATGCTTCGATAACATTTGTTTGTGTTGGTATAACAGCACGATTTACATGTAAATGTGAAAGCGTAGCCAAATCAATCAATATTAATAGACCATCAGAACGAAGTAATGTACGAATGTTTGTCTGTTGTTTGATAATTTTTCCAATAAACTGTACAATTCGATCACGTAATGTTCGATTTCGACAATCATGTAGAATGTTTAGAAGAAAAGTAACATCACTAAAGGAACCGATTTCTTCATCATATTTTTCATAGATAATTGACATAGCCTGAAGACAATCGGCTTTCATTTGAACATTTGAATTGGATAAAAATCGATGATAAAGTGCATTGAAAAATTCAATAGGCGATTTAATATATAATGATTCATCAATATCGGTTGTCGATGATGATGATCCTTGACTTAACAATAATCGAAGATAATAGTTGCCAATTTTAAGTTCTTCATCCAAAGAAACATAATGAACCTCAAATTCATCAAAATTCCATGATAATAATTGAACAGAATGTAATTCACGTTCATTTTTGAGAAAAGTAATTTCCTTTTCCAATGATTCTCGAAGTTCTTCACGTGTTTTATAATTCCAAATTAAATCTGGTTTCGAATGATTCTGTGTAAATTGATAGAAAAACATATTCCAATTTAGTGGTGATTTTAAATATTCACGACGTCGTCGTAATACGATAGGATGAATAGAATCACCAGTACTACCAACAACAGTCGATACAATTCCGATTCGTTTGCGCCAATGATTGAATGCATTTTCAAGATGTCTTTCAACATTACGAACAACAGCATATTGATCACGAATTTTCTGTAAATTTGATATCGGTTTCTGTGAAATATCTTGAGCAATTTTTAAATTATCTCGAGAATTAAGTGCAGCCATTGTATCGGCTGGTGGTTGTTCTTTTGATTCAAAATAATTCAACAATCCCAAAGGAAAAATATTCTGCAATATAGACCAACCAATATCATTATCAACAGTCCATAAAGAAATTAATTTTCTTGATAGAATTTGAATTGGTAAAAATTTCTCACGCGTAACAATTGGATAAAGTGATGCATGTAGATGAAATAAAAATGTACCTTCAGCTAATGCTAATTTTTGCATTTCATTAGCAATTTTTGGATTACCTTCTTCAATCATAGCTTTCATCAATAAACAGGTTGCCTTTACAATCGATAATGATTGATGATCAAAAAGACGAAACAGACAACGACCATATTGTGATACTAGATTTAATAATTGATCAAAATGGCCACCATCAGTTGTTTCACTATATGGAGCACAAAGTGCATAGGTAAGAAAATCCAATATAGCTGATATGATTAATGCACCGGTTCCTTTATTGATATGATAACGCATTAAATCCAGTATAAGTGGTAGAAAATTTTTCGAACTTAACAAAAATCCTTTGTTTTTCTGTTCATAAAACAGATCATTTTCATCATGAACCGGTTGCATCAAAGTGGATAACATATCGATAACAGTAAAAATAATGACATCATTTTCTTTATCAAAAGCTTTCTTTACTTTTCGAAATAATTGTTCAATTTCTATTGATTTATATTTTTTATCCGGACCAATAAAATATGCAAAACCGGCACGTGTTGTAAATAAATTTTTCAATACCAATAATTTTGTATTGAATTCAATCAATTCTTGATCACAATGATCTTCAAATAATAATTCACTAATAGCACCATGTATAAATTTTTCCTGTTCTTTTTGATTACGTTTAGTGGATTCATTTTCAAAAACATTACCATTAATAGCAAAAAAACTTGTTTCAATAAAAAATTCCAACGCTTGTATTAGATCTTTATTACGTGAATTAATAAAACGTGCAACTTCAATTTCTGGTTGTGAGATCACTTTATGATGATTATAATCTAATTTTATTGATACATTAGCATTACCCGATGATCGTACACTATCCATTAATGATGCTAATAATGAATCACGTTCAGTTGATGTATAAAAACGACAATCACCATTTAGATAAAGTATGGCAAATTTTTGTGAATGATTTATTGGTCGTACGATAGAATAAACATCAATCAAACGTCTAACATTAATCAATGTATTTGTTGTTGAATCTCGTTCAATTAGGCAATTATCGGTGAATGCTAACATTATTTTTTTACATTCTTCCATTGAACCATTAATATTCATTAACATTTGATTTGTTTTAATTTTATTCACAATAAATGAATGAATTGGTAAAGACAATGCTGATCTCGGTATACCGAAACAATTTTCCTGAAAATTTGAAAATGTCATCGGTTCATTTGATAATGGAATTACAACGCCAATATTTTTTCTTGCTATTAAACGAATTCTATCAATCATTTCTTGTGAATTATTACCATCTTGCATAATGAATAAATGAAGATATTCATTTTCTGTAGTCGATATTATAATAGCTGGTCCAAATGTTGAATCACGTACATGAATTAAACGATAAATATCTTTATAATCATATGATGAAAGAATTTGATTAGTTTTCGAATGAATTTTATTCACACCGTATATTCCAATTTCAAGAACAACTTTATAATTTTCACCATTCCAACGATGTTTTAAAACATTATATCGTCGAACATTTTCCGAATATTTTGGTAATATATTTGGACATGTTTTGAATAGATCAGTCAATATATCTGAACGATATTTTGATTTAAATTTCATTTTATTATTTGGAAAATTTATAAGAAAAAATTGATCAGCACCGGTCATAACTGTCATTGATTCTTCATCACTGATAATTGGATGAAATTCTCGAATATCATTACAATAATAACTATTTGTTAGTTTATATTCAGCCAGATCATATGTTGCAACATTCGGTGGTTCGATGACCAATAATCGTCGTAGGCTAAATGATAATAATAATAATAATAACGATAATGATAATGACATTGAAATTTGATGATCATCAAAACTTACTTTCCACGCCATTGATGGCTTTTAATGACAAAATAACGGGAACCATTTTTAAATTCGGTTTTTGAATTCATTTGTTATGAACAAAGTAAATATATATAGAGATTAAAGAAAAATTCATTAGATAATCAGATGTGGGCGATTTATTTTTTCGAAATAAATTTTATTTCAAATTTATAATAAGCAAATGATGACAACAAACAAACAAACAAAAATGACTAAACGTAACATCAATCGATGGTTTAATCACAGAGAGAAACAAACACAGCAACAACTTAAACGCCCAGACAGACAGAATCGATTTCTTTTTCGTTCTTTCTTTTTTGATAAAAATTTTACGCAGGACATTTATAACCATCATCATCATCATCATCAGAAAGAGATACAATTTCGGCTATTTCGATCCAAACAATTGTGATGGAAGCAAAAAGATCCAATGATTTTTGACCGAATCATTTTTTTTTGATTTAGAAAAAAAAAAATTACAAATTAAAATTACGGAAATTATATAGGAAAAAAAGGATTTTATTTTTATTCTTATTTTTTTATGGATAGGATTTACAAGGCAATATATCTACAAATTTTTTTTCATTGGAAAATTTAGAAAATATGAGCCGGATTTGGATTAACACGATTTTTACGTGAAACGAATCGAATTTTTCTTTCCATATCTTCATCATATATCGCTTTACACATTTGCCAACTAACACGTCTTCGTGTATTGAATGGTTTTTCATAATATCTTGTACGTCGATAGATATCAAATAAACCTTCCGAACCCATTATACGATTTAGAACACGAATTGCACCATCAACATCACCATCACGTACGATAACCGTTTTTGCAATAAAACGATTCAACATTCGGCTACGATTTAGACAAATGTTGGTCAAAAACATTTTGATTTTTTTTGGATAGAAAATGGAAACAAACAAATTATTGAAAAACAAATGAAACAAAAAAAAATTTCAAACGAAACAAATCATATGATCAACTATTTCGACTCAAATAGGATCCAATCATTTAAACAAAAATCAAGTTTTAAAATTTTCAAAAATTCTTCACTTTGTTTTTTTTATTTATTTCAATGATCATCATATTTACAACAATCGAAAAAAACAAATAATAAACGACAGTTATCAAAATTCATTTTCTAAATAAATAAAAATGAATTTTGTTGACCATCACAATTTCAGATGATGATTATAATAATGGTGATGATGATGATGATGAGCTTTTAGCTTGTTAGCAGTTCAAAATTTGTATTTGTCACAATGAAAACAAATGGGAAAAAAAATTATATACAGCAAAAAAAATTTTGAAGAAATGTTTGAGAAAGTTAAAATCCAAATAAAGAGTTGTAAGGTGTCTGTATAATAAATGTTTCCATCGTGACAAATAAGTCCTGAATCTATTCATTATTCAATATCAATAGGTGTGTATTTGAAAAAATAAATATTTTCCATGCAATTAATGTGTGTGTTGAAGGTGGTTTGAGTGCGTGTGTGTGTTGTGATGTAATGTTTACGAAATGAATTAAAAATTTTTTTTTAATGTTATTGATCCTTTAGGTTGAGAAGAAAATGTTTTGGAAAAAAAACTAAACAAAGATAAAAATGGTGATTTGAATTTTTTTGTTGTTACCTGTTTAAAATAAGAAAAACAAAACAAAACTTCATTCAAGTGTTTAGATTCACTGCTTAATCATATATTCGATGATGATAATTGATGATCAAAAGTGAAAATTATTTGATTTACAGAGATATTTCCCATGTGTAACTTTGAAGATGTAAGTGTGTATGTGTTGCACGTGGTAATGTGTCATTTGTAATTGAAGAAAAAACAACATTCTACTTTAGGTCGAGAATTAAATTTTTTTACATCACATACACATACACACAACAGGCCTGATGTATGTGACAATGTATATTGTCTGTACAAAATTTTTTTTGATGAATAAAGAAAAAGTTTTGAAGTTGAATGCAAGAGTTGAATAATAATATTGAAGAATAGAAATAAAATGTACGAATTTCATCACATCAAAGAGAATTTCATTTTTTTTGTTTCGTAGAAAAAAAAGGAAAATTGATTGGTTGGTTGTAGTTGTTTGTCGTTGAAGAGTTGAGTTCAAGAACATTTGTAGAGAATTTATCATTTTTCTCAAAATATTAAGAATAATTAACAAATTGTTTACTTTTCCATTCTTCAACAGTTTTGATTTGTTGACCGGCAAATAGAATCCTATCGAATAAAATGATATTTTGTAAATATTTAAAATGTTAAAATGATCAATTTTACCTTTGTTCTAATAATGTTTTTTGTATTTCGGTAAATCGTACTAAGCTTCGAGCATTTTTTAGTTCAGTCAAAATTCTCGTACATGAATGATTACCAATATGATTTGCTTGTTCAAATAATGTATTCGCCTTTTTTTAAACAGGAAAAACATATAAAAATTAATTCAAAATCAATACCATATCTCGAATAAATTTTACCTGTATTTCTAATTGTTCGGAATGCCAACCAGTTACATGATTAACAAGATCTTCACGATATAAATGACGAAATCTTGATAAATCAGGTAATGAACATTTATTCTGGGCAATATTTGAACTTGTTATAGATGATATTGCCGATGTTAATGATGATGATTGATTATTATCTTTATTATTATTATTACCACTTTTTGAATCTGTTTGTTGATGTGACGATGATGGTGGCGATTCGGCTGATTGTTGAACAATAATCTTTTTAGATAATTGATCTAAATCTTGACGAATACCATCCGAACTATTTAGTAGATTATATCGAGAATTGCTATTATTTGTATTGTTATTATTATACAGCTGATGTTGTTTATTCCTCAACTTTGCATTTGGTGAATTTTTTAATGTGGCAGATTTTTGTTGTAATTTTCTTAATAGATTTAATATTTCTTCCGTATTCGATAGATTAATACCTTGTGAATTTATATTGAATTGTCGTAATAATTTTGTGGCCATATGATGAATGCTATTATTATTATTATTATTTGAAGATGGTGATGATGTTTGTGATACAATCGATGCCATTGCTTTCATCAAAAATGATGATAGATTTGAATCAGGTAATATAGAATTCGGTGAACAACCGTCCAATTTATTATTGGAATCTTTAATCTTTGCCGCGTTATCCATTGTTTTAAGGTTTGAATCGTTATTATTATTATTGATATTATCTAAAGAATTATCATGATGACGATTATCGATAGAATTTTTAGTCAATTTTGAATCACCACCAATGCCGGCATCATCATCATTATTATTATCATGATTCAATGAATTCATTGATTGTTCTGTCGTTGATAATTTATCCATTTTACTTCTACTATTACTCCTATGATTAATTAGATCATCATCACTTTCATCACTGTCATCATCATCATCATCATGACGATGTCTATTATGATAAGATCTTGATGATGATGAACTATGATTATGATGATAGGAATAATGTGTTGATGGGCTACGAGATCTATGTCTCGATGTTGATCGATGTCTTGATGTTGATGAACGATTCCGATGTTGATTATGTTGTTGATGGTGTGAATAATATCTATCATTATTATTCGATATTGTTGATGATGAACGTTCGGATGGTGAATGGTTTGAGTATGCATAAGATTTCGGTTGTTGATTATTATGGTCATATTTATCATTATGATAATGATATTTACTGCTATGATGATGATTATTATTAACACGATCACGATAATTTTTAAATGTTGAAGAATTATATCGGCTATTCGATGATGATTCCCTTGTTGAATTTCGATGTTGTTGTTGTTGTTCTTCCCATTCGATCCATTCTTTAGGTTTTTGCCATTGTGATACTTCTGTTTTACTATTATAATAATAACGTTTACCCGATGAACTTAATTGTTCGGACCAATTTCCAAAACATTTTTTATTCGATATTGAAGATGATGACGACGACGAATGATGATGTGATGAATGATGATTTTGATGATGATGATAATTATGGCTATTATGGCCATTATTATAATAGGAATTTCTTGTATCATCATATCTTTTTGACAATTTATTCGTTGTTGATCTATGATTATTAATGTAATGATGATGATTATTATATCTATTATTATGACCACGGCTAATCAACGTTGATGATGATGATGATGGAGGTGGTGGTGATCTTGATGATGATAATCTTGAATATTTATTATTATTACTAATTTTATTTGATGTTCGTCCATAATACTTGCTATTACGATTGTTATTATTTATTGAATCAATTTCATCATCATCTTCATCATCATCGTCGTCATCATCATCATTATCATCATCATCATCTATTGGACTTCTTTGACGTCGACGATTATTATTGTTAACATTACTATTACGATCCGAATATTTATTTACATGATTTGAATGATTATATCGATGATGATGATTATGTCCACTACCATCATCACGTGATCTTGGACTCCATGAATCAGGTGAACTATGGCTACTTTCACTACGATCTCTTGATCGACATCTTGATATTGATGATGATGATGATGGTGGTTGTTGTGACAAAGGTTGTGGTGATGAATAATCACGTCTATGTTTTGTTATTGTCGATGATTTTATTGGTGTATGGTTATATGTATCTTCATCATCATCATCATCATCGTATGTTTTTGTTGTTGTCGTCGTCGTAGTCGTTGTAGAATGTGGACGTTTTGTTAAATATTTACTCATTTGGATTGGATTTGAAATTTATTCATAAATTTTTCTTTCAATATATAAACAATTTCAATTACATTTCATTCATCAATTACCATCGATTATTTTTCGTTTATCGAATAAATTAGTGTTTTTTCTTGAATATGGAGAAAAAATTGATTAATTAATAAATTTTGAATAGAAATTTATGTTTCGTAAAAATGTCTGCAAAAAAAAATTTCAGATAATTGTTGTTATTGAATAACGTACCCAAAATACAGACACAAACACACTTTGTAATTGAAATAGGATAGCCAGAACAAAAAAAAATGGAAATCCAATTGAAGTAAATCTATTGATAAAATAAAGAAAAAATTTTGATAATTTCATTGAATTTGTTTTGTTCATCTTAATTCTGCATTCATGTATGGTAAAACTAACCATCAAAAAAATAAAATAAATATATTAGAATAACCTAACCCCGAAGATTTGTTTTAAATCTTTGCTTCAAGAAACCAACAATTAATCGAATTGAACAAAAAAAATTAATTCGATGATTGTTTTTTCTATGTTTAATATCGTTGTTGTTGTTGTTGTTGTTGCTGTTATTTGTTGAGTGGATATTTATAATTAAATATTTTTGTTTAAAAAAAATGAAAATAAAATAAAATTGATTGATATGAAAGCCAAAGAAAAAAAAATCTATAGTAATCGAAGACAACAAAAACAACAACAACAACGAATGTTGATGATGGTGATGATGATGACGATAAAGCGATGCGAGTTGATGGATTCGATTGTGTTCAGAGAAGAATTATTATAATTTTTTTCTTCTTCTTCTTCTTGCTTTGCGCGAGTGAGTGATTGAGTAAAGCGAGTGAGTGGAAATGAAAAATGAAACATTGTGACCATTACCAAAGTAAAAAATATATATTTGATGGTAGTGGTATTGTTCTTTGATGTTATTCGTCAATTTTTTTTCGAACCATCCCATTTTCACACCTATTTGGTTTAGAATTATATTGGAATGCAAAATAGTAAAATCCTCATTATATAGTAAATGCTGCTACCATAAAACGTAATTCAACCCGGTAACATAACATAAATGTTGTGATTTTTTTTTAAAGTTTGCTCACACTGCCAAAAAAGTAGCAGTTTCAGTGAAATGAGTTCGGGGTAAAAAAAAAGCTCGTTGACACTATGCGATTTTTTTTTTTGAAATTGTCGATGTTTGCTGTTTGACCATATGATGATGTTGATTTTCCGGTATTCAATTATTTAAAAGAATTCAAGTTGTTTACCCATTCAATACGTTTCAAATATTATTTATTAATTGTCTGGATCGAAGAGTATGAAATTTGTTTGTTTTTTATCGGGACAAACTTCCAATGAAAACAATTCCTTTTTTGTTGTTGCTTGAAACATATTGATAATGAAAATCTATTTAACGATGTGATTTTTGATTCTCTGAATATTTTCTGTTTTTTTTGGTTTAATTAAAAAATGAACAAGGGAAAAAAAATAAATTTAAAAAAAAAAATAGTTAAATAAACTTTCAACGTATGGATTTGTTTTATGAATTTTTGTTTTTCCCTTGACTATAGTAAAGCTAACTATTTGTTTTGCTACTACCTTTGTTTCTCATTAATGAGAAAAAAAAAGAAGGACATCCCAATCTAATTATTATCGATGTTTTTATTATATTCAAATTTTGTGCGCATGTGCAGATACCTATATGATTTTTTATTGGTTATTCACGAATTATAGTGTGAATGAAATATAAGGGGAAGGGGGAGGAAATGGATAATATGATAATGATGATCATGATATACCTCTACCTCTTTGATTTTTTTTTTGTTAACCAATCAAAAATGTGTTCGAATTATTATTATTATTGTTGTTCATGTGTTTAGGCAGTGGTAATAAGACACGACTACGATTGAATCCAAAAACAACAACAAAAAAAAAGAGGATTTTTTTTTCGTCAAAGAATCAAAGTTGATACATTTTAATTAATTAATTCATATGAATGAAAAATGTAGATTTTTTTTTTGTTTTTTTTCTTTGGTTAAAAAATTCATCATTAAGAATCAAGAATCGAATACGAATCATCATAGATGGAAACGTTAGACACGTTTGTTTGTTTTCATAAAGAACCAACGAAAAAAATGAATTATCAACATTCTTCTCTGTAATCATCATTTTAATCTTGTTTGTTTGTTTGTTTATTTAAATATAATAAGTGTGTTTATCTATAGAAGAAAACCCTCAGAAAAAAACATTTGTTCATAATTTGTTTCGTTTCTCGAATCATCTAGTCTTTTCGGTTTCAATCTAAACCATCATCATCAGTATCATCATCACCCATCACTTATCATCACTTATTCGAGTTAGTTTCTTTTTGTTGATAGGGGAGGGGGTGTTTTTATCATCCTAAACATCATCAAACATGTATAATAATGATGATGGACATGATATTCATAGCTGTCAACGAAAATATCATAAAATTTATCCATCATCAACGTTTAGAATGAATAATAATAATAATAAGAAAATGTTCATCTATAATGTCATTCTGTTACTTATAATTTGTACCAAAACAGTTGTTGTTGGTAAGTGTTGATTTTTTTTACTAAATTAAATAAAATTTAATCGAATTCAAAAGAATGAATGAAAAACTTTTTAAAATGAATGAATCAATGTTATTATATTGGTTGTATTTTGAAGTTTTTTCTTTGTGTGTGTTTGAGATTGAATATTCAATTCATTTGAAAACTAAAAGAAAAAATGTCATCAGATCATAAAGAATCAAGTTATAAACAAAAAAATATTGAACTTGCTGATTTATTAACCAAACAATTAATAGTATCGAATGAAGATTTTGAAAAAGTATCAGCATTATTATCAAAAGAATTTGATCGTGGTTTACGATCAACAGAAGATTCGTTTGTAAAAATGTATTTAACTTATGTTCGATCATTACCGAATGGCGAAGAAAATGGTCGTTTTCTTGCATTAGATTTAGGTGGCACTAATGTACGTGCTTTATTAGTAGAATTTCATAGATCACAATCAGAATCATCAGCAACGGAATCAAATCAAAAACAACAACAACAAGAGCCACAAAAAGGATCAATTGAAATAATCGATTCCTCTATTGAGACAATACCAACAGAAATATTTCATGGTACTGGAGAACAATTATTTGATTTTATTGCTGAATTTATTATTGAATTTGCATTTCGTAATAAATTGACTGGTGAACGTATTGCACTTGGTTTTTCATTTAGTTTTCCTTCTATACAAAAAGGTATTGCTGAAGCAACATTAGTTACCTGGACAAAAACATTCAACTGTTCCGGTGTTGTTGGCTGTGATGTTGTACGTTTATTTAAGGCATCATTAGAACGTAAAGCACATCCTTCAATACCATTTATTGATGTTGTTGCTATTTTAAATGATACAACTGGTACATTAATCTATGGTGCATTACTCGATGAAAATTGTAGAATTGGATTGATTGTTGGTACAGCTAGTAATGCCTGTTATGTTGAACATTCAAGTAGAATTGAAAAATGGCCATCCAATTATAATGATCCAGAACAAATGATTATTAATTGTGAATGTGGTGCATTCGGTGATAATTATGTTATTGATTGGGCATTAACTTGTTGGGATCGTCAACTAAATTATGAATCATTAAATCTAAATAAACAGATACATGAAAAACTAATAAGTGGAATGTATTTACCCGAACTTTTACGACGATGTTTATTAACATTAATCGAATTGGGTATTGTATTTAATGGTAAAACACCAATTGAATTATTGCAACCGTATTCAATAAGAACAAGATATATGTCACACATCGATCAAGATGATGAAAATGATAAAAATAATTTTCCAAATACAAGAATAGCATTGACCAATATTTTTAATATGAAAAATCCATTATTTAAAAATGGTTTCAATGATTCGGATGTAAAAATTATACATATGATTAATCGACGTATTACAAAACGATCAGCAAATTTTGTTGCCAATGCATTAAGAACACTAGCAAATCGTATTGATAATATTGATATATCGATTGCATATGATGGATCATTAATTTGTTTACATCCACATTATCGTTGTTGGGTGGAAGAAAAATTGAATGAATTTATTAAAACAAGTGAAATTAAAAAACGTTTTCGTTTAATACGTGCCAATGATGGTAGTCTTTATGGTGCTGCTATTGTTGCCGCAATTTGTGATCGTTAATGAAGATGTCCATTATATTTATTCATTTGAATTGAATTTGAAACTTATTCAGAATTTTTTCAAGATAAACAATTTTAATTACATTTTCATTCATCAATTACCATCAATTATTATTTTTTTGTTTCTTATCAAATATTACTGTTTGTTTTTTGTTTGAATATCAATAATAAATAGATTAATCAATGAATATTGGATTCGAAATTTTTCTAATAACAAAATATTTGCAAAAAAAAAATCAATTAAAAATGATTGTTGCTATCGAATAACGTAATCGAATAACATAACGAAATTCAATTGAAGTAAATTTAATTAAGTAATTTTTCAAAGAATAAATGAAAAACTTTTTAAAATCAATCAATCAATGTGTTTATATTGATTTTATTTTTACGTTTAAAAAAATAATAAATTTTTCGTTTTTTGTGTGTTCAAGATTGATTGATTCAATACTTTTAAAAACTAAAAGAAAAAAATGTCATCAAATAATAATGAATCAAGTAATAAACAACAACAAAATATTGAACATGCTGATTTATTAACGAAATCATTAATATTATCACATGAAGATTTTGAAAAAATATCAACATTATTAACAAAAGAATTTGATCGTGGTTTACGATCAACAAAAGATTCGATTGTAAAAATGTATTTAACATATGTACGATCATTACCAAATAGAGAAGAACATGGTCGTTATCTTGCATTAGATTTAGGTGGTACTAATGTACGTGTTTTATTATTAGAATTTCATGGACCACCATCATTATTATCATTGAAATCAAGTCAAAGACGACAACAACAACAACAACAAGAACCAAAAAAGCCGCCAATTGAAATAATCGATTCATCTATGAAGCCAATACCGACAGAAATATTTCATGGTACTGGACAACAATTATTTGATTTTATTGCTGAATTTATTGTTGAATTTGCATTACGTAATAAATTAGCTGGTGTTCGTATTGCACTTGGTTTTACATTTAGCTTTCCGGTTGTACAACAAGGTCTTGCTGAAGCAACATTAGTCACATGGACAAAAGCATTTAATTGTCCAGGTGTTGTTGGCAATGATGTTGTACGTTTATTAAAAGCATCACTGAAACGTAAAACACATCATTCAATACCATTTATTGATGTTGTTGCTATTATAAATGATACAACTGGTACATTAATTTATGGTGCATTACAAGATAAAAACTGTGGAATTGGTTTAATTGTTGGTACAGGTAGTAATGCCTGTTATGTTGAATATTTAAGTAAAATTGAAAAATGGCCATTCAACTATAGTGATCCAAAACAAGTTGTTATTAATTGTGAATGTGGTGCATTCGGTGATAATCATGTTATTGATTGGGCATTAACTAATTGGGATCGTCGGCTAAATTATGAATCATTAAATCTAAATAAACAGATACATGAAAAACTAATAAGCGGAATGTATTTACCCGAAATTTTACGACGATGTCTTTTAACATTAATCGAATTGGGTATTGTATTTGAAGGAAAAACACCTATTGAATTATTTCGACCGTATTCAATAAAAACAAAATATATGTCATTTATTGATCAAGATAATGAAAATGATGAAAATAATTTTCCAAATACAAGAAAAGCATTGGCAGATATGTTTAATAGTAAAAATCCTTTATTTAAAAATGGTTTTAGTGATTCGGATGTTAAAATTATACATATGATTAATCGACGTATTACAAAACGATCAGCAAATTTTGTTGCCAATGCATTATGGACATTAGCCATTCGTATTGATAATGTTGATGTATCGATTGCATATGATGGATCATTAATTTGTTTACATCCTTATTATCGTAGTNGATGTAAAAATTATACATATGATCAATCGACGTATTACAAAACGATCAGCAAATTTTGTTGCCAATGCATTATGGACATTAGCCATTCGTATTGATAATGTTGATGTAGCGATTGCATATGATGGATCATTAATTTGTTTACATCCTTATTATCGTAGTTGGGTGGAAGAAAAATTGAATGAATTTATTAAAAAAACTGGAATTAAAAAACGTTTTCGTTTAATACATGCAAATGATGGTAGTCTTTATGGTGCTGCTATTGTTGCTGCAATTTGTTATCGTGAAAAACGTCCAAAATTTATTAAAAAACGTGGAAAAATTTATGAGATTACTAGATTCTAGTGAAAAGAAAAAATTTTTATTTTGAATTTTAAACCAAAAAAAAACTAAATAAATTTAAATTGATTTTTTATAAACATAATTTTTTCTAAAAAATTTCTCATTTTATCAAATTTACAAATACAAAAAAGGTCTACTTTGTCACTGTGATATATGCGAAAAAAACAACAATACCTGTGAAACGGATGGTGTTTGTGCTGCAACACTTTATAAAGAATCCGGTATAATACGTACATCATATAGGTAAGTTTTTTTAAAAGAAAAACATTCACAAAATAGACAGTAGTTGTTGTTGTTGTTGTTTCCGAATAGATATTAATAATTAATATTTGATTGTCTAAAATTACTTAAACTTTTTTTCTGTCCAAATTTTTTTCTGTGTCAAAAAATAAAAACAAAACAAACAAACAAAAAAATAATAATAATTAAAGATGTTATGACAAAAGAGATCTACTACCACCTGAAAATCCGGTACATTGTCAATATTCAAAACGTTTACAACGAAATGTCGATATACATTGCTGTGTAGATAGAGATTATTGTAATAAAAATTTTCATTTTAATCCACAATTATTTAATACTGATGATGATCAAGATTTTGATTCTGGTAAGCATTTTTTCTGGTTTTGTTTTTTTCTTTCATCTCTTTTACTTTGGCCCCACAAATTCTTGTTTTGCATGTATGTTTTGACCTGCTTTTCATCAATTTTTTTATTCTTTGCTTTGATGAAAAATATTTGTTTTTTTTTTTGGTAACCTTTTTTCACATTGACATTGACATAAACAAAACAAAAATGACATAATTTTGAAAAAATAATTGATAGAATTTGATTAATTACTTGAATCAATTAATTAGATGTATAAATAGATATGCATTATTTCCAACGGAAAATCCAACATGGTGTAAAAAATCAAATACAATAAATTCATATTATAGCTGTTGTAATAATAATGATTATTGTAATCTTTATAATATATCATTTGATTTGATTATAAATCAATCAAATTTTAATAATTTTCAACAACAAGGTAAGCTTTGTATAATCAGTGTGTGTGTGTGTTTTTTTTTTTTGTTCTGTCAATCATCATAATAATAATCATTCATTCATTCACTCTCAGTCATTCTTATATAACAAAATTGTAATCAATATTGTCAATGTGTTTGTATATTATCATTTTTCAGGCTTAAATCCTTTTTGTTTCATTCAATCTTTCTCTCTGTTTATATCTGTTTGTATTTATGCTTTTTAACTAATTGGATTTTTATTTTATTTTTATTTTTCCACACATGATAGTTGCATCAAATTATTTTACCAAAAATTTATCAATCATTATCAGCAGTTTGGCCATATTATTCTGTTTGATAATCATATTAATAGTCATAATAGTATATCGTCGTAAAACACAAATTAAAACGAAAAAGAAACATTTTATCAATGATGTTGAAGGTAGTGTTGCAAGTCGTGATCCATTAATACCTGGACCATTATTAAAAGATTTATTGGATCATACATCATCTGGTTCCGGCTTACCATTACTTGTACAACGTAGTATTGCTAGACAGATACAATTATTGGAAATTATTGGTAAAGGTCGTTTTGGTGAAGTATGGCGAGGTAAATGGCGTGGTGAATGGGTTGCTGTAAAAATATTTTCATCACGTGATGAACAATCATGGTTTCGTGAAGTTGAAATATATCAAACTGTTATGCTTAGAAATGATAATATTCTTGGATTTATTGCTGCTGATAATAAAGGTAAATTAATTTAAAAACTTACTTATTTATTGATTAATTTTTTCAAACAATAATTATAGATAATGGAACATGGACACAATTATGGCTTATCACCGATTATCATGAACGTGGATCATTATTTGATTTTTTAAGTAAAAATACTGTCGATATAGCCGGAATGTTAAAAATGGCATCATCAATTGCAAATGGTTTAGCTCATTTACATATGGAAATCCTTGGTACACAGGGTAAACCGGCTATTGCACATCGAGATTTAAAATCAAAAAATATTTTAGTAAAAATGAATGGAACATGTGCTATTGCTGATCTTGGTTTAGCTGTTCGTTATGATTCATTAACAAATTCGGTTGATATACCACCGAATCCACGTGTAGGAACTAAACGTTATTTAGCACCTGAAGTACTTGATGAATCAATCAATATTAATCATTTCGATTCATTCAAACGTGCAGATATCTATTCATTTGGTCTTTGTATTTGGGAAATTGCACGTCGTTGTAATGTTGGTGGTAAGTGTTGAATAGTAATAATAAAAATGAAAAAAAAGACTCATAAAAAATCTTTAAATCCAAACAGGAATATATGATGAATATCAATTACCATATTTTGATGTTGTTCCATTTGATCCAACAATTGATGATATGAAAAAAATTGTCTGTACTGAACGACAACGGCCACAAATACCGAATCGTTGGCAATCATGTGAGGTAAATATTTTCAAAATAAGAAATTCTTCCAAATCCATGTCTTATTTTCAATGTTTTTTTTATTCCTCTTTTTCAAAAAGGCATTAAGAATAATGTCAAAAATAATGAAAGAATGTTGGTATCATAATGCTGCTGCCAGATTAACAGCATTACGAATAAAGAAAACGATTGTTAATCTTGAAGCACAAGAAGATCTCAAAATGTGATTTGTTTTCGATTTGATTTGATTGATTGATTAATCATCAATACTGCTAACTGCTAATGGCAAAAAAATTGATGCATAAATAAAAGACATAATATAATTTGCAACAAGAAAATAACATAATCAACCAAACCCACCCACAATCATTATCACTTAAAAAAAACAATACAAATTTGTTCAAAACAAAAATTTTTTTTCAATTGTTAATGAGAAAATTGAATATTTTCACAATCTAACCACCCATCATCACCTGTAGCCATAATTCTGTTTTTTTCATTTTTTTTGTTATTTTCTGGATTATCAATGATTCAACATGCATGCATTCAAATCAACAAGCATTCATTATATTGACCATAAACCAACTATGATTCTTTGACTATTATTATTTTATTGAAATTCAGTTCTTTTGTTTCAACACCAAACACTCAAAGAATATTCTCACCCACCACCACCACACAATACACTATATCTCAACAAGAGTCTAAAAAAAATCTAGTTTTTTTTCATTCATTTAAAAAAAAAGAAATTTTAATGTAAAGATTATTATTATTGTCATAAAATTGATCTAAAATAAAAATTTTTAAAGTTTTTTTTGTACTCTGTTTCTGTTAAGTTGTGGACAAGGTGGTTTTTTTATATTTGGAAGTTTTATTTTTCAAAATGCCATTTATGGTTGTTTTTTAAATGATAAAATTTTTTATTTATTTAAAGGTGAAAAGATGTTGAGCGAATTTTCTATTTGTTTGTTTAAACTGATTGATTGATTCGTTTTTTTTGTCTTCTAAAGTTCATCATGTTTTGGTCCAGAAAATTCATCATGTGAAATAAAACCATTTTTATCACGATCTTCATGTTGAAATATATCTTCAACAAGTTTATCCTGATCTGGTATATCATGTGTACCACCTTCAGGCACCTGTTTTTTTAAATAATCACTTAATTCTTCACGTGATAATTGATTATCATTATTTAAATCAATTTCTTTGAATATATTAACTGGTGCTGGTCCATCTTCAACAGCTAAACATTCAACTTCAAATATTAATGTTGATTTTGGTGGTATTAATTCACCAGCACCAATATCACCATAACCAAGATGTGATGGTATTGTTAGTTTACGTCGTTCACCAGGACAAACACCAATTAAACCTTCATCCCATCCTTTGATTACTTGACCAACACCCAATTGAAATTTAAATGGTTCACCACGTGTATAACTTTTCAAATTACAATAATTAATTTTTATTTCAGATAAAATAAATAAAGAAAATAATAATAACCATACCTTGAATCAAATTCAACACCCGATTGTAATGTACCTTTATAATGCATTGAAAGCATATCACCTTTTGCTGCTGATCGTTCACATTTATCCGGTGTAACTAATGTTTCGATTTTTAATTCAGTTACATCATCACCACTATCACCATAAACAATACCGATGATTAAAAGAATGGCAGAAAATTTTATTATAAATGAATTCATTTTTTTTTCTTTTGAATTTTATTATTGTGACCAAGTCTAAAGTTGATGTGCAATGTTAATCAATCAATCAATCAGAAATATTATTTCCTTTTCGATAGTTATAATTGAAATTGACACGCAAACAAACAAATATTCAATCAAGATTCAATTGTTATTATTATATAAATGATGGCCACTTTGTTTTGTTTATTTTATTGTTTTCTATAACCAAATATAACCATCAATTATTATCTAATAACACATATAATATTTATCCACACGTGTCATTATTTATTGTTTAGGTTCAACACTAAATCGAATACCACTGCCTTTTTTTATTTTTGGATGTTTTAAAAATTATGAATTGTCATCATTCAGTGAATATATTTTTAGGGTGTTGAATACGTACTATTCGAACGGAATATTCCGAAATCCCGAATAAAAAAAACAAAATATTTTTTGTAATTTTTGTAATTTTGAAAAAGTTTTTGTTTTTTAAATAACCCAAATAATAATGTCCGATAAAAACATTGATAAAGAATCGAAATCGAAGAAAAATTCATTGGAAATTATCGATATTCAATTGCTTCAGAATTTAGAATCACAATATTTAAAACCATTTCGTTTACAATATCGTGATCATGATGGACGAATAAAATTATGGGATTGTATACAAACACATGATAGTGTTTCAATAATTATCTTCAATATCAGTCGTAATGTTTTGGTTTTTGTACGACAATTTCGTCCACCAGTTTTTCTTTCAACATTATTCAATAAATTTAATTGTTCATTATTGGATATAAATGAATTACGAATAAAAGCAAAAGAAATGAATTTAGATTGTGGTTATACACTTGAATTATGCGCCGGTATTATTGATAAAAAAGGTCTTAGTCCAAAGGAAATTGCACGGGAAGAAATTTTGGAAGAAACTGGTTATAATCCACCGATTAATTCGTTAGAATTTATTACATCATTTCGAACCGGTGTAGGTACATCCGGATCTTTACAGCATTTATTTTATTGTCAAGTTGAGTAAGTGTTATATTGGTAGTTTTTTTTCGATTAAAAACAAAAACAATTTCTTTTTTTTCAAAGCGATTCAATGCGTCTCAATTCTGGTGGTGGTATTGATGATGAATCAATCGAAGTTATCGAGTATGATATATTGAAAATGTAACCATTTTTTTTAACTAATCCAAAAAATTTTTCTTTTTCCCAAAGATTATCAATCGAATCGGCTAAAGCAGAAATGTATGCAAATGATGAAGAAACTGGATTAGGTCGAACTAGTGGTTTTCGTTTTGCTGTTTGTTGGTTTAATTTTGTTAAATATCCACAAATATTAACAACGATGGAAAACAAATGAATCTTTGTTTTGTTTTATTTATTTATAAATGATATTACAATTAGGATTTATATCATTAAACATTAAGATAACTAGATCGATAAATGGAAATTCGGCAGCTTTTGTACGACGTATAACCAATGTTCGTAATGATCGAATTTTGTATAACGTTTCAATACCACGATGTGTTATCAATTTATTATCATTTATATTTAGATAATTTAATCTTTGTGAATTTCTAAATAACCGGGCTAATTTATCACAACACCAATCATCTAAACGATTACCGGCTAGATTTAATTCTTCAAGTTCATTCAAAAGAATTAGATTATCTAAACCTTCGAATATGATGGCCAATTCAGAACCATCAATCGAAATTAGACGATATTTTTTATCAAATGTTTTTGGAATTTCATTCACATCAGTTATCCATCGTTGTGGTTCATGACGAAAACGAACACGACCACCACGTGATAGGATAAAATTTGCTGCTGCTAAATCCGGTCCAAGTATACCATGTCTACGAGTTATATATTTTTGTTGTTTTGTTTCAATACGATCAATTTTATTACGCCAACCATGTTTAAATTCGGCCATTGATAGATCATATTTTTTCTGTAATTTAACTTTAAAATCAACAGAAAAAAATCTTGATTTAGTTATTATACGATCAATGTTATATAATTTTTTATCAATATGATATTCAAACAATTGATCATATGTAGGTATTTCTTTATTGAATTGAATAACAAAATTATCTCTTGCTTGTTTCGGTATTAATGATATATCAAATTTTTCTGTTTTCATATCATTATCATCAGTTTTTTGATCTGTTGATAAATCATTCTTTTCATTATCGATTGTTATTGCTGTTGATTTATCTTTAACAGAATTTTGTTTATTATTAATTTTTGATGATAAATATCTTGATGAATAATAATTTCGTAAAATGAACGACAATAAATAATTTGATCGAATCATGTTTTTGATGAAAAATATCGAATCCAAAATATTGATTCGAAATCGAAAAAAAAGAAAAAGAAAAAATCATATGTTTCAATCAGATAATATTGCCATCTATCGAAAATGTTTGCAAATCGAATCTTTTGTTTGTAAAATCATTCGATTTATGTGTTTTGTGTGTCTGTGATTCGGTTATTACACCTCTTGTATGTTTTCCGAACCAATATAACAGACGGCAACCATTGACTCCATTGTTTATTTGTATTTGTATAGATTGTTTCTATTTACAAAATTTTCATTAATTATAATGTTTCAATAGAATACAAAACATGTGAATCCATTTATTTATCTATTTTTTGTTGTCGTTTTAATAATCATCTTTATGAATTTTGAGCAGTGTTTTTGTAGCAAAAAAAAAGAGAAAAAACAAAAAAAAATAAAGATAACAACCCGGTAAATCCCGATAAAAAACCGTTGAAATATTCATTGTTTTACCTTGGTAATTGATATGGTTTCGTATATATCTTAGAAATATGAATGAAAACAAAAACAAACAAACAACAAAGATCTGGTCACTAAGGTTTCCATGTTAATGATTTTTTTTTTTGGTTTCCATTTTGAATCCAAAACATTTTATTTTTGTGTTCATCATTTGTTTGATTATTTTTCAATTGTGTGTGTGTGGGTGTCTGTTATGTTTATGTGAGAGAGTAATGTTTGTAATTTTCTATATGTGAAAAAAAACCTTTTTTTTCTCGTTGTTTGTTTGTTGATCATGATCATAATAATGACTATGACGTCAACACCGATAATAATAATGTATATTACCGGTATCAATAAATATGATACATTTATTATTATTAAGAATTTTATATCAACGATTATAATATCGTTATCATTAAAAATTCATTACATTCAGAAATTATTATTATGACAACAACAACAGCATAATCTTGTGTGTCATATTTTTTTCCTCTCATGTGTTCGCACCTCTTTTTTTTCATCATTTTCATCATCATCGAAAATTCAAGATCTCAAATAACTGAAAAAATTTTTCTTGAAAACAACACAACACAATAAAAAAAATTCTTAAATGTAAAATGGGTAACCGTTTTTCTTGCTGTAAAACACATGGAGAAAGTATATTTAAACATAGTCATCGACGAAGAAGACAACAACAACAGCAACAACAATCACGACGAAGACGAAAAGATTGTTCACAAACAACAAATTCGGATATTAAATATGATGAAACAATACTTAGCTTACAACATATTAGTGAACGTGAATTACCTGAAACTAATCATGATCCATCAACAAATCCAACTGCTGGTCCATTATTTGTACAACGTTCAGCAACATTTACAAATAATATTAATCATTATCAACAACAACAACCACAAGTGCCATCACATTCACAATCATCAATATCGAAAAGTAAGTTTAGTTATTTGTTGAAAAAAAAAAATATTTTAAATTTCTTTTTCTACAAAATTTCTAGATAATCGAAAAAATGTTTCAAATTATTCGGTAAGTACAAAAATTGATTGAATTTTTTTTTTTGATAATAATGTAATCGTTTGTTTTTTCCCAGTATGATTATCATAATAGTAATACATTGAAAAAATATAGTTCATGTTCAACAATATTTATTGATGATAGTACGGTTAGCCATCCAAATCTAAAAAATATGATTAAATGTGTTTCAATGGCTATCTATTATCATATTCATAATCGTACATCTGAAATTATTCTCGATATATTTGATGAAAAAATCTATCCATTAGAAGTGAGTAAAAATTTGATGATGATGATTGGATTTTTATTTTTAATTCTATTTTTTTAAATCTTAGAATCCATCAAATAATAGCAATATACCACCGGTTGAACCAGATTTTCGTACCATATATCGTTTTATACGTACATTATTTAATGCAGCTCAATTATCATCAGAATGTGCCATCATAACACTTGTTTATCTTGAACGTTTACTTACATATGCTGAAATTGATATTGTACCATGTACATGGCGTCGTATTGTTTTAGGTGCAATATTACTTGCATCAAAAGTATGGGATGATCAAGCTGTATGGAATGTTGATTATTGTCAAATACTTCGAGATAGTTCTATTGATGATATGTATGTTTATATTTTTCATTTGTGAATTGTTTTTAATGTTATTTTTTCAATATATACAGGAATGAATTGGAACGTAGATTTCTTGAAATGATACAATTCAACATAAATGTTCCATCAAGTGTTTATGCAAAATATTATTTTGAATTACGTAAATTAGCTGAAAATAACGATCTCTTATCAAATCCTACAGCTGCTCAAACAAATGAACCATTAACTGAACAACGTGCATTTAAATTAGAAGCATTATCAAGATTATCGGCTGTTGATAATCAACATTCACAATTTATAAATTTAAGAAAAAATCTACGAAAATGGTCAAGTACTGATAATGTTACATTGTTTCAACGGAAAAGTTTGGCTATCATTTCTTAAAAGAATTATTTCAACAACAAAAAAAAAATGAAATAAAACACTGACCAACACATACAACATCAACTAATCAAATGATTGCCACCAAATTAACCCCTGTCGATTGCCAAGTCAAACTTCACTGCATTGCATTTTTTTATACATTTTTCATTCATCATTCATTACATTACCATACAGCTTATTATGCAAATAACTATCTTATTCAACAAAAAAAACAAAAGTATTTCTATAAATAATTATTTTCAAAAAAAAAGAAATTATTAAGAAAAAAAAATTTCCTATAGGAATTTTGATAATTTTTTCCACATTTTTTTTATATTTAATCACATTATACAAATTTTTTTTTACAAAAGATAACACTGTGTTATCATAAGAGAAAAAAAAATTCAAATTTTCTTTTGTAAAAATCAACAAAAGCACTATTCACACACGATGATAAATGATAAAGTCAAATCAATTAATACTTTATAAGAGAAAAACAAATTTAATTAATCGATTTTTGTGATACATAATTTTTTTCAAAATTTAATAAAATAAATACAATAGCAGCTGCTACACGTGATTCAATATTATATTGTTCAATATCATGATGATATTCAACCGATGTCCAACGTGATGCTTGAAAATTTTCTTCAATTCTTGATAATGATACAGCCTGTTCGACTGATAATTGACGTGCAATTAATGCACAGGTTAAAATTAATGATTTAAGATTTTCTGTTGCATACATTATGCCAACCATTGACCATTCATTAAATGAACGTAAATATTTACGAATAATTTCTAATGTACGTTGATCGATTTCAGGTGATACAACATCAGTTGTAATTGGCATACTACATTTAAATTGATCGGCAAACCATTGAACAATTGGATCAAGACGATTTGTTTGTAATTCATACAATTCGGTTGGTAATGAATTACGATAACAAACAGTATCAAATTCAAGATAGGATATTAATTTATCAACATATGAATCGATTGTATGACCACCTGGATTATCAATAACCGTATTGACCAATGATGTTAAATGCATACTGGTCGGTATGATTTTATCTTTTTGTGAATCCCATTCGGTTGCAATCATCGATGCTAATGGTTCATTTTGTACATAGAATACGCTACCTTTAGGTGTTTTTAATTTTCTTTTATCCAAAATGATTTCATAACGTGGTTCATGACAATCACTTTTAATAATATGAACATTTTTATAAAATCGTTTTATATCTGTCGAACAAAAAAAAAACTTTTAATTTTTTAATTTCAAAAAATACTAGCCGACATAACATACTTGGATTCGACAATGATGATGATGATGAAAATCTAATCATTTGTTTTTGCCAACCAAATGATTTAAATGGATTGATTCGATAAATCATGATTTTATAATTAAGTCAGATGAAAAAATTCCAATTGAAAAAAAACATGTGTATCAAACAGAATTACAGCCATCTATTGTCAATAAACAAAGAACAAATTAAATTACGAACATTATGGACAGGATGAATATAATCGATTTATACATTCATTTATATATGAATGAATGCCGGGGACGTATATATATATGTTATATCGAATGGTAGTAGCAAACATTTATCCGAAGCAAAATTAGAAGGAAAGGAAAAAAAATCATACGCGTAATAAAATAACTTGTGAATGCATATGATGAGTATATGATAATTTTATCGTTTGGCCGTGGTAACCAAAAAAAAAAAAAAAAATTTCTTCGTATTTGTTTTTTCCCAAAAAAATATACACAATCACTGAAATACAACGACAAATTTTCATGATAATTTGAGTCAATTTCAATTGAACATTTCATCATTTTCTTCATCACATCATCATCGATTTTGTTTTTAATTTATAATTTTTTTCTTCATCATTTTATATAATTATAATCGAATTCATAGCTTGAATTGTTAGCTAGACCGAAACCAAAAAACAAAACAAAACAAAAAAATATTTTTTCACAAACAAGTGCCGAACAAAAAAAAACGTTTGTAAAAACAACGAGTTTCAACAATAAATTTCTATTAAATGGAAGGAAATAAAGATGAAAGTGAACGATGTATGGCTATAGCTGAGCAATCATTATCAAAAAAAGAATTTGATAAAGCAGTAAAATTTGCTCAAAAAGCTGATCAATTATATTCGACTGAAGTGACCAAAAGTAAGAGAAAAAAAAATGAAAACCATAATCGAAAATCCAATTCTGTTTTTTGTATGATATTCAAAATTTCTTTTTTTCAATTCAAGGACTGTTAAATAAAGCAAAATTATTGGCCGAAAGTCGCCATAATAATCAAACATCTGATGAGAATAGTTATAATAATCATCAACGGAAAAATTCTGAATCATCAAATAATATAAATAATGATGAACAATCTAAATCATCATCATCATCATCGACGGCAACAAATGATCAGCCAAAATCGGTGGATTATATACGTAATTGTAAAGATTATTATGAAATATTAAGCGTATCAAAACAGGCAACTGATAAAGAGATTAAAACACAATATCGTAAATTAGCATTACAATTTCATCCGGATAAGAATAAAGAACCTGGTGCAGCTGAAGCATTTAAAGCAATCGGAAATGCATTTGCCGTATTAAGTGATCCGGAAAAACGACGAAAATATGATCAAATTGGTACAATAGATGATTCTGATTATCCATCATTTAGTTCACGTAGACGTGGTTATGATTATTCACGTGGATTTGAAGATTTTAATGCTGATGAAATATTCAATATGTTTTTCGGTGGTGGTTTTCCTACCGGTAATGTTTATGTTTATAGAAATGGTAATGGTGGTTGGAATCAACATCATTCACATCATCATCATCAACGGACAAATCGTCAACATGAATCACAAGCAACAGCCGGCTATACGGTTTTATTACAAATATTGCCCATATTATTTTTCATTTGTATCTCATTATTGAGTAATCTTGTTCCAGATAATCCATATAGTCTACAAAGATCAAGGTATGTTTATTATAAAAGTTATATTCCTTTTTTAATTGAATATTTTTTCCTTTTTTAAATAGTAAATATCCATATCAACGATTTACGGAGAATCTAGAAGTGCCCTATTTTGTTAAAGAAAATTTTGAACGTGATTACAGAGATAGCCTATCACAGATTGAAAAACATGTTGAAGAAAGTTTTATTTCAAATTTACAGACATCATGTTTTAAGGAAAGAAATTATAGTAAGTTTTTTTGTTTTGTGTGTGTAAATTCATTCATATGTCAAATATTTTTATTTTTTGTAGAAGAGAATCTAATCTATCGAGCTCGATTTTTACGTGATACTGCAATGGAATCAAAAGCGCAATCATTGAAAACACCATCCTGTGACCGTTTAGTACAGATACAGAAATCATATTATTAAATAATTTGGAAAATTTGATGATAATGTTGATGATACTTGAATTCTTTATATATAAATAATATAAATATTCTACTTGTATTCGACGACCAACCAAGTGATTGATTCCTTGATTTTTTCTCTCTTTCTCTCAATCTCACTTTCACCATACTTTCTTAATAACTATGTCCTGTAATTCTTTCTAAAAAAATCTTTTTACTAAACATGATTACCCAATTATTATATCTTTATTAATAATTTTAATCAGAATTATAATTGAAAATTTGCCGTACTCTATTCATCTACATACACACACACAAACACTTACACGATAATAGCAATATATCAATTTTTTTTGTTGTTGGTTTGTTTGTTAAATAGATTTGTTTTTGTTTGAATTTTATTTCCGAACAAACAGATGATGATTAATGAAGACGTCGATGACGAATTGTTTTTGTTTGTAGTTTTTAATTTTATTATTTTTTATTTCATTAATATTATACATGATATGAAAAAATTATTTATAAATTGTATAGTTTTTGGAACAAACAACAACGATTTAAAAAAAAAATATTTGAATTAATTTATAATGTAATTTGAAAAGATAAAAATAAAAATAAATTTTAAAAAAATTGATTCGAATGATTCGAAAATTTCATTTTCATTTGTCCGTATCTGAGAATAATCTGCCATCTGTTGATCGATTTTTGCTTGAAAATGTTTTGATGATATTTATTTACACTCGAACATCTTTCAATTATTTTGAATGGATTTACCCGATTTATTTAATTTAGATCAAAAATTCAATGATGAAAATGAAAGTAAATGAACGTTGTCTAATACAAATCGCTCAATCAGATGATCAAAATCCTATTGATCAATGTGGCTGGTTACAACAATGGATGGATGAAAAGAAATTATTTCAACGAAAATGGTTTGTATTGAAAGAAAATCTATTATTCTATTATAATCAACGTAATGATCGTGAACCGTCCGGTCTAATCATATTGGATGGATATCGTGTTGAAATTATTGAATGTTTAGATGATGATCGATTTCCATTTAAAATTGATTTCGGTATTAGCCGTGTTACCGGTAAACCATTAAAATCATTTATATTGGCTGCCGATAATCATACCGATATGGAACAATGGATAAAAGCATTAAGTTGTGCATCATATGATTATCTTAAAATGGTCGTATCCGAACTTGAACATAGACTTGGTGAAATTGATCAAAATGAAAAAACAATATCAACAACATCATCTGACAATAGTAATGATGATGATCATTGTAAATCGATTTCAAGTCCAATTCTATCAAATGATTCAAAACAACAACGTTTCAATCCGTTTGATGAACGGCTAGATGATAGTGGTCAAGAACAACAATTAACATTTGCCGATCTTCATGAACGATATGGACAACAAATACGAAAATGTTTTCAATAAGAATAATAATTCATTTTTTTCTGTTATTGATTATTGATTATATTGAATTTAAAAAAAAATTGAATAAATTATCGAATTTTTGTCATACCAAATGTAAATGCAAAAAATAATTTTATAGATCAAATTGATTGTAACATTTTTTTTATTTATTTAATTATCATCAATTTTTTTTTTGAAAATAAAAAAAAACTGACATCATCATAATAAGCAATAATGGAATGAATGAATGAATGAATTGTATGAATAATAATAATAATAATAATTATCAAAATGGAAATGATTTTAAAAAAAATTATAAATTAAATAATTAAGAAAATGAATAATGAATGATTTGTAAGTGATGTTTGATGAAAGAAATTGTTTGAAAAGCATCATCATCAATTGTTATTGTTTGTTGATGCTGATCGATGAATATTAATAAATAAAATTTTTCGATATATAATTAATTAATCATAATGAATAGATTGGCTATTTACACACAATATTTTTTTTCCAAATTGGATAGAATTTTTTGTTGATGTGATCTTTTCTTTTTTTATCGATTAAGGACATTTGTACAATTGATTATTATCAAAAAAAAAAAATTATTATAAATATGAAATATTTTTGTACAAACGGAAACATCAACAACAACAACAACAAAATACCAGATGAATCATATTTGTCAATTTTTCATTATTGAACATGTAATGCTTGTATTGTATGATAAAGTTGCATCAATACCTGTATATGAACCGGTAAACATGATAAACGATCATTAGTTAATGGATCAAGTATAAGCCATGATAATGCATTATATCCTTCGAGTGAATATCTAAGATTAAGAAAAAATAAGATTATCAGAAACAAAATTTTTCAAAAAAAGATCAATTGATAAATACCTTAAAACATCAGTGGTAAGATTTGAATCAAGTGAATGTCCATCACGATTATTCGATTGTAAAATATCATCAGTATTCTGTTGTACTGATGGTGTGTGAATCAATAGGGCCGACTATATTTGTTTGAAAACAACAATTATTGAAAAATTCAGAATTTTTTTTCGAAAACAAACCTTTAGAAAAACAGGGCATTGAATTTCCAGATGAGGACAATGTGCCCAAAACCAACGTGGTAATGGTCCGGTACGTGCTGTTGATACATAAAATGCTAATGCCAATGGTTGTTGCGATAATTGTGCAGGTTCATCTTGATCAACATCCATAAGGCTAGAATTCTGTGAAAGAAAAAGAAATTCAAATTGTAAAATATAATGAAAACATTTAACAAAAATACAAAATTACCTTCAATGAATTGGATGTATCAAACATTTGTCGATTATTTGGACTATCCGGTTGAAGACCATCACGAGGTTGTAATAAAAAATCATCGGGTAATAAAAAATCAAATAAATCATCTTCAACCGGTATATCAGATTCAAGATTATTATCATCTAAATTACTGAAAAATTCATCATTTAGATTGAAATTTGTATGTGATGATTGTGTGGTAGCCGATGTTGGAAATACAAGAATATGTGTACAAGATGCATCTTCAGGTGTTGAAAGGCCACATGTATTGCACGAACTACTAAATCTTTCATCCGGTGTATAATAATTGGGAAATACACGTAATGCTGTATCAGCTTCTAATGATATTAGACATGCCGAATAAATAGCCGGTTGATCATTAGGTCCAACATATCGACATTGATCACACATTTCTTTCAATTGTCGACTATATTTAAGTAATGATTTTTTACTTAATAAAAATGTCCAATCTTTAAGTTCACCATGACCAATACGACCAACACGACCAATAACAAGACGCCATGGAGTTACTGATTCGGCCATTACTGTTTGCATAAATCTCATCAATTTATCTAATCCAAATCTACGTATCGATGCTTTTCTTCGTCGCATACGATTCGGTATGTTGATATTGATAACTTTCGTATGCAGAATATCACCACGATCATTCGTACAGGAAGCAAGAAGCCATTTTTTATCTTCCGTTAAGCAATAACTACAATAAAGTATTTGTGATCTTTCTCTTCGATCTCCAAAAGTTTCAGTAAGTTCGGTTTGTTTATCTTTCAACGATGCTAGAATATAAGGTGTAGTGAATAATTCGGTTCGATTGAAAGTTGATGCTTTATTTTTCAAAAATAATTCAAATGATGCAGCCGGTCCTAGGCCAGTCAAACTTTTGATATTCGATTGTACGACCAATTGTTGTTTACATTGGCCATAAACAGCGAATGATAATTCTTTCAATTGTGACAGACGTGGATAATCACGAAAATCTTTATCATTCGAACATATCGAATCGATTGTTAACATTTGCATATGAACATTATTACGCATTTGTTCCGGAAAATATTTTTTCAACATTGCAAACGTTTTCAATAGACCAATTGAACCTAATCGTGTCATTTCTTTGCCTAACGGTGAAAATGATTCCAATATATAGATCATTATTGATGGATATTTATGAGGATCTTCTTCTTCATCATATGGTTGAAATACATTCGATGATGATGAACCTGAATGATTATGATCCTGATTTGATGATCCATGTGATGCATCCAAATCATTTAGAATTTGATTACCATTACCATTAGCATTATTATTATTATCCGATTGTGTTTGTTGTTGTCCATTATTCAAACCATTATTTAAAGGTTTTTGTTGTTGAGGATTATTATTATTATTATTATTGAATGATGAAGTTGATGAAGATAATAAAGATGTTGTCGAAGTTGTTGTTGTTGTATTCGATGAAGATGTATATGAAGATGAAGTACCATTCATTGTAACATGATTTGAATTTCCATTATTTGTCGATGACGATGACATTTCATGTTGATGTTGATTTTGATGTGAATTTAAAGATTTTTCCGATTTCATTGAACGATCATTGACAGATGTTGGTGTGAATGATGGCAAAAGTTCCAATAATGCATTTGCAAATGAACGAATTTTTCTTGCCAAATTACTATCACCTAATTGTTGAAACCAATCATCCATTGATTGTTGATAATCATTATTGTTTAAATTAAATTTTCCATTTCCAATATCATTGTTAAGAACAAAGATACCAGAATCGTTGTATAATTTTCCCAATGGTGTATGTCGTCCGAGACGTAGAATTTCATAAGTAGCGGATAATTCTTTGAAAAAATTTTTAACTGTTGAAAGTTGTGATTCAATATCGGCCGGTGCAATGACAACATAATAAACATCTCGTGTTATGGCATATGGTTCTAATGATAATTTTTCCCAAAATTTTAATCCGAATGGACTTAATGCAACACATTCACGATCATATCCAACCATTAATGATGGTATTGGTTGTGGTTCACATTGGCATTCAGTTCCACGACCTGCTAATCGATGAAATTGTCGCCATGTTAATGGACCTTTAACCGTATTATATGTCACTTCACTTGATCCTTTCCGTTGTACAGATTCTTGCATCAATGGCTGTAATGTTTTTAATGTAAGCATCACTTCATGATTATTAACTGGAAAATTAGATTTTCGGAATTGCCAATCATGTAAAAGTGGACGATTAGAAGAGAAACCTGGACCACCAATATGTGAAGGTGTTGATGGACAACCATTAGACCATCCACCATGTTGAAATAATTTAGCTGTTGGTGTATTAGATCCTGATGAATGATCAGATCTAGCCTGCTGTAAAGACATTTGAATTATAACTGAATAATCTTCATACAATAATCGTAATGGATTTCGAAGTCTTTCCATTTGATTTGATTTATTTTTCATATTCAATGATGAATGCAAATATTGTTGACGACGTTCACAGTACATAAGATTGGCTAATGTCGAAACGGAAGGAAATATTGTCATCGATTGATTCAATAAAAGTTGAATAAATTGTTCATCATTAGTGGCTATCAAACTTTTCGTCAGATCTTTATCAATAAATGCTTCAATCTGTTTGTTCATATGATCTTTTTGTGAATCCGGTAATAATAGATTTTCTTTATTTGCTTCGATTGGATCGTAATATACACCGGTAATTTCAACCTCATCTTCATAGAATAATCCGGCAAAATAACTAAGATGACGATTTGAAATGGCACTAAAACCACAGCTACATGATTGATAGTATTGATCAGAATTTTGTTGCTGTTGTTGTTGATGATGATCTCTTTGGACAAGATTTTCGGGCAAATAGATACCAAAATCATTTCCTTTGATATTCATATTGCAAACACAAATCGCACAGCTTTCAAAATTATGATCACGAAACAGGTTAAACATAGAATCCGATAGTAACAGATTAAGCATCAATGAATTACATTCGATTGTCATTGATCCCATGTGACGACCATCATTAGCCATATGATGCATATGTGATGGATGTGGTCCACCATATGGATTCATCATCATTGGATTTTTAGCCATCATCATATTTGGTGATTGCTGTGGAAACATAAAAGGTGAACGACGATTATCTATCATTGATCCAGGTGAATTCATATTTCCATCCATTAATGCATATGGACTATGTCCACCACCAGCGCCGCTTGAAATAGGACTTATTTGTTGACGTAATCTTGGATGAGCCGAATGCATTGGATGAGGTGGTAATGATTGTGGAACCGGTGTCAATGGAAAATTCGATGGGCCACGAGGACCACGTATCATTGAATTTGGAAATTGTTGTCCCATTTTTGGACTATTCATGTTTTGTTGTTGTTGTTGCATTGGATAATTTGGAGGAAATTTTTGGTTTGATTTTAGAAAAGATTGTTGCTGCTGTTGCAATGGATGACCACCAGAAAATGGTGATATGTTTGGTGAAAAACTTCGCATATTCGAATGAGGATAATGATGCATCTGTTGCGGTGTTGGTTGATGTTGATGATGATGCAGTTGATTTTGTTGCTGATGATGATGATGATGATGGTGATGATGAGAATTAGATGATGATCGTTGATGATGAATATTGTGTTTATAATGGAAATTCGGTGGTAACGTATTTTTACATTCTACATTACCTAATGGTGCATATTTATCCGATGTAATAAATACGGATTGAACAGGTGGCATATAAACTAATGCTAATTCTTTTGATTCACTATCATTTAATGGTGTTAATGTCGATGAATGTGGAACCAACGCTGTTATTGTTGATGAGGATGTTGATGATGATTGTGTTTCCATTCGATTATTATTTTGATGGCTAATATGATTATTAGCCATTGAATCAATATCAGATTCATTACTATTTTTATCATTAATCGATTTAACTGTAGCCACTTCTGTTACATATGAATTTGATGGTGATGATACCATTGCTTCAAGTGATGGTGGTGTTGGAAACATTCGACTTAATTCGGCAACACCAAGAACAGCTGTTGAACTATTCGATGTTGATGTCGTTGTCATATCCACATCCATTGAATTCATATTATTCTTTGGATGATGATTAACTTGAGAATTCAGTGATTGTTGTTGTTGTTGTTGTTCGTCTTCTAATGGTGAATTTAAAAATTCCAAATCACTTGGCAAAATTTCACCATTTTTAACAAACAAATTTCCATTATGATTAACGACCAATTTTTCACCAATACCACCTCCATTAAGACTATGACAATTCATTACTGTATTCTTAATCATTTCACTATCAGTTGGTGATAATTTTGATTTTAATGTTGAAAATTGTGATCCATTATTATTATTATTATTGTTTAAATTATTATGATCAAATGATGGTGGTAAAATTCCACCATTTGTAAGTGGTGAAATCGCACCACCACCACCACCAATACCATTAGCACCAGTATTTGGAGCCGAAAGATTTGAACGAAGAATTTCCGATGAATTAATACAATTCATTGTACTACTATTCAATAATCTATTGATCATCGGTGTAGATGTGGCCAAATTATTGGTTTTATCATCATTTTGTTGATCAAATAATTTATTTTGATAATGATTATTATTATTATTCATATGATGATTTTGATCATCTTTTTGATGATTATTTGATTCATCATCATTATTACGATATATTGTATGATTCGATTTGAAGCGACGATTTTTTTGAGCCATTTCTAAATCCCATTCATTCAATAATGTTTCATCACTAAAATCATATAGTAAACCATTACGAAGTCTATATGTTAGATCATCATCATAAAATGATGAACATTTATTTCGTTTATTATTATTATTGTTGTTGTGGCCATTTCTTTCATTATTATCACTTTGAATATTATTATTATTATTATTATTCGATTCATTCATAACATTATCATTATGATTATTATTTGAATCTTTTGATGTTATTCCAGTTGGACTTGATAAATGAATCATTTGATTATTGTTATTATTAAGAATCGGTGTACTGGCTGCAATTAAACTGGCTAATGCTGATTCTTCTTTCATTATTGGAGGTGGTGGTGGAGGTGGTAAAAGTGATTGTGATGCGGTTTGATGCTGCTGCTGCTGCTGTTGTTGTTGTGATCTTTGTGAATCCATTGGATTATTAGCAGAATCAATTTGCATATGATTTGATTGAGAATTATGATGATCCTGCACTGATTGTTGTTGTTGTTGTTGAACAAATGATGAATTTGATGATTGATCAACACATGTTGATGTTGTTGATCCAGTACCGCCAACAGCATTTCCAGGTGTATTTTTATACAATGATGATGATGATTGAGTTGAATGAGAAATACCATTATTGGACTGATTTGACATTTCTTCATTATTATTATTATTATTATTATTATTACTAGATGATTTACTGCAATCAATTTTTGTTGGCAAAATATTAAATTGATTATTTAAATCAATTTTATTTGTTGTACGATGATGAAATGGTGTTGAATTTATTGATGATAAATTTTTCAATAATGATGATGATGATGACCATTTTTTCATATCTTTACCCATATTTTTACCCGATGATGAACAATATAAGGATGATGATGATGATGATAAATTTGTTGCAGAATTTGATGATGATAAAAATTTGGATGAATTTCGACGTTGAGAAATTGAACATTTTGGACAATTACAATTTCGCCTTAATAATATTTCGTCATCATCGACCGTTGTCGTTACATTTTTCTTATCATTTTCATTTTGATCACAAATATTTGAAATTCGATTATAACTTTTTCGTAAATAATAACTATCATTTGGTTGTTGATTATAATATGGTGGCATTATTAATTTCATCTGTTCAAGATGTTCATCCGATTCTTTTTGTGTTTGTATTGAAAATTCGAATAAATTTTTTGTTTTTTGCATCATCAGTTGAGATGATGGACAACTATTTGAATTCGGTGATGATGGTGATTGTAATGATACTTTTTTTCGAAATATTTGTGCATCAACATCCGTTACAAATACATAATTTGCTGGATATTTCAATCGACAATTATCAACAATAATTTCAACAACTTTTTGTGATAAATCCAATCCAATATGATCATTATCGTTTGAATTCGGTATAGATTTATCTTTTGCACTTTTTTGTTGATTATTTGTATTATTATTATTATTATTAGCACTTGATGAAGAATTCATTGATGATGATGGATTATTCATATTTGATGATGACAAGGGATAGATTTTGTTCCAATCGGACAAAAATTTCTGTACATTTGGATCATTATCTTTATATACATAGCCAGTAAGATAACCTTGTACGCCATATGGTGATAGCAATACTGTTTGAAAATAAAATATCAATAAATTAATCAAATTTTAAATCAATTACAATCGATTGATTTACCTTGCATTCCATCAGGAATCTGTTGAGCCATATGTAAATCATCACGTGTGATTGAACGAATCGATGAATGTTGTCGTACATCGACATTTGCACAAACACTACTATCACCATGTAGGAAAAAATTAAAACGAAATGTTATCTGTGTTCCTTCTTTGAGAATATCACTCATTGTTGTTGTATCATTTGTAGCTGCTGCTGTTTCTTTGTGACATTGTGGCCGATTTTTGGTCTGAAAAAACCAACGACCAATACGTGAGTATCCTTTTGATAATAGACATCTAAATAAATTCAATCAAATCAAAAAAAAAATCATCAAAATGAATTATTCAATTGAAGTAAATAACAAAAATTGTTTTACCTTTCGATTAGATTGTGTAATGCTTTAAACAATAATGTTCGACATTCATATGAAAGACCACTTTCCCAGGATCCTTGTTCACCTTCTGTTTAATAAATTATTTTCATCATAATTTATTATTACAAATTTTAAAAATAATTTACCTTTGAGATTTTGTGTAACCAAATCTTTTAAATCTGGTTCATCACCATACCAAAATATCCATAATTCTTTTGTATAATAATTTTGATCACGATATTGATGATGTGTATTTGTATTATTATTATCCTGAGTATTTGTAGATAATGATGAATTTGTATTACGTATACGGCGCCAAACACATAATAGATTAGCGTTTATACAACGTGAAAATGATGATAATATTGGATCATCATTAAGATCATTAAAATTTTTGTCATATGAATATTGTCGCCATTTTATACCACATAGATCGGCCTATATTAACACAAAAATAACATATATTTCAATCAAAATCAATCAATCAATCAATCAAAAATACATACCAAGGCGAAAAAATTTGTATGACAATCTTCAAGGCTATTACCGTTGGTTAGAAAATATGTCGTCTGAGTCATATTGAATGTTTTTGTCGATTTATTTCAATAATAATATCTTCTTTATTCAAATTATTATTGATGATGATGATAAATAATTTAATAAAATTATTAATGATAAAATTTTGGTCATTCGTTTTGTTGTTTATAATAAAATTAATATTATTGGCCATGATGATTTTAGGAAATAGATTTGTTCGACAACATTATTATTTATTATCATCGTTGTTGTTGTTGTTGATATAAATAGTTTTTTTCTTTCTCTTTCTTTTTCAATAAAATGACAACTTTAAAACAAAACAAAACAAAAATTAAAATCAAGAATTTCTATCTAAAATTCTGTTATCATTTATTGATTGAATGAGATGGTCGAGAATAATTACAATCGGTAAAACAATCGATAATCACCAGAAAAAACAGAAAAAAAAACAAACGCACATCACCAGCCACCACTATTTTCACCGAATTGTTACCACATTATGATTCTGTTCGAATTTATCGTTGATGATAATCAATTCAATTGAAATTAAAATCCAAAAAAAATTGTTTCGAAAGAAAAACAAAACAAAACAAAATAATTCAATAACACACATTTAGTTCCATGTTTGTTTATTTTGATGGTTGTTGTTACCGATGATATCTTCGAAAGTTTCCGAATCCAAAAAAAAAACAATCAAAGAATTTCACAAATCCATCGAGTTTTTTTCAATTTCAAAAAAAAAAGAATCCTGGAACTCAAAAATCATCAAACACTTTACATGTAAAGCATTTACATACATTCAAACATACACACACACACCACTACCCGAATTAAATTGAAACTTTTTTCCACCATCATCATCAATTTTTTTTCGGTGATTTTGTTGTTATTATTGTTAGTTAGTTAGTGTCTCAACAACAAAAAAAAACTCATAGAAACAGCGACGATAATGTTCAATGATGATGATGATGATAATATGGGGGCCAAGGAAGAAAAATATTTGATGTGTGGTTGATAATGATGATCGTCGTATTGATTATGATGATGATGATGAGGAACAGAAAATTATATTTTGCTTCATTTACTTTAATTATAATTAATAATTTTTTTTCCATAAAAAAATTAAAACAAAAAATAAAAAATAAATTATTGGAAAAATAAGCGACACACGAATGGATTGATGTTGTTGATGTTGATGATGATGATGAGGGTGATGATGATATTATTGGAAAAAAAGAGAGCGGCTCATCGTTGTTGTTGTTGTTGTTGTCGTCGTTTACGAGTTGATATTTTTTTTTTTTGGTGTTCGTTGTCACTCTGTGTGTATCCACACACACAGAACATGATTGTCGCCGCTGTTCCATTCATTCATTCATTCATTCATGTTGATGAGGAGGATCCGTCAGTATACAGGTTATTTTTTCTCAATAAAATATGCTACTACCTAGATGAGGAGGATGATGAGCACTTGAAGAGATAATTTTTTTTTGGAAAAGCGGCCATGATTATATGATGAAGAAGGGGAAGAAGGAATTTTCTCGTAAGTAGTAGTAGTAGTAGTGGTGGTAATATAGAAGGATATATATTGTTATTCGAATGTCAGGTATAATGGTGGTGGTAGAGGTAAAATGGATTTTTTTATTTCTGATGAAGAATTCTAAAATAAATGATGCTAAGAATGGTTCCGAATTTTGATAATGATAATGGTTTTGGTCACAATATATATTTTGGATTATATGACCATTTTTATCATCATTAATGAATAATTGATTATTAGCCAAAAGAAAATATAGTTTATGCGTATATCATATATACGTCATCAACGTATTTTGAACGTCAAACTCTTTTCTTTTTTTGATGGAATCCTTAACATTAATCTATGCTACTACAATTGAAAAAAAAATCATTCTTTTTTCAAGAAATGACCAAATCGTAATACATATACAGTTTTTTGCCCTCAAACATTTGAAAAATGATTGGAATTGGAAAAATTTTCTTTTTATTGAATCAAAAAAAATGGAATTATTAATTGATAAATTTAAAAAAATGAATCATTTTTAATTTAGGAAATGGATTCAATTTTCAATTTTTTCAAAATCAAAAAGATAGGAAAAAAATGGGAAAAAATTCAAAATGTCATGTCATCGATGAACGTAGTCAGAGAAAACAACGAATCAACCAATCAAAAACGTTTGCAACGAAAATTAAATATTTCGGTTAGACATTCGGTCGGTCGGTCGAACAAACCAACGGTGTGTTTTTTTTTTTTGTTTTTCTCTGACTTGACAGTGACTAATAATTTCTAAATGCGTATTTTTTTAAATAATTCGAATGAGTTTTAAATGACTGTCATTTGATTATTTGCCATCGTCATCGATTGATCATTTTCTAATCAATTTCAATCAATCAATTAGTCAAAAAAAAAATTTCAATCAACGTGTTTTTTGTTCTGATTTATTTAAATAAATTCAACAAAAAAAATGGTTCATCGAATCCAATCATGTCGGTTATCCGATGAATTTAAAATTGAATTAAATGAACTTATTGAATATGCAGAAAAATTTGATGAACAGCAACGTGAAATTAATGATGAACTGAAACGTTTACAAAATGATGTGGAAAAATTTGGTGATCGTGAACGAAAATATCAGGATCAACAACGAAAATGTATTACCGAATGTCGTTCGATCGAAACCGAAGCAATGGAATTGATGGAAGAATTGAAATCTATTTATGAAGAAAAAATTGCTAACATAAAAAAACATTATGAAAAACAATTTCTTTCAATGGTAACCAAACATAAATCGGAAATTCAAACATGGCGATCAAAATGTGAAACAGTCAGTGAAACGATACATTCATCGCCAACTAAAGTATTGAAAAATGAAAAAATTCATCATCAACAAGAACAAGAAGTAAAAGCTGAACGTAAACGATTGGAAGAACGAATTGAAGAACTTCAACGAGAAAATAAACGTCTTAAAACACGTGTAGAATCGGCAGAAAATCGTATCGAACAGAATGAAACTAAACGAAAAACGATTGAAAATGATTTAAGAAAATCGAAAAATGAATGTGATGATCGTGATGATGAAATTCGTAAACAAAAATCGAAAATAAATGAACTTGAAACGGCTATCAATAAACAAAAACGTCAATTGGATGAAAAAGAAACAAAAATAACCGAATTAAAACGAAAAAATGAAAAACTTGAAAAAGAACTTTCACAAGTTGTAACACCGATCAAATCATCATGGTCATCAGCATTGACTGCTGAAATACCCCATCCTAAAATTACTGATGACAATGCCAGTTCTGGTTGTGGTGGTCTTTACAGTAGCAGTGATAATGATAATGATGATGTTCAAACATTGAAATCGAAATTGATTATAAGTGAACATGATATACGTGCTGTTAATCGACGATTAGAAAATAAGACTGAAATTTGTAACATTTTACGTGCTGAATTAAGTGAAATTAAACAAAAATTATCGGATTATGAAAAAGGTATAGATGATGAAAAGAAACGTTCGAATGGTTATTCTGAATTGGTTTCAACATATCAATCAGAATTGAATGAAAATAAACATGAAATTGAACGAAAAGATGCCGAAATTGTGGTATGTATCTTGTTTTTAAAAAAATCATTTGAATTTCATTGGAAGTTATTGATATTAACTCATTTTTTCTTCAATTTTCCCATCCCTCTATAGAACCTGAAATGTTTGATCGATGAAAATAATAATAATTTCAATTTGAAATTAAAGGTGAATACAAATGCTAATAATTTTTTCAAAGATAATGAAAATTCCAAATCGGCTAACATCAATAATACTGATATTAAATCCGGATCATCGTCGAATCAATCAAATATGGTTGGCTGTTTTCAGCTATCCATTGTTGGAAATCTATCCAATTCCGGTAGCAATCGATTTCGTCATTTTATCACTGATAATCTATCCGGAATGGCTGATTGATTGATTTAATTTTTTTCCTAATTCAAACATCAAAATCTAGCTGATTGAGGGCTTTCTCTAAATTGTTTATTTTCTTTTGTTATATTTTTTTTGTTTGTTTATGATTAGCAATTAGTTAAATGATTCTCTCTATTATTTAGTTACTAATTTTTTTCTGTTTATCTAAAAAAATTATTCCATGTTATTTTCTTTGTTTTGTTTGGCGGAAAGAAATTATAATTATTTTGGATTCTATTTTTTCATTATAAATTTAATAATAAATTTAAAATCATTTATTAATTTTATTCTCTTTTTTTCTGGTTCATTTTTTCAAATTTTTTTTCTTTGTCAAATTAGGAATTATCCGAAAATGAACGAAAATTACGTATGAAAACAAGTGAATTAAATCGACGAATCGATACATTGATGAAAGAAATTGAATCATGTAAACGTAAAAATGCCGATCTTCATTATTTGGTTGAAAAAACAACAAATGATTTGAATCGTTCAAACAATGAAAATGAACAATTACAGAAAAAGAATGAAAAATATCGTAAATTATTGAAATGTTGTGAAGAACAGCTTGATCAATATAATGTTAAATTTCCAAATCTTCTTAATCAGCAAAAATCACAATCATCCGATACGATTTCGGTATTGAATCATCAAATAATGGAATTAAAAAAGAAAAATGAAACATTACATAATGAAGTGGAAGAATTACAAACAAAATTGATTGAACAGCAAAAATTGACCGAATCAATTGTTGAAAATGAAAAACTTGAAAATAATCGTCTTCAACGACAATTACAGATTGAACAATCAAAAACTGAACGAATGGAAGTGGAAATTAATCATCAACAATCGATTTTTGATACAAAAGAACAGGAATTGTTTGCAATCAAAGAAGAGGCTGCCGGTCATATAACAAAAATTTCACAAATAACTAAAGAACGTTTTGAATTGGAAACCAAATGTGAATCAATGGTTCGAGAAATTGAATTATTAAATGAACGATTAGAATTGTTTCGTGCTAATCTGAATGAAAAATCCAATGAAATTTATCTTCTTGAAGAAACCATTTCGCAACAACGAAAATTAATCGATTATATGCAATCGAATTGTAAATGTTTGGAGAAGAAAAAACCATTCATGTTGTTTTCATTTGGTTCGAAATCGACCAATACTGTTGGTGGTAATAATGATAATAATCATCATTCATCCAAAACAACAGAAGAATTGGAACGTAAATTGAAAAATGAACGAGAAAAAAATGAATTCCTAAATGAACGATTAAATGAAATGATTGATGAATTGGATCAACGTAGTAGTGATGGTTAGTATTTTTTTTCTGAAGAAAAATGATTAAACTCTAATTACAAAATAATTTTTTTCTTTAAAAAAATCTGTTTATAATTACAATTTTAGTGGAAAATTTAAAACAAAAAGTTCAAGAACTTAATACACAATTAATGTCGAAAGGTTATTTTGAACATATTGTTGGTGAACATAATTTTACAAACAAAACAATGAAATTACCTGATGTTTGTGTTGCTTGTGCTAAATCAATAACGATCGGTTCAAAAGCTAAAAAATGTAAAAAATGTGGTGCACTCATTCATAATGGATGCCGGTTATCATATAATTGTGGTCTAAGTCTTGAAATGGTACGAATTAAATCATTTGGTTTGGGTGGTACAACACCGAATCGAAAACATCATAATTATGATACAAATGATTATGATAATATTTCGGATATGATTGATAATGATGGATCGATTGCAACATTTACGGATAATACAATTGCAACAACCACAACTGCCGATGAATCGGATATCAATTCTATCAATAGTTTTCCTTATATGAAAGAATAATAATCTAATAAGCATTTTGGCTTAATTGGAAATTGATTGATTTACGATGACAAAACAACAATTTGATAATAATTTTATTCATTATATCCACCACCATTAATCAGAATTTATTATTATTTTATATACATTTATAGCAAAAAAAAACAATTATTCTTTGATTAATTATTGTTGATCATCTTCGCCAACTTGATAACAAAAAAAAATAAATAATTAGTCAAATCGTTTTTTAAAAATAACTGATTGATGTTGACTTACATTTTAAGTATACGATCTTTACCACCGCTTGCAACACGTAAACCATCAGGACTCCAATCTAATGCAAATACTTCATCCAAATGTCCAGGTAGATCATATAATAATTTTGCTTGACAAATATTCCATACTTTTAGTGTTGAATCCGAACTACCACTAACTAATAATCGATTATCAGCAGACCATGCAATCTGATAAACAGCTTGTACATGTCCACGTAATGATGTTAGAAATTTTCCCGTATAACCATTCCATAGTTTAATTGATTTATCAAATGATGCACTTGCTATAAGACGACCATCCGGTGAAAATTTTACATCATTAATTAATTGTTGATGGCCAGTCATACGACAGATTGGTTTTTTTCCTGTTTCAGGATTCCAAAGAAATAATGTAAAATCATCCGAACCAGAAACTAATCGTTCATTTTGTAATCGTATTTGTTCATAACGTTTTTGAACTTTTTCTCGTATTTCTTCCGATGATGATCCATTTAATTTTTGTTGATTTTGTGGATCATATAATCCAATTCTTAGAATATATTCAGTGGATAATGTTAATGTATTGACCCAATGTCCATGTCCACTAAGTGTACGACAAAGAATACCATTATCAGCTTTCCAAACTTTAATCATACGATCATGTGATCCAGTATAGATAAGACCAGTACCACCCCATTTAATTGATGAAACACTTTGTGTATGGCCACTAAGTGTATGAATACATTGTCCAAGAATAACATCCCAAATTCGAATGGATGTATCTTTTGATGCACTTGCAAGTCGACGACATTCAACATTCAAATGATATGGTTCCCATGCTAATCCATTAATCCATTGTTTATGTCCACGTAAACAACCACCCATTTGTTCACCAGTTTTAGCATTCCAAATATAAATCAAACCATTTTTATCAGCCGATGCAAGTCGAACACTATCCGGTGACCATGAAATAGCTAATACCCAATGTTTATGTGATTGACATTGACGAAATGGTGTTTCGGTTGTTACATCCCAAAATCTTACGGTAGTATCACCAGAACCAGTAGCCAATGAACTACCATCTGGACTAAATGCAACCGATACGATTGCATCAGAATGACCGGACAAAGAACTTGAACAACGTGTTACAGATTCAACATGAAATAAAGCTTGTGCTGCACATACAATTTCAACACATTTTTCCAATTGAATTTGATTATCATCTAATTGATCGATACAATCGGAAAGTGTTGTTTTAATTTCAGTATCTTGTATGAAAAATAAATATGGTTGTCTTATTTCTTCAGTTTGTTGAAATGTATCACAAATTAATTGTAATTTATCAGCACTAATATCGATGGGCACATCGAATGGTGAGCCAATTGTTTTATCATCATCAGTTTTAAATTGAACTAAAACTGTTCGGGTACGATTCATTTCGGAATTCATGATCGTTGATGATGGTTATTTTGATGATGATAATTCTTTGGATCACGTTTAAATGGTATCCACGTGACTTTGTTGACAACGATTTCGACTGCAACGACACCACCCAAACAAACATACCATTTTTTTCCAATCGGTCAGTTGTAATCGATTATACGAATTACGATTAACGATTTAAAAATGAATTTAACAATTTTCAGATCAAGTCATTATTTACTGCAACGATTAATTCATCAGAATCATGGTTCAACAATAAAAATTCTCGGATTTAATCGATATTTTACGACCCTATCATCAAACAATCGATCAATGATTTTTCGAATCAAATTCAATTCAAATCATTCTTCCAAAACAATACTATGGTTATCAACCGAAAAATCTGGACAAACTAAACGTGCTTATTTCACATGGAAATCATTTATCATATCTGGAGTACTAGTTTCAGTATTTGCCGGTTTTATGATACAGATGAAAAATGAAAAACTTAAACAAATGGAAAGACAACGTAAAAAAGCATTAGGTGAAGTGGCTGTTGGTGGTCAATTTGATCTTATCGATCAGGATGGAAAACCATATTCATCATCAAATCTTGAAGGACGTTGGGCAATGATTTATTTTGGTTTTACTCATTGTCCAGATGTATGTCCCGATGAATTGGAAAAAATTGTTAAAGCTGTTGAATTGATCGAACAGGATAAACGTTCAGATCCAATACAACCGGTATTTATAACTGTTGATCCAGAACGTGATTCTGTTCAAGCTGTACGGGAATATATTCGTGAATTTTCACCAAAATTTATTGGTCTTACCGGTAACAAAGAACAAATAAATAAAGCAACACGTGCATATCGTGTATATTATTCAGCTGGACCACGTGATCATGAAAATGATTATATTGTTGATCATACAATTATTACCTATTTGATTAATCCGGATGGTGAACTAGTCGATTATTATGGTCAAACAAAAACGGCCGAAGAAGTAGCAAAAGGTGTATTGAAAGCGATGAAAACTTATCGTGATTTAAATCGAAAATTAGGATTTTTGTGAATGAAAAATTTGAAAAATCATTTTTCGTTTTATTAAAAATTATATAATGAGATAAATGAAAAAATAAATTTTGTTAATTAAATGAGATTGTAAAATGAATGAAATTTGATTGATGAAAGAAAAAAAATTTTTTTGATTTAAACAACCAATCGATAGGAAATATAACGGCCAGCCGTTTCTGATGGTCGTATAATTTTAACTACTTGTCCACGTTTTAAACCATAATAACGTGCAACCGGATCACTTGCTTGTATTCGCATCAATTGACTTTCTTTCAATTTATAACGTGCTAATAATTCAGCTTTTTCTTCCACTGTTAATATAATATGTTGTGGTACTAATTCATGTTCAGTAATATTGATTAATAATTCTGATTCCAAAAATTGTTCGATAATATATTTTGGTAACATATCGACTAATGCTTGTTTAGCTGATGGTGTCATACCTTGTTGTACGACAATAATAGCACGTGTTATATTTTCTTCTTGCATACGATGACAATAATTTTTAACCGTTTTAATACCGATTTTTGGTTCATCAGGAAAAAATACAAACATCTGATCTGTTAAAAGCACTAATTAATAAAAGAACAAAAAAACATTTCCCAAATTATATTTACCTGTAGGATCATTCATATGTGAAACCAAAACAATTAAATCACTACGTGATGGATGATTTTCACTTGGTTTATCACCATATTTTTCTTTAAATTGTTCTAATGTTTGATCTTTTTCATCCTGTGTAACCAGATATCCACGATCATTACATAATTGCATTACAGTTTTAAGTACACGCCATAATTTATAAATAACTGCTTCATCGGATTCCATATTTATTTATTCTGTTTTTTTTTCAAATTATTCCAAAGATTAAATAAAAAATTCAGTTAACGCCGAAAATGTCAGACACAAAATAAGACAGAATAAAAACATGCATGTATAATCGAATCAATGTGATGAACGAATACCATCGATTCAATCGATTATTTTCCATTTTTTTCTAAATTTAAATTTTCTTTTTTACCCGCCACTACCGAATTTTTCTTTCACCAGTGGTGATGTTTATGGACAGGTGTTGGAAAGGAAAAGAAAGGAAAGGTTGTTGTTGTGCAATCCCCTCTCCATCCATTTATTCATTCATTCAACGACCAAAAGCCAAAATGCTATGATCATAGCATTAGAATGGCAGACGATATGAATAATGAAACCATCAAAAAACAATCAAAAAAAAGAGAAGGAAAATCCTTCAGAAACATAACAGCCGAAGAGAGTGAGAAAGAGAAAGAGAAACCTGTGGCCAATATTTCGTTCAAGATTGCAATTTTTTCGCCATTCATTCATTCATTCATTTAGCCATCTGTCGTCCGGTACTGATCATCATCGTTATTGTTGTTCATCTAAACGGATGTCTCCCTTTCCAAAAGTGTTTGTTGTTGTTGTTTTTTTTCTGGGTGTTCATTCAACCGATACTGTAGGGTAGTTGTTGTTGTTCTTGTGTCTGGTTGTTATTGGATACAATAATGAACCAGATGACCATATAGACTTTGATTCTTTTGCTGTTTTTTTTTCGTATATCGTCATTTGATCGTTGTTGTTTGTGTATGGATGGAACGACGTGATTAAAAACGTCAGTTATCATCTTCATCTGTTATTCATTTATTCAATAAAAATTTTATGATTTTCGTATGTTTGTTTGTGTTCACGATATTTCATTTCTTTTTTTAAAATCTTGGTTTTTTAAATATAAATCTTCTCTTTGTTTTGGCTTTCGTTACACTTTTTTTCAACTTCTTTAAAAAAATAAACCCGTTTTAAAATATTGAAAAATAAATCAAATCAAATCAATATTGATCTTGTTCATTTCTCTTTCATCTTGTAAAAGTTTTTGTTTTACTTACCTACTTAACAAAATTTAAATATTTAAATATTCACGATTCAAAGATATTTCAACCAATCAATCATATTGAAATCGATAAATTGAAGAAAAAAACAAAATTTCGAATGTTTTCGTGTTTCGAATGTTTTCGCTTTTCACCTATTTCCACCTTTATCCGCCCCATATTGTTGAATTTTGATAAACACTATTTTGATTCAGAACTTTTATGATATTCTTGTCCGGTGTTTTCATTTATTTATAGATATTTTGTTGTTTTGAAGAAAAAAAAAAGATTCTGATCTCCATGGTGATAATAGACATTTGACTCATTCCAAATGAAATTTTTATGTCTATACCCGAAAAACGGAAAACCAGTAATTTCATTCGACGAAAATTTGTTTATGTCGTGTGTAAAATCAACGTAAATTATCATCATCAACAACATAATCAAATCTTCTGATATTCAACGTGGAAATTGTATTTGAAAATAAAATTCACATCATCATCATCAATGTTAGTGATCATTCATATAGTGATATAGTGTGATTGACACTTTGAAGTTGTTCGTTGTTCGTCGTTGTTGTTTATTGTTTTCTTTCACTATATCACATTTCCTGGATATAATTTGAAAATATATTCCACATTTGCCTTGTAATCTTGTATTATTTTTTGACAATGATGACAATGTCAAATTTTACTTTTTTTCTTCTTTTTTTTCAATCAATATTCAGTGAAATTGTTTGTTGATTGTCAGAAATTTTTGCTGTTGTTGTTTTTTTTCGATCACACAAATTCAAACATCCTGGAAATTAGATTATAGATTAGATTAGAAATGGAAATTATTTGTGAACATTAATCTCAAATGTCATTTGTCAAAAGTAAAAAGTGAATTTGTGAAATAATCAAAAAATAATCATTTTTTTGATTGACATCGATTTCGAATGCAACACCTGTGCTCAGCAAATTGTGAATGTTTTTTTCTCGTTCGAATCTTTTACGTTCGAATTCGGAAACAAAAAAAAAACGTTCGAATTCAGAAAAAAACGTTCGAAATCTTCAATCTCGAATCAACCCAAAACTAATCTTCAATGTTTATCTGTCATGAAATGTCTACAAAAGAAATTTTCCATAACAACAACAACAATAATTCCTTTCATCATTCATCAATATTATCATCAAATGTCACCAATAACAACAACAACTATAACATTGATCAGATACAAATCAACAACGATTTTAATAATGATGATAATGATGATGATATTAAAAAATTATCATCATCATCATCATTATTATCAAAAAATTATAATGAAAATCTAAATGATTTTATTGATGAATTACGGCAACGTACTATTGATGATTATAATAATGATGATAATATCAATAATGAAAATATGGATACAATTAATATGAATGAATCAATCGATATGATGAATTCAACTAGTCAACAATCAATATCAACAACAACCACAACAACAACAAATCAAAATGATATTCTATTAATACGTTTAGCTAAAAAAGAAAAAGATCTTATTTTGGCTGCTGAATTAGGTAAAGCATTATTAGATCGTAATGAAGAATTAAGTCGTATGAATGAAAAATTAAATGAAGAATATACAAAAAATATTGAGGTAAGTTTATTGATTCGATTTGATTGAATTATTTTTTTGGTCTGTGTGTTTTTCCAACGATCCAAACAACAAAATTATGATGCAATCTTCAATTTACAAGAAATCATTGGTTTACAATGATAATAATAATAATAATCATCTTGTATGAATATGAAAATGAAAATCCTTCATTTTTTTCTTTTCCACTTGCCTTGAAACCTTGAAAATAAAAATCTTGAAATCACGAATTTTTTCATTTTTTTTCACTTATGTGTGGTGCTACTGTTGCTTACTTATAATTTTCTTTCTTTTTAATAATAATAATGATGATCATAATGCAATTGTCGTCAAGTGAAAATGGGAAAGAAAGAAACTTGCTATTATCATTTATAATTTCATGTTTTCAAGCCACCAAAATATTAATATCAAAAATGAATTATGGAATTATATTCGGATCATTTTTCTCATTCATTCAAGTCAGTCATTATTTGTTGTTGTTGTTGTTGTTTTGATTAATTTACATCCTTTATTGATTAATAATGATAATTTATATTTATTTTGATTGGTTGACCATAGGTTGAATATATTTCACCATCATCATAATCATGTCGTCATCATAATAGATTTTTCAAATAGAAATTATTAATATTATTATTTTTTTGCACAGAAAAATCTGTATTACGGAACATGAACATAATGATGATGATGATGATAATGATGACAATGAACTTAATGGATTGAACTTTGTCGACAAAGAAAAAACAGAAAATTGAATTTTTTTTTTCGTTGTTCGTTTGTATGGTCAAAATACAAGTTGTTGTCGTCGTTGTTGAGACAAGAAAATTTAAATTTTTTTTATTTATTGTCCGATTTTCTTCCCGGTTCCATTTCATCATCATCATCATCATCATCATTGGTGAAATGATTTTAAACTGATGAAATCTTTGATGATGGTGAAATCTTTTTCTTTTCTTCGTTGTTGTTTAGATATGTCAAAGATAATCGGATTTTGTTTTCTTTCGGTCAGTTGAAACGATATTTATTTAAAAATAAGATGGTTTGATTTTCTTTACTTTATTTTTGTTTGTTTGTTTGAAAAAAATTTTCCCTGTAAAACCTTTGTTTTTTTGTTTCATTTGGTTTAATTTCCGAAATATTTCTCCGGTAATACTACAAGTACTACTGTATTTAACAAAGATAATTTCATTCATAACTAATCGATTATGTAATTCATAATTGTTTGTAACAACAAAAAACCAAAACAACAACAGCAAAAAAAACGATAAATTAACTTTGTAAAAGATGTGTGCGTTTGTGTGTATGTGTAGGTGGTTGATATTTGCCAATCTATTTATTTATTGCCAAACCTACATTTTTTTTGTTGATATTGGTAGCTATTTAACAACATTTTGTTGTTGTTGTTTTTAAGATGAATGATGTTTAAGTGCGTTGTGTTCTTTGAACAAAACAAAAATGCTGCCTTTACATTTTGCATTTAACTAACCGATTTGGCTTCCTGTTTTTTTTTTGATATTCATTATATTTTGAAATCTATACATTTTTTCTTTTCTTTCTTTTTCAAATTTCAAATTGTTCATTTCTGTAATGTAAAAAATTTGATTTATTGATTTGAATGGATGTCATCATCATCGTTATTTAGCAGGATGGCCAAAGATAATCAATGATTGTCTTTGTTTTTTCTTCTAAAAAAAAATTATATTTATAAATTATAACCACTGTTATATAAATTTTAATCACACTTTTTCTCTCTTTTACAATGTGAAAAAAAGTAGAAGAAGAATTTAGTGCTGATAGATATCCTGATTACGTAATCCAATATCTATTATTCCATTATAATCTACCGGAAATCATTTAAAAATCATTGATCGATCGATCGATCGATCGATTGATTGATTGATTGATTGATTGGTCGGTTACAATCATCATCATCATCATCATCATCAATAATGATGATGATTATAGTCCGTAATCATATATGAATAATGAGAAAATTTGAGAAAAAAAAACATTGAATGCCTTCATGTCCATCCATGTTAATGATGATTATTCAAATGAAAAACTTTTCTTTTTTTTTGCCAAAAATTTCTCTGATCATTACTGAATATTTTCGCTTTTTGAATTGAAAATTTATGAAATTGATAATGGATTTATTTTTCGGTGGGAGGGGGAAAATGAATCTTTTTCTTTCACCCATTGATGATCATTATTTTAATTCGTTTATATGTTGATAGTTTTTTTTGTTGTTGTTGTTGCTGCTGTTATTGTTGATTATAATTAACTTTCATTGTATAAAATTTACCTGATGATCCGATAGGTATCCGGATATTAAATGTCCGGTGTCTATGTTTGAATGGATTGCCTGCCTGTGTCTGTTTTGGTCATAACGACAAATGACATTAATTTATCCAATATGTCATTTATATGCGGAACTTGATAATATTAAAATTTCTCTTTCAAATTTAATGCCCATAACCGGGTAATAAATTTTTAATTTATTCAACTATGGTCGAGGTTGAATGATGATGATGATGATGATGGTGGAAATCATCTTCTTTAAAAATTTGTCAAAATTTTGATTCAAGTTTCTGAAAATATTATGATTTTTTCCGGCTGTTTTTCTGTTTATCTTATGGATTTTGAAATTCAGAATTTATATTTTCTTTTCTTTTGTTTTGCTATTAATTTGAAGAAATGTTAATTAGAAAAGTTTAACTCTCATTCAGTGTAATTCTTTTAGCCAGCCTAAAATTGCATCTTACTAATGAAATCATCATGTAACGTGTTAGTTATCACTATAATTATAATTTGAAAAATAAAATCATTTATTTTTGTCACAATTTTTTTTTATTTTCGTTGTTGAATGGTTGACTAAATTTCCGGAATGTTTCTTTTCTTCACTTTCAGAAGAAACAAATTTCCAACTTAAAATGAAAAACTGCTGCTTGTACCAGGATTTTTCAGAACTTCTGAAAACAACATACAGAACACTTTACTAATAATAATCATCTTTCTTCAGGTGAAAATGATTTTTTCTCAACTTTGAAATATGTTGTTGTTGTTGTTTGTTTCATCTCATATCTTTGATACAATTATTTGATCCATTTAAAAATGCATTATATATATTTGAAACGAAAGAGATTCGTGACCATAATCATCATCATTGATGATCGTGATGATAATGATGATTTTGTATGGTGTTTGTGAATCAAAATCATATCACGATGAGCTCATCATGTTGATGATGATCATCATCATAACCATATAATGAAACAATTTCATTTCGCACGCAATTTTTTAGGATATTTGTTTGAAACAAAAACAAAAAACAAAAAAACTTTCTTCATTTTGGAACAAAGTGAGTGAGAGAGATAACAACAAATCATGTCAATCATTTACAAAAAAGTTAATTCATTTGATTTGATTTGAGTTTTGTTGTTTCAAATATCAATGATGATAATGGTTCCATAGATCATTTCACTCATTGACTTTGATGAATGAATGAATGAATGAAATATAATTGACAATTGAAAATTAGATAAATTTAATTTGAATGAAAATCAATCAATCAATCAATCAATCAGCCATATTAGTTTAATTTCATGTGAGAGAGATAGAAAGTTAATGATTTATCTGAATGCGCAACAAAAAACAACAACACAGAAATTCAAAATTTTGGCCGCCAAAAAAATTTTAAAAGAAAATTTAATTTTTTCAATCGATTGATTCGCGGGTTTTTTTCACTCTTTTTCCTTTCATTAACAAATACAAAAAATTTCTCTTTCAATTGACATACAAATCTTACGACATAGCAAAATGCTTCAACATTAAATTCAATCAGAATGTTATTGAATGGAAGAAAACATTGATTGATCCTTTTCCACCATGATCTGATTGATTTTGTCATTCACTTTTGCTCTATGTTGTTGTTGTTGTTGATTTCGAATAAAACAAAAAACATCAAATTGACAATCGATGAAAGATTGGGAGCAGAGGGGGAAAAAATAAATGTTTCATTGGAAACAAGTTCCTTGTTCGCAATTGTCACCATTGAATTTTGTTTTTTTTATCGGTGCAAAAACCTAAATAAACTTTCACTGATTGAAATGACATTTTTTCATTAGAAATTTCTTTAATTTCAAACTGTTGTTGTTATGAGAACATGAAAAAAAATTTAAGATAATTAATTTCATTATAAGCAAGCAACTATGACAACCAAAATTTAATTATCAAACATTTTCTTATTATTATGTAATCTATGGTTGAAATGTGTGAATAGAAAAAAAAACTTGTTCATATTAATTATCATTACAACCCAATCGATCAATCAATCAATCAATGAATCGATAAATCGATTTAACGATTGAATAACGATTGAAAATACTAGTGAGAAAATTATCGAAAAATAGGTGTTTTTTGTTGTTTTTGTTGTATTGTTGTTGTTGCTCAACTTGATTTTAATTGTCCGAATTTTCTATCGCAGTTATTTTTGGTCATCATTGTTTTTTGCTTTTAGACAAAAATTTGTAAAATTTTCATATTTTTTCGTCGTTAATGTTCCAAAATGGTCTTTTTCTGTTCCATCATAATGATCATTATGTTGTATCGTTATGTGAATGACACGATTTGAATTTTTGGATGTTATTGATGATGATGATTATTATGGTGTCAACAATTACCATCATCATAATGCTCTTGTTCAATGATGATGATGATGATAATTGTCATAGTTTTTAGTCTTTTTTTCTGAAATAAACAATTGAATTTTTCATTTTCTCTTTCTTTTTTCACTTATATTTTTTTTCATAGTTCATTTCATTCGTGTTTCATTTAAGTTTTTGTTTCTAGTTCATTTCATTTTCATTTTATTCTCGTTATTTTAGGTTCATTGTTCAGTTACGATCCAAACAACAACAATTCATTATGATGATTGTCAAAAAAACAAAAACAAAACAAAAAAAAAAGAGTAACGACTTAACCATTTATAAAATATAATATAATGAATGAATAAACGTACCACCTTTACACATCTACCTGTTTTTGTTTTCATTTATTAATGAAAACAAAACAAAAATTCATTGTTTTAAGCTTATGATGCATGACTTTACCAAATTATTCACATTTTTTCATACTTTTTCATTTTAATGAATGAAATATGTTTATCAATTTGGGGGAGGAAAAAAAAGAGATAACCCTTCTTGTTTCGTTTCGTATTCGAACCCAATTACGTTATATTTATTATTTTTTACGTTAACAAAAAATAATTTAATAATAAATTTTTCGTGATAAAAATAATGAAAGATTAACCTGTTGAGTGTGTGCGTGTCTGATTGAATCATTGATGGATGGTTGTTGTTGAAAACTTTGACTATCGATTATATTGATGAAGAAAATCGACAGTTTTTCGTATCTTGAATCTTTGATATTTTTTTTTTTGTGTGTGTAAAAATTTTCTATTTATCATCATCATCATCATCATCGTGATCATGATTATAATCATGCTGGCTTCATTTTTTTGTTTTTTCGTTGTTGTTGTTGTTTCAATTTGGTTTATTTGGAAGAGAATTTAGAAATTTTTATTTTCTTTCATTGATGATGAAGATGATCAAAGAGATGAATCTGGAAATGAATGAAAAAAAACTTGGTCAATAAAACAAGAAAGAAAGAAATTTCATTCATTCATTCAATCCTCCATCTTTCGCATTATCATTGTTGTTGTTTTTGGTTAGAATCCAAAAAAAAGTAAAAAAAGATTAGATTAGATTAATATAATCGTTAGTTTTAATCCGATATTTGATTCAAATAAAATTGTACAACAACCACAACAACAACAACAAAATCTTTGAAATATACAATGGTAAAGATATATAATGATAATCATCATAATCATCATGATAATAATAGTTGAACAATGAAAAGAATTTTTCTGTTTATTTGTGGTCATTATCATTGAATTAAACTAAAATTGTGGAAGAAAAAAGTAAAAGAAAAAACTATTATTATTAACGAAAATAAAAGAAATTTGATGCTGATGATAATGTTCAACGATGATGATGATTATGAAATAAATTTTATATCATTAAACTGAATAATAGATAATTCATAATATGATTATCATAATCATCAAAATGTTTTAAAATCATCAATGACAACGACAAATTCGATTGATTATTGAAAAAAATCCTTGAATTTGATAATAATAATAATAATCAATTCGGACATAGAGAACAGAATAATGAAAATGGGGATTTATTTGCCATTTGTCGTAGTGAATTGGATTGAATTGAATGAATGTCATATTCATTTCGTAATGAAAAATAAAAGATTTTTAAATTTTTTCAACAGAAAAAAAATTCAGAACATAAACACAAAATCCGCTTTTCATTGATTTTTTTTCGAAAAAAAAACAACTTGTATCCAAAATCATTTCCAATCATGGTTTATATGATGATAATTACAGTATTCTTATGTTATGAACTTATGTCATAATGATGAGTTAAAGTGTGTGAGAGATAGAGAAATTGACCTAGTAAAAAAAATGGATATGATGTTGAAAATGAGAACAAAATGTCACCAAAAAAAAGAAAAGAAAATATAATGATGTTTATGTGTAATGGATATGTTCCGTTAGAAGATTTGTTGTTGTAAAATTGTTTATTTGGAAATATGATCAAGTGACACGTGTAATTTTGGTCATTTAACGATGTTGACGACGATTTTATTATCATCGAACAAAAAAAAAATGATGATAATTTTCTTTTCTTTTTTCTTGAATAAAATATGAATCAAGATTTTGTCTATTTTTAAACATATTTTCATTTGTAATTATAATGGGTAAAATGTGTGCGTGTGTGTCCTATTTGATAATAACAATGCTAATTTGATTATTGTCATTTTTTTGCCGGATATTTAGCTCTTTTGATAGAGTGTGTTCCAATCGGGATAATACCATGAATAGAATCTTTAAAATATTTTTCCATCTTTTCTATATTTTCGTTCCACAATTGAACAGTTTTCCTTTTCAAATAGAGAATTGTCCTCAATCATATTCATTGATTGATTGATCGGTTTTTTCTTCTTTTTCATATTCTAATGAATGTTTATCGGTTGATTTTTCATTTTTGCTGTTGTTGATGATAATGGTGATGACAATGATTATGATTATTATCAAACTTTTGTACAAATCATCATCATCATCATGTTCACCTATTTTTTCATTATTATTATTTACTGACATTTGAAACTGATCATCATTGAGATGACTTTTTTTTTCTCTGAACAACGACAAAAAAAAATCATCATCATCATCATCACCATAATGATGATTTGAACCGTTGAATTTTCTGTTGTTGTTGTTGTAAATTGAAGTAATTCATCATTTGATGAATGAATGAATAACAATTGCCAAAAATGGAAAAATTGATCATCATATCTTTTTTGTTGTTGAATGAATATGAAAAGGGAAAAAACTGATTGATTAATAAAGAATTCATTTGGATTCAAGTTTTTTTTCAATTATCATTTTTGTTTTGTATATAATTATTGTGAAAATTTGAAATTTCTGCCATAAAACAGGTTCATGGATGATTGATAAAAAATTTTCTTCTCCTTTTATCTGATCAATTCAATTCAATTTTCTTTGTTTTTGTTTGTTTGTTTGTTAATGAATTTTTTTTTTGTTTTCATTTCAATAAAAACTAGCTATTGGAACAAGAAAAATATGCATTGAAAAAGAAATTAAATTCAATCGAAATTGAATATGAAAATAAATTACATGATCTACAAAGTGATCTGGAAACGGCCAAAGAAAATCTTCGTCAACATGTTGATATAAATAAACAATCGGAATTGGAAACAAATCGTATGATTGATGAATTAAGTGAACAAAATCGTAGATTAACAGCTGAATTAAAAGAGGTTTGTTAATTCGGATTTTTTTTGGTCAAATTTTTCAAAATTTCTATTTATTTCATCCAAAATAGACAACTAATCGTGAATCATTATTGGAAAAAGAAATAAAATCAATGAAAGAACAATTCAGTGCAAGACGTATTAATTTTAGTGATCATCTTGGACAATTAGAAGGTTTACGTGATGAAATAAATTTACTTACAAATCGTAAACGTGAATTAGAGAATAAAATATCATTATTAAATGAAGAAAAAATGTCCATATCGATTACATTGGATGAATCACAATATCGTATTATGGCATTGGAAAAACAATTACAAGATAAAGAATTAAATTTACAAAATCAACAAAAAGATCTCGAAGAATTACGACGTACAATGATTCATTATCAGAATCGTATTGATTCATTAATGAAAATGCGTACATTTGATATCGGTACACAACAGATATCATCATTATATAATGAAATTGAAATATCATCACAATCATCCGGTGGTGATGATCATCATCATCATAATCATAATCATAATCATCATTCTCATCAATTACATCATAATCATCATAATGGTTATTTATCCGATACCGATGATATTGATATGTTTACTATCGATGGCCATTGTAATCGTTGTTTAAAGGTATGTATTTTTCTTCATTTCTTGATATTTATTTATTAACTTTTTCTTTTCAATATATATTCTTTGTAGAATAAACAAGAAATTAATGATTTATATCAAAAACTTAAACAACTTTATGATGATCTCTATAAACGACAAAACCAAATTGAACAACAAACAAAAGATGAAAAGACATCTGTAATGTTAAATGGAACAATAGATGTTATGTCTTATTCGAATACAACATCATCTTCATCATCATCATCAACGAATGGTGAATCATCACCTACATCACGTAGTGTAGATCATAATCATGATAGTGGTATTCAAACAAATATTGGCCTTATGGATGATTTGAATATGATTGTTTGTGATATACAGGACCTCATTAAAAATTTTGATTTTATGGTATGTATTTTTGATATTATTGTTTTTTTTAGTTGATTAATCTTTGAAAATTATCTTGATCTCTAGTCACAATGTTCATCGTGTCAACAATTCCGTATCGAACGAATGGAATTAGAACGATTACATAAAAAAACGCAACAAGATAAAGAAGAAATTGTTAAATTAAAAGCCGAAATTCTTGAACAATCATCAACAGCAATGATGAATAATGCGGAATTGATTGCCGCTCGTGAACGATTAGCAGCTTTTGAACAGGATAGACAAGCAGAAAATTTATCTCAAGATGAAATTGTTAAACGAGCTTTAAAAATGCGTGATGAAACTATTGCACGTAAAAATTTAGTTGAAATTGAATTGGCCAAAATACGAATCGAATTGATGCATGTAAATAGTCAACTATTAGAAACGATTCAACAAAAAGTTGAATTATCACAACAACTTGAACAGTGGCAGGTATGTGTTGAAAAACAAAATCAATTATCAATGAATAAATTATCGTTGTTGTTGCTGTTTTTTTTTCTATTTTTCATTTGATTCAGGTTGACATGGAAATCCTTATCGAAGAACAATTAAGAAATAAATTAAGTTTACAGGAAAAATCATTGAATGGTCATTATAATTTAAATGGTCATGTTAATAATAATGGTAATAAAAAAGAAAATCGATTCGGTTTAAGTAATCTGGCCAAATTATTAAACTATCAACGATCATGATAATAGTTTTTTTTTCAATGAATTATATTGTTTTTTTCTTTGTAATTATTTTTTTAAATTGTAAATAAACTCCAAGAGATTTGTGTATGAATATTAATGAATAAAAAAATAAATTTTAAGAATTTAAACCAAATATTTAATCATTTGATATTTGTTGTCGCTATAACGATATATAAATGTAACTTCTTTCGATGTAATGTAATATAATATACACTGAAAGAAAAGTGCCAATGTTGAATGATAAAATGATATGGATGATAAAATATGTTTTCATAATGTGCAAAAAAAGAGAAAAAATGGCAAAATTTTCAATTGATATTATATTCTCTTTATCTTTCTTGTTTTTAAATGCGTATTTACTGTGTGCTAAGCAACTCCAATGAAAAACCACATATAAATAAATTCTCTGGGTAGCTCGTCATTCTGGTAAGGCTTAATAGAAAAAATTGATTTCAATTTAATGATTGATTTTAACGCCCTGAGATCTACTTTTTTCACTTTTTTTACAGATATAAACTTTTTGATTTTGAAATAATGGATAATCGACATTCAAGAATTGCCAAATATTATTCATCATTGGATCAATGG